CGATTCGCGGCGAGCTCCCAGATCCGGCGTGCGTTCCACCACTCTCCTCGAAAATCAAATGCTAAACTATGCCTCACATGGGGTGTCCCGACTTATCCAGCCGCGGTCGACTTCAGAGCGGGAATTCGGAGAGCAGAAGCAGACTATGTCTGCAGGTATCGTATACTATTCGGTACGCACCCACGCGGAAAGTTTTTTTTCCGAATGAGCGCAACGAGTGGCTTTGCATCCATCCCTCTCAGATAGGCTTCTTCGTCCTCTCTCCTGAACGAAGCTCCTCCAAAATCAAGACAAGGAGGATTGCGGAGAGGATTCCACGGCAGAAGAACAGGAATCGACGTCGTTCGCGATCGCTACTCATCGGACGGTGGATAGTCGCGTGCGCGATCGATGATTTTGTCGGGGCTTCGGAAACATGTTCCGCCTCAGGGTTGATCTGCTGACTAGCCCATCCATCGGGATTGGGTTTTCATTCTTTCCACTGTTCATTTGATTTCTCGTTAATCGTCGGAAATCAGCTCGTTATGAGTCGAAGGGAATCATTGATATACGCTTTGTTCATAGCTCATCGTCCGCCGACCCTTTCCTGGTGACGGAAGGCTCCGATTTCTTGTAGCGAATTTCACGTGATGGCCTGCCTGTATCGCATAGCACTTTGTTTACTGATATGGGTCGCTCCCACTTGGGCTGTTCGTATCGTGGGCGAGACATGTCGATAAGGTGTTCGTGGAATTCGAGGCAGCAATTCCTCTAGAGAGCGAGCGGTGAACCTTGCATATTCCAGAAGCGTATTCAATGTATGCACTCACTGAATTGCCCGGAATTCGGAGCGGGGTCCACCAGGATACGGACCGCTTCGTGGCGATCAAACGAGAGTGCTCACAATCAGCACTGTCACCGAAAAATCTCTCCGCTTCCCTGTTGATTCGAATATAATAGAATGTCTACCGTTTCAATCGTTCGGAACAAGTATCGAAGATCGACCATCATCCAGGTATCCAGCGTATTCCTTGACGCTAATTTTCGATACAGAGTCGATCGATCATCGGGATGTCATTCGCTTCTCACCCTTTTGTGCTCCGAATTAGGGAGGCGCGAGCAGATATTGAATTTCTATCGAACTGCCGAACTCGAGTCAGAATCTAGAGGGGGGGGGAAGGGAGAGAACAATTATGTTTGGTTTGTTCACATGTGATGAAAAGACGCTCAGGAGATATCGCTCAGAAGATCATACTCTTGGACGGTATGTGAGAAAATTATTGAGGCAAAATAAATGCTCAGGAAGTCTTCAGAGAACAGAGACCAGCTCGCTCGCGGTTCCTGCGGAACAGAGGCCTCGGACTCGGGCCGAGACCCAAATCGACTGAGCGCTTGCAGTTGCGGTCGGCTTCCGTGGTGTGCTGAGCAACACGAAGCTATCCCTGTAGTCGTCCGCGATCCGCGCTGTACTCACTCTGCTTACGAGTTGCGACGACAGAGAACGGAGATAATAGGTTTGGATGGATACCCGAAGAGACGACAGTTGAGTCAACCGGAGACCGGAGGCGAATTGATGGTTCGGGTGACCCTTTGGGACACCGTGCTGCTTAGTTTTTCTCGTGCCAGATAGCGCTTCACGTAAGCAAGAGGGGGAAGAGAACGACAGAAAAAGAAAACTAGGAGGTCAATGCTCATGCCTATTAAGTTAGGGCGACCTTCCATCGATCGTCTCCGCTTTCCCTTTTCCAAAGTCGGCGAGGCGAAGACGGCGACCTTGCCCTGAGCCCTCATCCCGGGAATGACTCGCGCAGGGTTTTTCTTGATTCAATCTCAATCGTATCTGCTTCCGGGGTTCACAAGATGTCGAAGTTGAAGCGTCACGTTGAGGTTCCCCGTAAGCGGTGGGGCTATCTCCGGGCTGGTTGAAGCGATTCCGTTGTTGCAGTCGTTCCGTCGAGCAGTCGTTCCGCTTACCGGAATCAAGAGGAAAATTGGACGAAAGCGATATTTGAAGTAGTAGTGCTTCGTTCGTACGAAAATTGAATGCAGCCACTCCGTTCGTCGGCAGCAAAGGTCAACAAATTAGCAAGTTCAGGAAGAGATTCGATTGTACGGCACTGCGTTAGAATGCGGGGCGCTACTCCTACTACGTGTCGGGATACCGTGGTCGAAAACTCCCTGATTCATGAAGGAGATTTTTTCGTCAGTATTACGCAACCAATTATCTCATAGGAAAGCGATCACTTCGGGAATGTTCTTAATAAGTGCCCCGCTGCGACCTGCGGATTAGACTCCGTATACAGCCAGCGGGGTATGTGTTGCGGCGGCACTGTATGCATGATATCTCAAAAACAAGAGCGAGTTCTGGTTCAGCTGGTCATTGCCGATTGGAACGAGGAAAGTGTCCCCGATTTGAGCAGGATCGGAGAAGTGCAACATTGATACGAAATTATCGGGGAGAGCCGAGCTGGGTTAGCATAGCGAGAAAATCGATCGTTCTCATCTATTCACCTTGGGTGCAGTTGTGCAACGAGCGAGTAACATTTCTGGCCACCACTTGAATAATTCTGTGAGAACCTCTGTCCCTTCGTAGGGGGCAAGCCAGGTGTCGAGGTCTGCCTCTTCCAACTTAGCCGCTGCCGCCGCAGTGTCCAAGGTGGATTGTGCTTCAGATCCGCTTACTGGGCGACGCTTTTCGGGGAGTACTTCTATCAAGCTCATCAGTGGAACCATGTTCAATCACGAAACTCTCAGTCACTCGGACCGAATCGAGCATATCATCTCGTTTCCGGCGCGCCTGAGCCATAGCCTGGTCGACTTGTGCGGGCTCCGAAGACGCATGTGTCAGTTAGCTGCGGTCTCCGCTCCCTCGTGCCTTTGTGCGCGCACCGACCAGCCGGTGAGATCTTACCCGATCGTTCACTCAACCGGCGTACATGCTCGACGATCTCGATGGGGCATTTTCCGATGAATAAGATCTCCGTCGGCTCATGAAATCAAATCGGCGAATACATGCTTGGTAAAATCGAGAAACCTCCGATCTCCCCTCCCTGTCGAATTCGTCGTCCTCCCTAGTGACCGAAGAAATTCGCGAATTCAGACGAAGACGTTCCAAGTTCATCCCGAGACCGACCATGTCGCATTGGTCGCTCTCAGCTTATCCAGCTTCTCGGAGCGCATCGGGTATTGAAGAGCACCATGGTCATCCCTGTGCCAAGAGGACCCTGGCTCCAGGGTCTCGAGTCTCGACGCCAACAATTAGGATCGTCCCTAGACGGTGATCTCTGTCTCATTAAGGAGCCTAGCTTACTCCACGGACCTCGCGGCTGTCCGCCCCCAGACAGGCTCAAGCCTCAGGCAAGCCAGAAATCTTGTTTGGTGCTCGTGTCTGAACGGACATCGTGGACGGAATGAGACTCGTATGGAAGCTCTCCACATGAATTTAATAAATAGAGGAGCCTGATACATTCGTTTAAGTGCTTCCGCTCTATTACTGCTCCATCCTTTGAGATTTGTCGGTTTTTTCGAAGCATGAGCCACTGTTCGAACTTAGAGCTAGCGTCCGACCTGAAGTGTTCATTCCGCGAAAAAGTATAGCGAATTCTGGCTCTATCTCAATATCAGCTGGTTCCAGCTCAAACAGCACTGGAATCATCCCTGCATCCCGACTGGGCTATCAAGACCTTCGATTCGTCTGGTGATTTTATCGGTATTTTAAACCAGACGAATAGTTGTCAAAGATTCTGCCATTTTCCAACGCATGTCCTGCCGGTCGAATTCTGATGGTACTCACGCGACATCGAGTTCTCCAAGACATTAATCACATAATTTCATCACGGTTGGTATGAGCTTATGAAGATTAATCATCTGAGAAGGAATCCGAATGGGAATTATTAGGATCTCCGATGATTACCGAATCAGCCGAAACTCACGCTACAATGGCCCATAAACTTTCCATTTTCTCAAGGTCCCGTCAGGAAACATCCGGTGAAAGCTATCAGCAAGCGGCCAGCGTAAATGCGTTTATCGATACCCTTCTCGCGGACGAAGCGAGCTGCAGCAATGACGTTCATAGAGAATTATGTACATATAGCGGGTGAATAGTTCGAGCGAGCTGATACGATTGGTCGTGGCATCCTCCGGTATTCGGGTGACATTGATATCGTGGTCCTGAAACTGAATGTTCACGTCTCAGCTGCGACGGCAGCTGATCTTCATACCCCGATTCTTGAAGAATACGGAAATGCATCTGGGAGTCGAATGTCGACTCGATTTCGCGCTGGCTGGAATTTCTTTCCCAAATTCAGCTGGTCTAGGTCATCACGAAAGCTTTTACAATATTTCTGGAGACTCGATCGCAATATCATTTCACTCAATCCTTCAATTCAAGAATCAATTCTGATGAGTTGACTGATCGAAGACTTGCCGGCTACCAGGCAACCCTCCGGGGCAGACATCTTGGCGACTTTCGAGAGCGAGAACTCGACTGAGGACGGGTGGTCGAAAGGCTACCTCGACTATCTTTTCCCGAGCTGAGTCGCTCTTTTCGTAGGGAATTCCCTCCATGAAGAGTCACAACGACGCCGCTCGCGCAGGGGGTGGCGTGGGTTCGACTTTCGCTGGCGGTCGAAATTCCGAACGAGATATCCTCTCGGAATTCCCTCTCGGGATTCCCTTTCGGAAAGCCCTCACAGAATGTCTTTCCGAAATTTTCTCGCGGGAACATTGACACCTAATCAGAGCGGTACCTAATCGTTGATACCCGCGACGTTGAAGCTCGGCTGTGTGGTCCAGCCCGGAAAATATATATATTAGTGAAGGAATCGTATGTGTGTGCAGACTACGAACATCCGCATAACACTTTGTCGCGACAAGTCGAAGACATCCATCGTGTGCCGGCAACGTCGACAACAGCAGCGACGACGTCAACCACGTCTTCCACACAGCTTCTAGACAGAGAGAGGGTGCGTGCTGCGGGCGGCTTTGGCAAGGGGCATCAGCCGCGGTTCAGCAGGAAAGGTGCGGATTTGCTTCGGCTCAACGTCCGAAAGACCGGCAGTGTAGTCCCAGTAGCAGTAGAAGTACATGATCCATGAAAATGGTGAGTCAGTTTTTTTGTTTACAAATGTCGCTCTCGCCTAATGAGCTTCGGAAAAGCGAGTGGTCGTCCGGTGTCTACTCGGAAGACTTGAGTCTGACGGCCGATTTGGGGCGTGCTCAGAGACGACGGTGGACGAAGATGAAGAATCGGGAGCTGTATGGACGGGAGTCACTCGCACTGATTCCAGCACGGATCGGTGTCGCGATGAATGGTTCAGATTGCTGTCGCGATCAATGGTTCAGATTCAGCTCCATGAGGGCGAGTGCCTGATTCAGAGGATCCAGTCTGAGTGAGCTAGCTCAGATCCGGCTGCCGACCGGTACCCGCTCAAAACTACTCTCCCGGGAATCATGAATTATTCGTGAATTCATGATATCTGATTGATCGATTCATATTCGGAAAATCGATCGATCGATTGATTGGAGCGGCAGGGAAATTCGATTGGCACATCGCGTCCCCTCCGAGGCTCCGACTCGATAAAGAGCCATAACTGCCTGACGCCTCGCTGACGCCGCGCCGTCTGGATGTCACCATATCAGGAAACCATCCGCTCTCGGACTCGACCTTTCCTGTCACTCGAATCCGGAAGTGACATTCGTGTATTTTCTGGGAGAGACCGAAGAGGGAGGTAAAGAGGGAAACATTCAGAAACGGTACTTTCTCCGCATCGGCGCAGACATGTGGTGTGCAAGATCTTGAAGCGCGAACGAAGCTGCAGATCGGATCGAATGAAGAGCTCCTCGAAGGCTTTCGCTCGCATGTCAGACGCTGCACCAGGCAGACGTCTGCTGGGGATAGTACGCGTGTGATTTCTATGTAAGTTGGCGCCGTTTGTGACGCAATCAAAGTTTCGTAAGTAGGTATAAACGTGTGAATAGTTCATCGGAGACTCGTTCCAGCTTCAATCCGTTCTTAATGTTGTTGGCGTCGTTCAATTAAAAAATCTCTCCACAATACCACCGTTGTTGCCTATGGCGGAGTCGATCGTGCCGCTACCGGAACTTCGACCACCGCTCGTTCCGGGCTTTTCGGAAACGAACGAAATCGTGAAAGCTATCCTCGGATCCCGTCGTTGCGGGGAATGGCATCCTGGAGATTTTTCTTTCGCGAGGGGACGGATGTCTCCGCTGGAAGGATGGACGCCCGTTCAACTGATGGGAGCTTCGGCTTCCGACACCGCCCCTCGATCTCGCACGATTGTATCCATTCTACAGCCCAATTATATCGATCGATCAAACGGATCGGTGACAAAATTTGAGAGACTCGCGGCGACGAAGCAACAAACAGAAAATACCGATCACTTTCGACGGTAAGGTCACGATCCTTTCCCCAGCTAGGGATAAGGTTCCGTTCAACAGAAGTAACGCGATTTTACGCAATGGTCATCGGAATTTTCTTCAATGGAGCACTACCGAAGGCCAATGACTGCCAATCACACTGCGGCAGAAATGATTATGTCAAAATGAATGACTCTCACGGTGGTGCGCTGTTTGCGGTACTTCTCAGCGCGGTCGACAATGCCGGCTTCATTCACCTTGACAACAAAGACTCATCGGTCGTCGTCTGGGTTTACACCGTCTTCATTCAGCTGCGAATTACCAGAATTTCATGGAGAATCCTGTCCCGCGGCGTTTTATTCGCCTGCTTCAGTGCGCTGACGGAAAACGGAGTCACGCGACATGCCACGGCATTGTCGAGCTGCACAAGTCTCGTCGGAGCTGGCTGCCGCGAACAAATCTATTTGGATTTTCGCTTTCATTTGTTTTCTTTCGCTTGCACTCAATTATCGTCTCGGGAACGAATGCTAATCGATCGTGCGAGACAGCGGGACGAATGAACAGAACTCCTCGTGATCGATCTGATACTCGAGAAGTCATCGTTGACCACTTTCCCGTTGCATGTCGCGTCTGCCCGTCGACGAAATGTCGTCGCTGTGGTCCAGCAGCCTAACGGTGCGTGAGCAATGTTCCGCAATCAAACGGAGCTCCGTTAGGTGGATGGACAGCGAGGAACCGGCGCACCCCGAAAGCCTGATACTGACAGACACGACGCCGACGATCCGTTACTGTGGTTGTTGCACTGATGGGTAACATAACTCGCGAAATTAAAGGGACAGCTGAGCGACGGATGAAACGTGGGACGGGCCTGGGAATTTCCGAGAGCTTCCTGAGCCAATCGAGGGATACCCTTGTAGGATTCGATGGATATTTTATGTGATTTTTTCGGTTTCAGAGTTTTCCATTCGGCTGGGCGTTCCGAATGAAGCTGATCGTCTTCATCTTCCTCCTTGTCCAGCTGTCGTTATACCATGATCTCGCAGAATGCAAGGTATCCCAGGCGAGAAGGGATTTCAAGGAGGACTTCAAAGCACTACTCAGTCCAGCTCAAAAAGTCCTGCTACCGATAGGTGAGACCGCCCGGATTCGCCTCAACGAATTATCCCCCGCTCGAGCCGACCTCCCCGATTGTAAAACTCAGTGAAGCATGAGCCGCGTGGGGAGGTAGAGCTCTAGAGATATTCAGGGCAATTTGTTTATTTTTCGCAAAATGAAAGGCATGTTCGGTTTTTTTTTGCAGGCGAAGCTCTGATATTCAACGAAGACCTCTCAACGGAGTGCACCACGGCACTCTTGAGAACTGGCCGAGCTCTCAGGAGCGGCAAAATGTGGGCCACTAGGAGTAAGTATCCCCCCTCGGCAGCCCGCGGTGGTCCCCGATTCCGTCCGGCATGCTCTCCTTCGACCGTTTCTTATTCCCATCAACGAGAACTTAGTGAGCTCATGTTTCAGTGTTGGTCTCAAACGGTTTCATACCGGAGAACATTTTCCTCGGACAAACGCAAGCCCATGGCAGCATCGAGCAGTGCTTGCGGCATCCCGAGCTAAGAGGTACTGTCATCTATTCATGTAGATCCCGTCAGAAAAACGGGGCGATGACGAGGGGCAGACTTTTCGACTGCGATCCTGCTTCATTCGTCTCCCTTTACAGATGAGGATGGGCCCGACGATCAAGAAGCACACTACTGCAAGGTGAAATTGGCCTTCAGCAAGAACGACACTTTCTACGAACGCCTTACTTCCGAAATTCACGTGGGTGTCTCTTCCTCTAACGGTAAATTATATTCGTTTGAAGACGTTTTCGAGGAGTGGGACCCTCTGGGAGTCGTAGATGCCGGGAAGGTATTGGAACGTCGATTCGAGCGGAGAACGTTCTGCCTACTTACAGAAAACCTCCGGCCTCAACGTACAAGCCGTACCTGATGTGATCAAGGGTATTTACACGGGACTCGTCGCTTCATTGTGCGTGCCTCGCGACTGTTCCGAGCAGGACGTTCAGATCGCTTTGAACACCAGTGAGTAGGACGACACGAGAGCCGTGATTTTCGTGCCATGATTTTCGAATGAAAATGGACGTCAGCGTCTCACCCATGAACGCCTTTTATCCAGTCTCCGACATGTATGGACTCCAAGCGGAGGTGAGCTCCTGCCAGAATGGTGATCCACCGTCATTCGAAACCCAGCAAATTCTGACAATGTGAGTTGGAGCGACTGTTTCGCGGAGTATTCATGTCCTACATAAACAGACCTATAGTTTCACATCGCAATTTCGTATGACTTCACTACCTCTTCAAGGGCTTTCTTCGGCTGCATCCTCATCTTGTGTCTGGCCGGGACAATCATCGAACTGAATAGCTCCATCTTCGGAAAATCTTTCCCTGGTACGCAGACTTTGATTATAACAGAATTTTGGGTAGTTCTCATCATCCAAATTCCGACTGGGGGCCTCCCCTCCGGTATCACGGATCTTGTTGAATGGCGCGAATCTCCGCTTCCCCACCCCGAAAGAGAGCGTCGGTATTCCTTCCGGGTCTCTCGATGTACGGAGATTCTCGTCAAAAGATTAGGACTTGAATGCGAGTTCCGGGTGCAGGCGAAAGGGGAGAGGGTGCACGGTAACATACATCTTCGCTGTATGGCTTTGCTTTCTCCCTACTCCCCCATTGTGCCTGTGAATTTCAAGTGCGTTCGACAAAGTATATAGATTTCTCGAGTCGAATTCGGGAGTGAACACCAACAAAGACTCGGAGATCAACAAAGAAAGGAGCGAGAATGTGACTCGTGCCGCTGTGTTTGCAGGAAGATTCATACGCTGCTTCGGTCTGTCGAAAAATTGGACAAGTCTCCTAGACGGCGGCGATCCCCAACATCGGACGGGCTTCTTCAATGGACTGAAACTTCTTTTGTGTCTCTGGATTTCCGCCGGTCATCTCATCATATTTCCGTCGCCGGAATTCACCCGTGAGTGCCGCGCTTCCGATAAACTTGAATATATTACTCGGAGCCGTTGCAATAGAAACGGAATGAATTCTCCGCTGGAAGGAAGCCATCCGTTTATTCAAAGCACGCTAAATATTTCAATTCCTAGAAAATCCCGGGGATTTCTTCATGGTCGTGAGTCGTTCGCTCTGGTTCCAGCTGTTCAGTAATATCAACCTCGCGGTGGTGGGCTTTTTCTTCATTAGGTCTGTTTCGACTTTCCACTAGAGATATCGGCTCCTCCATTGGGATCAAAAAGTCGTTTCTAAACTTCCTCTATGTTCCCTCTTCCCCCATGGTAGCGGATACTTGGTGCATCATGGAACGGAGCGCTTCTCCACGAAACAACCATTCAGATATGTCTTGACTTGCTTCGCAAGACGCTACTTCAAGCTGGTGATTCCGGCTCTCGTTGTGCTACTGACAACTCTTCTCTACCCTCTGGTCAGTTTCGGGGCGACACATTCGAAATTCGGGGCCTTCGGGATTTTCGGTCACAGATCGCTTCGTCAGGGGAATCGCATGCGCAAAAAAAAATTTCTCTTTGCGAAAATGTGCCCCCTCCCCAGATGAGCCGGACCGCGAGCCCTCGAGAAGGCTTCTATTTCAACAACATCGGCTCCTGCTCCAGAGAGTGGTATCTCTTGCCCTGCCTATCGAATAATTACATCGATATTTTCCGGGAGCAATGTCTAACACATTTGTGGTATATATCGACCGACTTGAAGATATATCCATTGGTCGTCGCTTTATCCGTGTTCTATAGAAGGTGAGTGAGACCGTTTATGCTCGAAATTTCTCCCCGGTCGTCAGATATCTCAGCGCATTAGGAGTCTCATACGTCCCGTTTTTTTTTCCGGAATGATGGCCAGATCCCCCCGATATGCCCTCATCACTTGTCTTCTAGTCGTGAGCTTGACATCCGTTTTCGTCGGTATAGAAACCTTCCGTGAAGGTGCCTCGGGAGTCGTGGCTCGAGCTGATCTCGAGGGAAAGTGAGTGTAAACATACATATGTGTTTCCCGCACAAACCCGCTTGCCTCAAGTAATTAAACTCGGTGTACCCGGACCTTTGATCGCGACCGAGAGTCGTCGCAACACGTCACAGAACGCATGATCAAGGGTTCCTTGGCGTAGCGACTATTCCGGAAAGCCCTCACCGCGACTCGGGTGTTTTGTGAGTGAGCTCTCACCTTGTTCATTCCAAACAGACGGTACCTGGCAGCCGGTAAGGCTTTGGATCTCTACACGCGACCGTATACGCAAGTCGCTGCCTATGTGATGGGCATGTTATGTGCGGTACTTGTGGAAACTCTGCAGGACCGTCCCCCCAACTTTACAACGGTAGAGGCTCGATTTGACCGGGCTCCAACTTGATTCAGAGCTCATGGGAGAAATCTCAGTTCCCGACTCCATATTTTCAAGAGTGTCGATGAGCCGAACGAGTTTGATTTCTCCGCAGTTCGCAAAAAGCCTCCTATGGATTCTGTCGGGGACGCTCTTCCTAATCCAGACGTACCTCATCACCTACTCGTCGATTCAAGTTTTTTCACCTGCCGGAGTGAGTATATCGAGGACACACAGACAAATGCCGGCGCGGTCAAGCGTCTCTGTGAAATAATTTCGGGTTCTCCGTTCTCCCGGCGGCTCTCTCTCTCTACCGTTTTTCTTTTCTAAAATTATTCCATTGTTCCTGTCCAGATTGGTATGTCCATCTACGCGGGAGTTTCACGACCACTCCACGCACTCATGTATCTCTGGATCGTGACCGCATGTACCCTATACTTCGCTGGTGAGTTCCACGAGAAACCCCCTCGCAGAGACAAAGCATCGAGAGATCGCTCCGCGGCGTCGCCCCAAAGGTAGCAGCTCTCGGTCAGGAGTTTCTAATTTCAGAACCACTCCGGCGTTTCCTATCTCATCCCGTGATGTTTGCTTTGGGGAAATTGAGCTACGGTGTCTACCTCATACACTTCCCGCTCGGATCTCTCGGTTACGCCAATCTCAAAAACGCCTCGCTCCAGTACAACTTCGTCACGTTGGTCAGTGAAGGCCTTTGCAGGATTGGCTGTCTGTTGCAGTGGTCCTTCATGGGGGAAGAATAGAAAAAAAAATTCTCATTATTCTTATTAGGAAAAAAAATTCCCCGATGAGTCCTACCCTGGAATATAATCCGTCTTGCAGTCCCAAGGAGTGCTCGGAACCCTGATGCAGAGTTTCATCCTGGCCGCGATATTGTATATCTTCGTGGAGAAGCCCCTAGCAAATGTGGACAGACTCCTCGTCAATCGGCGCAGGCGGACCAACTCAGAGGTCAACAAGAACGCTTCTTCCCTACCTGCAACTGTTTCCAAGGATTCAAGTGGGCTCGGATGCGTACCGATAGGCTCTGACCCTGAGACGGCTAAGAACTCATCAGGGACGACGCCAGCTTCATCAAAGCTGTGACATTTTCGAGTGTTGCACCGGATCTCAAAAGTAACAAAACCCCGAATCAATTCCCCCTCTTCGACTGGCATCGTTGTGTCTTGTAAATGATGTCGATTTGTACGTATGCCCGCCCGCCGGCCATCAACCGCCAGCTCTGCCTGGTCACCCGACACGCGAACGGCCGCTCCCGCCAGAGCGTAGATAACAAGATCGTATGAAGAGAAAGAACATCAACATGACCGCGGGCAGAAACGAACGAAGGGGCAGATGAACAGACCCAAACAGGAAATGACGATAAATGAAATAGGAAAACCATATTTATTCACTGTTGATGAACGTCGTTTTTCTTCGGCTGGGAATGCCGTTCGATTCTTGGGAAGCTTTCTTTGTCGGAATAGCTGGGAACACAGTGGATCATGGCTCCTGATTTTCTCCTAGCACGTTCATCTCCGGAACTTCGACACCTTTGTGGTTGGCCGCGTCCGGGAGTTCCGCCCGTCTGGGGACTGGTGTTCAACGGTTCCCCTCGATGAGCGAGCTGCGGAAACAGCATTGATTCTGTATATCTCCGATGAGGTGCTTCACTGGAAAGCTCCGAAGCTAGCCCTCAACTCTTCCCGAAAAGAGAGATATCTTTAGTAGAACTTCTTTGAAGCCGACTCGCGCCGTTCGCTCCTCCAGATAGCGGAGGGGGGGGGGGGCTGAGTCCCCACGCTTCCAGACTTCACTACCTCATTGAATTGGAATACTTCTTGGAGACGACTTGCCCCGTGCATGAGTTTCAAGCTCGGGTCTCGAATTGGAGACGAATGACGAAAGACAGACACCGCTGAGGGTGACACTGGGTCCGAACGTCAATATGTCAAGATCCCGAGCATTCTGCGGCTTGCTGCGATTGATCGGTCAGAATTGCTCTTCCCTCGCTCGCACGGGTCGATCCCCAAACTTGTGGGAAAAACACGGGAATCACTAATTTTATTGAGCGACGAGCTCGCGCGGTCTGGGGCTCTCAAGTTCTTCCGCATCTAGTGCAATCGTATCTGATGTCGAGGGGAAACTCCTGCATGGAGCCGCGACCAAGCAGTTACGGTCGACCCACTCGAGGAGCATCCTGCGGGCTGGCTGCCGGGGTCTACCCTGAGAAACCCGCGAGTCGGAAGTCATGTCTCATTCGATAGGAATCATGTCGTCTGCTTCACCACGGGATCGCACTGTAGCACGCGACCAATGACGAGCGATACTCCAGCGGTGCCCGCGTGCGAGCTGAGCTAGTGAAATCATGTTCCACTGTGAGAATCTCGGAGCGTACAGATATTCGCTTAATTCGCATCTCGCTCAATGCTCACGATCGGAGTTCCTCGCGCGCTCCTCTCGAGCATATGATGTCGAAGACGCAAGGCGTGGAGAGAGGGTATCTATCTCTTATTTCACTCACCCTCCCCTGATGGGGCACGAGAACGCGCCAAAACATGTCAGCGGCCTGCGCTGTGCTGTAGGCGGTTGAGAAGCTACGGAATCGCGTTTTTCTGTGATTTTCAGCAAGTATCTTGTGAAATCTGGTGACATGGCGCAACGCGAGCGTCGGAAGGAAGTGGCTATCGAGCCCTTACAGCAACAGGATCAGGACGAAGAAGAGAATGTCCTCAAACTCCAGCAACTCGAAGGGAACGGTGTCACAGCTGGCGATCTCCAGAAACTCAGAGAAGCCGGATTGCATACCGTACCCGCGGTGGCCTACACGACCAAAAAACAACTTTTAGCTGTAAGAAGAATGCTCGATCGATTCTGACGAATTAGGGATCCATAACTAGACCACCGGCAGCTTACAGAAGGCCCGACTCGCATTTGATTCGAGCATGACGAGCATTGGAATTCATGCCTATCTAGCGCTAAAGTGTGGAGGAATCGGTACCCCTTATGAGAAAATTAATTCAGCGCGCCTGGCGTCATGATGATCGTTTTCCGAAAAGGGAGTCGCACGAGACACTTCGGTAGCCCCCACGAGGGGAAGTTTCTGTCGAATCGTTGTCTATCGCTGCTCCAACCATGCGAGTTGTGATCATTGTAGAGTACCTAGTTGTCTACCGTGCTCTCAGGTCTCCTGGCTAACGAAATCCGAGCCGCCCCAATCTATCAATTCAGTCAAGCAGGTCCGAGGCTTGGGTTCGGAAGTGAGGTCTTATCGCCCCCGTTCCTAGAATCGAGCATTCCCTGGGACACCGGATTCTACTCCTCTCGAGCGATGCGAAGCAGAAAATGAGGCGAATCCTGTCTGACTGGTGGACGCAGCTCGCGAGTCCCTAGAACCTTCAGATATAGGCCACACATTTGAGGGATTGAGCAGCATCGCAATTTCCGATAATCATATATCGAATATCCTTTACATCCTGATGAGAGCTTACAACACAGCTATTCTAGGTGTCAAGTTTCAGATTATGACCACGAGATATTATAACTCGTCAGACTCCGGAGATATTTTCCACAGGGAATGATCCCACATAATTCTTGAGCGAACTCTACGCTGCTTTGATCGGAAACTCATGTTGATACAATGAAATTTCGGATCGAGCTCCCGAAGCCTGAGACCCTCAGGGAACCAGGGCTCCACTCAATTCAAATGCTTTCCTCCTGTTCCAGATCAAAGGGATCAGCGAGGCGAAGGCAGACAAGCTTATGAACCTGGCCGCGAAATTGGTCCCTATGGGATTCACCTCAGCCACGGAAATACATAAGCAGCGATCCGAAATCATCTACATAACCACGGGCAGTGCCGAACTGGATAAACTCCTGGGAGGAGGAATCGAGACGGGAAGCGTAACCGAACTTTTCGGCGAGTTCCGTACCGGCAAAACTCAGCTGTGCCACCAGCTGGCCGTGACTTGTCAACTACCGATTGACAACAACGGCGCCGAGGGCAAGGCACTGTACATCGATACCGAGGGAGAGTTCAGACCCGAACGCTTGCTCGCCGTTGCGGAACGATACGGTCTGGAAGGAGAGCAAGTTCTAGACAACGTATCCTGCGCCAAAGCCTACAATACAGATCACCAAACACAGCTTCTGATGGAAGCGGGTGCATTGATGTCCGAGAATAGGTACGTACATACGTCTGACCGCCGCGATGCGCTTCCGTCGTTCTGTCAGCGATTTTCGATCAGATTTACGATCTTCACCGATCCGTAAAATACGATGTGGGTAATTCTCTGGTGACCGAGGAAGGATCCATCCTCACAGGTACGCGCTGCTCATCGTGGATTCCGCAACCGCCCTGTACAGAAGCGATTATAGTGGTCGCAGCGAACTCAGCGCTAGACAGATGCATATGGCGAAATTCCTCCGCATGCTCGGCCGATTGGCCGACGAATTCGGCGTTGCGGTCGTCATCACCAACCAGGTCATGGCTCAAGTTGACGGAGCCAGCTTGTTCCAGGTGAGCTCTCTAGTTCATTGAGTGAGTGAGGTCATCGGAGACAGACCACTCTGATTTGTTGCTCAACAGCGTCGTTCCCCATCTCCAGGATCCGCGCCGGCCAGTTGGTGGGAATATCATGGCCCACGCATCGACGACAAGGCTGTACCTCAAAAAAGGTCGGGGGGACAACCGCGTTTGTAAAATCTACGATAGTCCTTGCTTACCTGAAAGCGAAGCCCAGTTCGCTATCTCACCCCGAGGCATCGAGGACGCCAAGGACACCTGAACCTTCGAGACAAAGCAGTCAGTGAGCGTTTAATCTTCGCAGGAAATGAGCGGAGTCTTATATTTGTTTCCAATGCTGTAAATAAAACATGAAATTTTTGTGGGACGATTTCAAACGGAAGTGGACCCCCTGCCTACTCTTTGATCGCAGCTCACAGTTGTGGAAGGAGCATGATGTACTAGAGTTCTGTCTCGGACCTGTCAGAGTCATATCGACAAAGGGTTCATGGTTGGGCTTCCGAAATTATCGTTCTAGCGCTATCCAGACCAGGTACCCGAGGGGGAACGAGGACTGCCTCTCCGTGGAGTTCAATTACGGATATATCTCGAAACACTGCGAATATAGAATGACAAATGCGTGGTATCAGGGGTCCAAAAAGTATCCAGACCGGCGGATCCACCCAACCTCGAGGGATGATGATGGGGAGGAACTTTCGGATTCTGTGTGTACAGAGAGGTTCATCTTTGATGACGTCGGCATCAATGGAAAGACGGTTCCCCTGGATGGGAGCGATTCGTGTGCGAGGGAAGACAGGTAGTCAGGCGCGGAGACACAGATATCCTCTGGGAGCGACCTCTGGCGGCCCGTTATCAACAACTCCGCTACACAAGCGGTGGTGGAGCACGCTCTTGTCTACGTCCATACCTAATTCGGTAGTTTTCTGCGGCGCCCGTGAGCCTTCGCTACAGATGTACGTTCGTATGAAAATTTTATTCTCGAAATCTCGATCTCCCCTCGCGTCCGACTCCGCAAGATCATCGGTGCCCGAGTTAGTTCGAAAATCGATTCATGGGAGTAGAGAGCAATGATACTGACGGTGCATTTAGTAATCAATCTGAGTACGATAACTTCGGGGTTTGACCCGCAGTAGTGCCGAGACCGCCCCATGATCAAGGGAGAATGATGTCGTTCAATAGACATCCGACAAGAGTGAAGCGGATAAACACGACTGCAGGAAGGGCCCTGTGAACTCCAGCTATAAGACTCAGTCAGCTTTTTCCGAAACTCGCTTCCAGATGACGATTTTAGCGCGATGTCCTCGGATATTGGGTCGCAGCGTGTCGCTCGTGAGGCACTCATCGAAACTTTCTCTCGACGGTTAGTTTTTGTTGATCGATTCGAATGAGAGCATAGAGATAGGCTTCTTGAATATTTCACCATACAGAACACTGTCACCGCGAGTCTTCACTGAATCGTCTCTCGGAGTCTGCTTTACTTTCCAGACACGATGGGTCTCAACGAAGAACAGTTGCAAATGCAAACAATCGCCAAGAGTTTCGCGGAGAAAGAGTTCCTGCCGAACATGAAAGTTTGGGACAGAGAGGTATCCATGCATTCGGCAATTGCGTCTGAGAGAGTCAAAGAAGAGCGCGTCGAACAGTTCTCACGCTCATCGTGTTTCCTTCCCGACAGCATATTTTCCCGCGGGAAGCCCTCCAGAAGGCAGCCGCGCTGGGTTTCGGGGCGATCAGGGTGCGTGACGAATTCGGTGGTAGTGGACTGGAGAGTTTGGACTCCGCGATTATTTTTGAGGCCCTCGCCAGGGGTTGCACTTCGACCGCCGCATATCTGAGTATCCACAACATGGCAACATGGATGATAGACTCGTTCGGAAGCACAGAGCAACGAGCCAAGTGGTGAGCGCCCTCCGCCATTCTCCCCTCATTCTGATGGGCATCTTGTCGTGAGTTGATGCGATCAAGCGGTAAACCTCCAACATTGTGCATGCAATGGTCGATTACCCCTCCACAGGATTTCGAAATTGGCTTCCATGGAATTCTGCAGCTCGTACTGTCTCACCGAGCCGGGCAGCGGAAGCGACTCCGCGGCTCTATCAACCAGAGCGGTGAAGAACGGGGATTATTACGTGATCAACGGGAGCAAAGCATTCATATCCGGAGCCGGCGAAAGCGATTTATATGTCTGCATGGTCCGCACGGGAGCAGCTGGACCAAAAGGTCGGACCCTCTGAATTCCTAGTCCCGAAAGATCCCCGCTTAGGCTCTCGCCCGATGACAGTACGATGGTTTTTCCCAGGGATAACATGTCTCGTAATCGAGAAAAACTCTCCGGGCCTTTCGTTCGGCAAAAACGAGAACAAACTCGGCTGGAATACTCATCCGACGAGAGCTGTGATCTTCGAGGATTGCAAAGTTCCCGTGAGCAATCGATTGGGCGAAGAAGGACAAGGGTTCAACATAGCCATGAAAGGTCTCGCTTCCCCGCGCCATCCCATTTCGCGCACAGGACGCTTCTGCGGGGAGGAATCCCGCAGAGCTGGAGATTTTCCTGAGGAGAGGCACAAAACGAGACAGAATGACCCGCGACGTCTCATTTCCCAGGACTCAACAACGGACGGGTGAATATCGGCGCCTGCTCGGTCGGAGCAGCTGCTGCCAGCATCGAGTTCGTCGCCCACTACATGAAGGATCGTAAGCAATTCGGGAAGCCGATAGCGGATTTCCAGGTGGGTGGGTACCGGGATCACGAGGGATTCGCTGGCTGATTCGGAGCCTGATCAAGATCAAAACGATAATGGATCTCATCCGTCGGAATAGAATATACATTATTTCTGAGAATACCGACTGCCAGTCTGCCATGATTCAATCTTTTAGTTCAATCAATTCCGCTTGGCGGAAATGGCGACCAAGCTACAAGCCGCAAGGCTCATGGTGAGGCAAGCGGCGAGAACTTCTCAGGAGAATCGAGAAAACGCAACCCAGATGTGTTCGATGGCTAAATACTTCGCAACCGAAACCTGCTTCCAAGTGAGTCTGAAGAGGAACTTCTGGAAGACGTGACTTGCGAATCCTTCGACAATCCATTGATGTGAATAGAAAGAAGAGAGAAATATTGTGGGCACGAAGAAGAGTCGTCTCCGTTACAGATCACGGATCAGGCCATGCAGTTGATGGGTGGATACGGATTCATAAACGAATTCCCTGTGCAGCAGTATTTCCGGGACTGCCGAGCTCATCCCATCATCGAGGGAACGAACGAAATCATGCGACTCATAATTTCTAGAGACATTCTCAAATAGAAGCCCCTCCGGGAAGTCTTATGGAGAACGAGAGAAGGACGAGCGGAGCCTGTCTACCGGAAGATTCGCACAAGAGACTTGCAGTGATCATGTTTCGAACGTCGCGACGTTTGAATGTATGGATGATCCGATCATGGACTAAATACTCATGGGTCGAGGGAGACTGTACCGGTCCTTGTACGAGTTTTCTCTTAATAGGTAGAAGCCAACGCCCCCCGCCGGGCGAAGTCCAAGTCCGCATCCGACGCGTGCTTATGTTTTCCGTCTACGACACAGCTTCCGTAATCGGCCCCCTCCTCGCGGAAGTCAGTTCAGGCCGAAGTTTCATACCCGCGGCAAAAGACGATTCCGACGCATTTATTCGATTCTGTGTATATACAAGAAATACTTGCAATTACTGAGGGCGTTGGAGATACTCACCGGGTCGGCGTCGCCAGATATTGATCACGGAAACCTATGCAAAAAAGGGGGGAGCAGAATTCGTCGAGTAAAAACCGTGCCCAGAGAACCACGGGCGCAGCCCTGTAGAAGCACGATCACAGTTCCACGCTCGTGGGTTCGGCTCATTGTCTCGAACTCGGAGAACCGAGAGTGTCCGGAAAAAATAACATTTTCCGCTGTCTCCCGCTCGGTTCGAGATCGGACTGCGTGATTCTCGGACGATAGAATGGAGAACCGCGGCAGAATGGAACTTCCAGGTTGGAAGACTCCAGTCGAAATCTATCACCCAGTCGAGGAGCTCCGACTGCGAATCGATTGCTTTGGACCGTATCCCCTCGAATGGATGTCGATAACACATTCGAAATTCCAAAGGTTTCGCTCCGAAGAGTTCAACATTCGGTCTTTTCGTTACGAAAGTTTTTTTAGCATCTGTAGAATATGTTGATGCTAAGCTTCGAAGCGGTCATGCAGGAAATTCAGCGGCGAATCCCGGAAAGTTCCTCGGAGGACCCTCTAAAATGTCTCAGCGAATCGACGGTTGCCCACGTCTGCGCTGTAGGAGGCTCCACAGAAAATTGAGCCGTTGGAGATCGAAGAAGAGAAAAACTGTTCTTCGGGCCCGTTCCAAGAGAGGGCTCTCGAAGGATTGATTGCCTTAAGAAGGATTGCCTTGTGACCAACTAGATTCACTGCGAGCTTCCCGATCCCACCAATCACGTTCTCGTTCTCATGTCATTCTCCATTCCCTGTGTTCCACCAGGTGGGTCAAGGTTTTCGACCCGGTCCATGTCGTCTCTTGTGTCAGCTCTCCCAAGTCTTCTCTGATCTGCACATTTAGCTCATCCCGGCGTGGTTTTGAAATCGTTCCCAATTCTTAGCGAGACTCAACGGCTCCAAGGCTTACAATCGTACGCATGCTGAAGCGCTGAGTCTATGGGGAGAGCGTTCAAGGAGTACGCGGGTGAAATTCAATTTTCCAAAGATGGAATCTGTCGAGGAAATGGACACAATGGTGCTGATGATCTTTGCTGAAACTTTGACTGGTATAGGGCGGCTTCTTTTATCATTTTCCAAGTCTGGTTCCTTGATCATTGGGACCCAGGGAGATCTCACTGGAGTCACACGGAGCAACACACCAGGCTCACACGAGGGAACACACCAGGATCTCGAACGACGGATCCTCCGTAAGAGCTCTCCGGAGAGTCTGAATATGATTCCACTGCATCTCGCTTCGTTCGAGTATAGAAAGAAGGGCTTTATGGAATATTTTGCGATTTGCTGCGCTCCTTCCAATTCGTAAGTTCATGAGTCGATCCATACCTTACATCTCAGATCGACACGGCTCTTATCTTCGAGAAGCGACCAGCGACTCTCATTTTTCTCAAGGAGCCTGGACTCAGCCTTGCGTTATTTCCACAGGAACAGCGAGATCATTTCGAGAATATTACCGGGACCAAGCTCAGTATTTCACTGCACAATGGTCGCTCAGAAGCGCGGAACTTCGCAGCCGCTCCCGAAGAGAAGTTGCATCGATGCATGGATCGTAGACTACCAACTCTAGGTACGCCGTAATCAACCCGCGTGGTAGCCGAGTGGCTAGCGGGTGCGTCGCATGCGCTACTGTGACGCAACCGAACTCCCGAGGCCAGCGAATATTTTCTGTTGCAAAATTGAGCTTCCCAATCGAGGAGTAGAGTAAGTCGAGATTGCTCTTCGAGGGAGCCATGGCACTCCCGCTGGTATCCTACCCCGCCGCTGTGTGAGAGCAGGAAGAAAAAAAACTTACGCCGTAGAAGCACACCAATTATAGCTAGAGACTTCGATGAAGAGGCGTTGGATCAGAAATTCTGTGTTTTCCTTCGGGGCTCATTCTCGCCACCAATACCTTTCATTCAAATTTTAGAAGACGAGGCCCCGTTCGACGGCTCTCTCGAATCTCGCCACGTGCAGAGTTCCAGCGAAATCGGAGGGCACCGAAAAGCTTTACTCTTGACAGAGAAGCAACTCAGTGCCTCCAAGGTTTCTGCAAACTTCCGTGTAGTTATCGATCATTCTCCTGTTCCTCTGAAAGGATACCGCGGAATAAACCTCGCCAGTTACTCCACGGACTCATGAGTTTCGCTCATGAGTGGTTAAAGATTACCAATCTCGATGTTTTATTCGACGAATGTAGCGATCCCAAGTTCATCAGAACCGAACTCGGTGTCGAATGAAGAAGCCCTCGACAGTGGCAGGAACTTCCCAGCAAATGATCGGAATAGATTCTGATAGAATTAGAGATTCTGAGAAAAATGACATTCGATGCGAAGGTCAGGACTCTGGAGAGACAATGAGGCTGCCTTCAAAACCTCGATCATCAGAGGTGCGCATATCAACTTTCGACGAGTTTCCGAATGATCCGCATAATCATCATCATCATCATCATAATTCATGATCGCCTCACCCGGTCTGAGCGTTGTCCTCCTATCTCACTCAGATCTTGAGAACTCATTTTTGACCCACTGGAAGACGGAACTGGAAAACGACAGACTCATTAGCACGCGCAGCATACAGAGATCAGATATATCGTTGTAATATCCTATCGCCCTCAATGGCGGTCTGGAATAATTTTTCCCGCTTTCCATGGGACGGGAAATATAGGGAGGAGTCTCAAATTCTCCCTTGTAATTCGGAATGACGATTTCCTCTGATATACATGAGAGTGAAACTTCGTACAGCGATAATTAACGTTCATCATCGCTCTCGAGACCGAGCTCATCCGAGCGCAATTTTCTCCGCTTCGGGACCATAGTTGGATGGTTTCCTCTTTGCCTCGAGTCTGATCACGGACTGTCAATGCGACTCCGAGGAACCAAGCGACGATTTCGGCTCCCCCTTCGAACGACTCCCGAAATGACATAGCTCGGGGGAGCAGTCTCGCCGGCTGCCATCCCGTCACCGCCAATAAGAACACCCTGTTTCCTTTGTATATATCATATTGTCTGTCTATGTATACTACCGATCGAACGTCCGCCTCGACGGGCAGACCAGCAGTAGACGACGCGGCTCTTACTCTCAGACTCTCAGATACAAACTCTGAAGCGCCCCTTCAAATCGATCGACCATACAAAATACGAATATCTGCCGGGTCGGCCCGTCTTTGCCCGAAAGGAGATTGAGATTGATTTTCCGTCGCGTTCGCGAATTTATCAGTGGTGGGTCCTGCTCAAACCTTTAGACATCATCATCATCAACATCATCATCATCGGGGAGAGTCTCTCAGGAGAAAGAGCGCCCGCAGCGGCGGCGGCGGAGGTTTCGGCACTGGCACCAGCGATGGCTGAAGAGAGAGTGGCTTTTCACGCAGTCCTCTCAGCGGGAGGTCTTTAGGTGGGCGCGCGTGAGTCCACCTCTGGAAGCTTCGTTTCTAGCGTTAGTTCGCAGGGAGAAACAAGTCAATTCGCATCAATCGAACCAAAATCGTCGATCCTCACTTTCATCGCGCAACTCCGGGAGAAAAAACGGTGAATTCGCTGTCTTCGACTTGTGGAAGACTACGAGCCTCGAAGGAGCAGTCAGTAGTGCTGTCCACACGGGTTCCCAAACAAACGGCGGGCTCTGAGCAAAGAAACCCATTCCAGTCCAAATTGGTGAGTCTTCCGGAAGATTAAGCTTAGGTTTCTGTCTCCGGACTGTCGAGGTTCTAATCGCCGATCTTGGGACGAGCTACGCCTCGATTCAGCGTTTTTCGGCTTCCAGTGTCGACCGTCCACTGTCGTCACCGATATTTGACCATACCCAGCTCGCAGAGCGTGTTTCCTGATGTTCTTGGCCAGGGAGATTTATCGAGTCGCCAGACATTTTATGGAGTCGCTCCCGACATTTAAATAAGGCGGAAATCCGGGGAAATTCAAAATATATTTAAAATATACGGCCCCGCACTAAACCAAGATGGCGGCCAATCTGTTCCATTTTTGAGATAATTCCGACAAGTTTTCTGTCTTGTTAGTCATGAGTTTGATCTGACTGATGAGCGGAACGGACCCGATGACCGTGAGTTACAGTTGCAACTTTGAACCGAGTCACATCCGTGCGGAAGAAACGCAAATCTCGATAAGCAACTGGCCCGAGATGGTCAGGCATATCGTACACTCTCCCTACGATGCTATTCGCTCACTAACATCATATACGCATCGGATCCCTATTGGCGCTGCTCAGCGTTGATCGTAATGACCATCGAGTTCCCCTTACGAGCGCGACTGCCTGTAAACATCTCTACTTTCTAAGACTTTCGAACGCCATGTCTCGATAAGCGCATGGAGTACATGTGGGTTCCATGGGGGATCATCCGAAGCTATCACGCATCGATTCTGAATCAGAACCAGTAGCTCTGCCATCTACTTAGAAAAAAACAGTCTCAGCTGACAAGACGGGAACTCCTGATTTCCGTCATTCTCTCAACGATATAACGATGCGACATTTTTCAAATCAATGAGTTTCGCGTCTGCTGACAAAGCTTCCAAAATTACGCGTGTACTCTCATTGTCGGTGTCGTTTCGGACAATCATCAGCCCGAGACGCCGTTCGATAATTCAATTTTTCGCGAAGTTTTCGGTCTCCTCCCCAGCCGCGGAAGGAACTCCTTCTCGAATACGTCGAAACTCTTTCGGCGGGGGGCTCATAAGAAACGACATTCATTTTATTGATTCGATGTCACATCATCCCCATCCATGCAAGAGAGTCGCTCACCGATGTCCCGACACCGATCGATCGCTTCGAGAGCTATCGAATCATTTCGGAGAAGGTTTATCTCTTGGGAATGATTGCATCTTCACATATAGAGGCGACGGCGCCCAACAACGTTCTCGTTCTGTTCTTCGATCGCTCTCTCTAAGAGGTACCGATGAATACGGGAACGAATATACTGATCCGAGCATCGAATCTGAAAGAAATCCTGATGCGCGGTTCCGGGCCGCGCACAGTTTCCTGACCTCCGCCCCCTCCTCGAGCACAATTTCCCCTTGATTGCAACAAAATCTCTAAGTCATAATTCGCATTCCAGAACGGTGGTTCAATGGAGTGGACGATGAACGAAGTCCAGAATGAGATCCGTCCCGAGAAGAAGGAGCTTTCGGAAACGGAAAACAAAATGCCCTCGGCTACTGTTGTCAATATACTGGACGAAGCTCTCCGGGAGATATCAGAAGACAGAGTAGAAGATCTCGAGACGAAGACGCAGACAGACATCGTGACGGAGTCTCTTCCCTCGGCAGTCCTAGAATCCGTCACCGCAGCACCTCTACGGGTCGAGGTGCCGCTACCCTCAACGACGAGCATCAACAGCACCGCGGCTTCGGTCGCTCCGTCGAATGTGACTGTGACCACGATGCCCGCCCAAGTTTTCAGCGGCTCCCAAGTCACGTCTGTGTCAGGCCCTGTTCTCGCGACTCCCATCATGGTCACAGGAGTGGTGATCCCTCGAGCTCCGCTCCCTTCGAATCTGATAAGTTTCGTCGACGCTTCTGGGAACATGCAACTTGCGGCGGTCGCCTCGCCGGTCCTGAATCCGATCCACATACGTCCTCCTGGAGTTGTCGTCAACGCGGGCAACTCAACTCCGAGCCCCATCGTGGTGAATTCGCAACCCTCGCCGAGTCCATGCGCGGCTCCGCTGCCGCAGACCGCCGCGGATCGTCCGCGCTGCCTGAGCGCGATAGTGCCGGCCCTGCCTTCGGTGCAACCGCCTATCTTCAAGAGCACCGTGCGCACCATCCAGCCGAACAAGATTGTGATAAAAAATATCACACCACCACTCAAAGCGGAAAAGGAAACCGTGATTCCTCCTCAGGAGACTCCGGCCCCAACTTCGAATTTGGTGCAGTCGTCGCAGCCGGTGGTGACGACGTTGAAACAGAACGCCGAGGCAAAAGCCGTCGTCGAGAGCATCACGATCGAGTCCAAACAGCTGCCACCGCAGCCTGAAACCTCAGAGAGTCCGGCCAGACCTCCAGTCGACTTGGGAGCGGGAATCAAGTTGGAGGGCGAAATTAAATCAGTGGAATCGGTCAATCGGTCAGAGGACGAGGACAAAGTTAACGATGTCAAGTATAAAATTCTGTCTGTCAGCACATCGCAGGGAATCAGTAAGGCCGATGAGCTCGCGAGAACGAATCTTTTCAAACTGGTAGAAAGCGAAAGCAACGTGGTAATCACAGCACCCTCGACCGCAGTTCAAGACATTCTCGATCAGCTGAAGAAACAGTTCCCGGATAAGAAGTTCGTTATCAACTATAACTCGTCGAAGACCGCGTCTGCCAATTTGAAAAACCTTGTCCAGGGCGTAAAGGATGGTGTCGCTGCCGCGGAAAGGGCTCTCAAACGGGCAGACGCCGACAATTCCGTTGGACCACCGTCCCAGTCTGCGAAACGGCGGAAAACTTCAGCGAAGAAAGCGCAGGTCGAAGCTCCCCCGGCGAAGAATCCTGTGAATTACCGCTCAGCGCGACTCAGAGGGGAAAAAGCACCTGACCTGTTCGAAGGGGGTTCGCGGAAACCGAAGCACGAACCCAAGTCCACTTCTAGTCCCACGAAATCAGGCTCGAACCCGCCTCGTGCAAGAGGTCGCCCGCGTAAAGTCAGAGTCGAAGCCTCCGAAGACTCCACAGTAAGTTGAATATGATAGTTCTTTGTTGCTCCCTCCTCATTTGTCGCTTGAGATATCCTCTCTCGGGCTCCGGCAGGATTCTCGAAATAGCCCGAATGTCTTTCTTCAGACGCAACAGAAGAATGCTTCACAATGCTTACCAAGGAATCAAGATGCCGTAATGCTCGGGGAAGAGGACTCGACGGCGTCGTCCGGTACCAGCTCGGGTCAATCGAACGAGTACAACGCCGAGATCCGCGTCGGGGACGAGTACCAAGCTGTGCTCACGGAATTCAGCAGGTCGCCGCCACCCGACGATTATGATGAAAAAGCCGATCTCATCTATCATCCCGAGCAGGTAAGTGACTCTACTCGTTCCTCGGGGATTCCTTTTCCTCACGAGAGAACAAAGACTTGAGGAAGACCTGTTTTCGAGCGATCGTCTATATTCCAGGGTTTGTTGAAACCGAATCATGAGGGGAACGCGAAAGCTGATGGATTGCCGCTGTACGATTTCGTGGAATGGAGCCACCAGGAAAAACGGATATTCAAGAAATATCTTGGAGGGTATAAGACGAAATTCTTCAAGTATCTATCCGTGCTGCCCAATAAACGGCTCTTGGACGTCATCGACCACTACTACTCCACGCACAGCCCGGCTCGCGATTACGTTCTGCCCAAGAAGAGCAAACAGTTAGTTCCGCTTGCCGAGAGGGGTCGACACAATCTTGTTTATCCGACCCCATACCGTGAAAAACTCGAAGACGAGTCATCGGGTGTGTTTATAAAATTTGAATTTTCCGCAGCTATTACCTTGTGAGCAAGAACAAGCAGATCGTCGCTCCGAAGGGAGTGTTCGGGATCATAAACGAGAAACGGAAAGTTGTGCCCAACCGGAAATTCAGTGCCAATTCCAATATCGTCCTCTACGACGAGGCGTTGCCCACCAGAAAGCCCAGAGAGAGCGCGACCCGGAAAGAAAAAGCGATATCAAATGGAAAGCTCTCGAAGATCGTTAAGTTTGAAGATGTTATGAAGCCCATGCCCAACAGCAGTAGTCAGAAAACAAAGAAGAGCACCGGTGAGGCTATACCACTACATCTGACTGTATTGAGCTGATAGAGTTCCTCCGTGGACACCCGATCGAAGTTTCGGTTCACCGTTGTCGCTCGATGGTTTGATCGGAGCTTAAGTTATTTAATACGCTCGCCTCTTTCTCGTGTTTCCAGAGGTCGTATCATCGGTTTCGTCGGCGGAGAACTCAGAAAACGAGAGCGAGCTTTCAACGGAGGAGGACGCACTGAGCTATGGGATGAAGAAGCAGAGACCCGGCACCGACTTCGGCGACGACGTGAAAGAACTCATATCGAAAGAAGTGAGTTATTCTGTCATTTCGTGCACGAAACGAACGGCGACCATATGAATTCCGGACTCATTCTCAGTATCTTTTTCTCCCCCTGCAGTCGGTCAGCGAAATAGAAACTTTGGACGAAGATCTCGAGAAGCTGAAGGACGAGCTGACGTCGATGAAGAACGCCTATAATCGTAATAAAGCGGAAGCAGTACAAATGGAGGCAGAAATGAAGAAAATTGCCAAATCCGTCGATTCCGTGAACAAGGCTATTGGCAAGGCCCGGAAAATTACGGAAACCTGGAGCGAGGAGGACAGGTAGGATTTAAGGAATTTCGCAGACAAAATTGAAGACGATGGGTGCGAGTTACCTCAAGGGACGACACTAAAAACTTTCGATTTCTTTCCAGACTGTTGACGATTCAAGCATTTAAGACGTACGGCAAGGACTTCAAGGCTGTTAGCAGACTCGTCGGGACGAAAAATGAACAGGCGATAAAATATTTCTACGATACCAATGCGCAACGGTTAGTTGATCTCCGTCCGCAACTCTCAGCTTTTCGACACGGGACGTTCAGCTGCGTTGACGCATGGACCCTGCAGAGACTCGGGCGAACCGAATGCCTAAAAGGATAAGGCCTGAAGAACATTATTCTTACGATTTCAGGTACGGCTTGGATACTCCGATAGCCTCGAGTAGTAAAGAAGCGGCTGTCGTCGCGGCGCAACCGCCCGCGAGTCCCTCGAAACCCACTGCCCCAGATTCTCCGGCTCGAGGTCCCCGACCCATGCCGTCGATACTTCGAAGAAAAATTGCAATGAAACCGCTCAAGTCGTGAGCGGCTCTCGAAACTAGCTATTCTATGATTTGTGATCTAGGGTTTCTCTGAGCAGTATTCCTACCGCAGAACATGACTGTGCAGATAATATCGGTCGATTGGGGAGCTTTCGCTCCTCCGAAATCTTTCGCGGAAAGAACGAAACGAACGGGGAGCAGTCAAGGTCGTGTTGGTGCCGGCCGACTGGAATGAGTATCATGGGGGAGTACGCCCGTGAGCTGAATTTGAATAATTTAATGTTTACGAATGAATTAACAACTGGTGACAGCGGGTCGTAGTACTCAATAAAGCATTGCTCAAGTCGGAGATGATAGCGTCGATCAAAAGCGACAAAGCTGCCGAGAATCCGCCGAAACCCCGAAATCGCGAGAGCGACGCTAGCTAGAGATTGATCGGCTCGAAATCAATCGGAAAATAATGACTTGGATCCATCGGGCAGCGACGATGTTTCCTCCCGATCCACGTCTACCCGATAGCGATTGCGTACTTTAAGTTCAGAAGGAAGATTACGACTTCAATTTAGTTTTGAGCGGATTTTGTTCATATCGCGAGGCGTTCCGGGTTGTAGCTGGCTTTTAAATCAGAGGCTTCGTACAGAAGCGCTCAGCGACATCATTTTGGAAGTAAGAACATGAGGAGACGAAATGGATTCTTGTAACTAGTACGTAGATCTGTGTAGATGTCTTTTGATCTAGAAAAAATTCGAGCCTCGATGCGTGCACCGGGCGTGTACGATACGGTGACAATTATTACCGGACGAAAAACTGACCTATACGCTTACTCTCGATGGGGAGGTTTGTGTAAATAAAATGTATAGCCATATTGCGAAGCCTTCCATCCATTTATTGTCTCTTCCCCTGTCCATCTACTCGCTGGACCGTCATCAGTCCGCCTTGAGTTTCTCCGAGACGGCTCTCGCTGCATGCTCCAGCTGCTCGAGCGGTAGGACTGGATCCATGCAAAGCTCGGCGACGAAATCGGTTTCTCTGTGAGCATGTACATCACAAGGGCCGATTGTCTCCATGAAGGAGGCGACCCATCTTTTGGCGGTGAACGATTCCTTGAACGAGAGAAGAAGTCGGATAAGCGGCGAGAGATTGTCGCTTCCCTTGAAAACAATTCTGCGTGTGCTTGCAGGCCAGGTGAGCTTACCGATTGCGTGACCCTGCACAAGACGTGAACTCTACCGCAGGACTCGAGGATTACGAAGGAGGATGTCCCGCGCTCCTTCATCGTTTTTCGGACGACACTCTCGTCACAATCGAAGCTTATGCTGCCCACAGCCGGCTGTCCCGTTATTCTATCCAGACGAGCCCTGATCTGTAGAACACATAGATTTAGGGAGGGACCGAGATGTTCGAGGGGATTGTCAGTTTTTGTTGACGGGACGCAGGAGTCCCGTGATCGGGAAGGACTCGACTCATCCGGTTGATGGAAACCTACCTCCGGCTCTATTCTCTTGCTGTTCTGTCTCGTCAGCTTCACGACGCGGGCATCGATCCTTTCCAAACGCATCAATGATTTTGTCGTATCCAGGTGAGGCATCAATTCGGCCGCGATGAAATTCCTCAGGGCCCGTACCCGCGTGGATGCTGCTTGGATTTCCCGATAACTAAAAGGAGAGATTAACATATATACTCGGGACGGACGAAAATAGATCCCTCCTCTAGACGCCAGACGGTCTCCTGTCGGGGGACCATTTTCTGCCGGTATAGAGCGCGTACTCATCCGAGAGCGATTCCGAATCTTTTTCCAGCTGTTCGACCTCTTGATGAACTTTCGCGGCATTAGCCCGCGCGACATGCGCCCGACTCGCAGTGGCTCTCACTATTTTCACATTCGCTCCAGCGGACCGAGAACCGACGATCACTACAGGAGGGATTTCTCCCGTGGAATTGACATGCCTGGAACCATCAGAGCCGGGGAATCAGATGACGGAATTCAGAGACCTGAGGGCGCCGTTCAGTCATTTCGAAGGCGGGGTGGACGTGGGAATGGGTTGGATGTCCCGACAGCCGGCGAGCTGCACTCACGTTCCGCAGCAAGGTTCCTTCGAGACATCGCCGCATTGGACGAGGCGAACTTTCGCGGGATAGACCTCGTTTGGGAGCTTGATGATGCTCGAATCGTTCATAATGATCTCTCTCTCGACCTCCTCCCACTTGACAGCGTGGTTGAGCTTGATCGCATTGTTTATGAAGTCTTCTGCCGACTTCACATCCACCGCAGAACTGTGGAAACGAGTATAGCAGTAGCAGATTCGGAGGGTCGCACCCAACCCTCAGAGACAACGAGTTTGAGATGTTTACCGTGATGCGATTTCTAGACGAAAATGCTCTCCGTCGACCAAAGAACTTCTCTGTACAGCGCCGGCTCCGAGCTGTTCCTTTAAGGCCGCATTGAGCAGATGTACGGCCGTGTGATGCTGAGTACAATTCCTCCGTCTGGACACGTCGACCTTCATTTCAACTGACGAGTGTTCTAGTGGAGCTCTACCGCTACACAGATGATATAAATATTCTCCGACTTTCACCACTCTGACCACTTCACTCTCCGACCCCTGCAAAGGGAGAGTCCATCCACTCAGCTTCCGAAGGGAGCCAGGCACCCACTTCCCTGAAATCCCTGTACCGGCTCGATCGGATGGTAGCCTCAGGGACAAGTTTATAAGAACTCACGCTGGAGCAGAGAGTGCCAACGTCGGATACTTGACCACCACTTTCTGGGTAGAAACATGTTTCGCGTGTCACGACGACGCAGTCAGGACCCTCTTGCCCTGCGTAAAGTATTTCCGAATGCATCTCTGGAAAAAAAGACTTCGTTAAACTCTCATATCAGGAGCTTCACTACCGGGAGAGCATCGCGGAATTCGGGTTTCTGCTTCATGGTTCAAGGGGAAAACTTGGGGGATGCCGACGGAAATTTCGAATTACCAAATCGGTTGCAATAGACAGCTGAGTAGTCGGTGACCGGGAGCTTCCGCTTCGTTACAGAGTCGATGTGTTTTGGAAGGTTGAATTTCGCAAGGACATTTGGTCCCACGGATTTCCGCTTGAAATCTTCGAGATGCTGATCGAATTGAGCCCAGTCTATGTCCTAAATTGATTGAACGTTTCAAGAGCGTTGAGGAATCAAGCCGGATATTCCGAGGCAGACAAGGGCAACGAATCCCCCACAGAAGGCGTGCACCTCCATGTCTCGGGGAAATACATTCGCTAACGATTCCCTACCTTGATTCCGCGTTGGGAGCAGATGTCTACAATGTTGTCTTTGGGGAGCCCACAAAGCTGGTACAATTTCCAGGCTGTCGTCCCTGGAAAGAATCATAGATTCGGTACAATTAGATGAAAAGCCAATTAGATGAGCTCAAGGGCGGGATTCCTTGAGAGTTTCAAGACGCGGGAATACACTTTCAAAGTCGGGACATTTTTTGGTGATCGACGATGAACTGTTTCTGTAGGGGAGCTCTAATGAAAGCGAAAAACCGGGCTTCCTTCGGTGAATTTCCCGCGCTGTCAATCGACTCAGTCCTCTCCGTCCATTTCTTCCGAGCTTTAGAGATTCTGACTGTTGACAACATCACCTATCTCCCAGACTCCGTCCCGAGGATTTCTTCCTCAGCTTCGGAGGAGGGGGAGCGCGGGAGAATTCCGGAGATCACTTCGATCTCCCTCCGGCATGGACATCCGAGGATCTTCACGTCTAACTCTGTTCTACCATGTGACGGCAGCCTTCGCACTGAGTTTTCTCCTGCTGCCCGGCGTTTTCGGCAGCTTCATAGTGTCGGACATCGATCTCGGATTGCCACTGTTACTTCTGGCGGTGCTTTTCGTCCAAGCTTCGACTCTGTGGTGGTACGACAAGAAGGTCGGCTCAACATTCAACCCCAAAGACGTACCGGTGAGCTTCGTGGACTCCATTCGAGCACTGTCCCCACGATAGAGACAATTTATTTCATAGAGCGATCGCGATCTCCTCGCGAGACTCTCCGCAGGCGGAACGGGACCTTCAACGGCTCCCCCGTTTTCTGAGCTCCCAGGGGCTGACCTTGAGAGAGCTGAATTCTCCAATCGACAGCCCCACGAGCCGAAATCATATTCTCTCTTTTGCAGGCGGAAACATACATCCGGCGTGCGATTTTCGGTGCCGCTTCGATACTCGCCATCCACATCTCGATTGTGCTGTTCGGAGCGCCGCTCATCGATGCGATATATGAAACTTTCTTGTTGTCCTGTTTCATCGCTGCTCTGACAGCATGGCCTTTGGCGTGGCTGACCGATTGCAGCACGGTCACGCTGGACCGCCTATTCTTCCAAAGGAAGTAGGTTGATCCGAAATTCTTGGAGGGAGAGCGAACGATGTTCAGTCTGATACGATCCCGGCTTTCATAGGAACAGAGGCAGATAATAAAAAACGGGACTCTCGTTTTCGCAGGATTGATCACGTCATGGAACGTTCGTTGGTGTACGTGGTCATCTGTACATTGATGGGTTGCTGGCTTGGAGCCATCCCTATCCCCCTCGATTGGGACGAGCCTTGGCAACGGTGGCCGCTGACATGTGTCATGTCAACGATAGGAGGCGCGGTTGCCGGACATCTCGCGCACGCAGGGAAAACGGTCATGAGCGGCCGGCCGGAATCATATAACACGCCCAAGGGAAAAACTCTGAGAGCGTGACATGTTCCGAATAAAAATAATCTTATCGTAGACGTGGTTTCTTCGGAGCTTGATCGAATTTTCTTGGGGCAACGATGACAGGAGAACATTGATTCGGTTCACACAGGCGATCCGAACATACATGGCAGGTTTAGAACTCGTTGGCATTCTCGGCGCATCGGATGCGAGAATGAGCGCAGCGTCTCCCTGGATTGATTGAAGACCGCCTCGATCGGCGCAGCGCATGGATACGCGTTTCCCCGAGAGAGGGAAACAACACGGAATTCTCAGGTTGCCGACTAGCATTTCGAAATGCTGAGACTCGATGTCAACGATCCTCAACTCTTTCGAGATTCGCGTCTTGATTCGCCCATCGGATGTCGACGTTACGAACGGAGCTCACGGAAGGCAACGGTGACGCGACTTGACACACCTCACAAGTGTGCCTTTCGGATATTCCTCCGGATCTCCAAACTGAGGGCAAGCGCGAAGTCCCATTGGGAAGACTTACCGCTCAAAGTTTCTACTCCATCCTCCTCCTTGAGGTAGCCGTCGGCTTTCTTCAGCATCACTATGTAGCGTCTTTCCTCTTCATCGACTATACTCTTGATACGATCGATCTGCAGAAGTCCAAAGTTGGACATCAACAGGAGTTCTCTCTGTTGGGCCATGCAATGTTTCCGGAACGAGATCGTAGCTTACATTTTCGAGTTTCAAGGATTCAGCAGCTATCGCGCACGTGTTGCTGACCACCCCGGGTTGAAGTCTGAGTCGGTCGCGGGCAGCGTGAGTCGCGCGACGGATCACCTGACGCAGTTTGTTCCTGAGAAGGTGCTCGAATGAGTGGGAGAGCGTTCCTTCCTGGCGGAGAAGGAGCAAGGCTCTGGTTTCCTCTTACCCTGCATCGACGTGATCAGGGAGAATTCCCTGGTCGATGGATTTTGCCGCCATTCGACCATGATCGGCCACCAATCGGAAAGCACAGTCTTCGAGACTGGTGAAGGAGCCTCCGTAAGTTTTGCCGCTCGTCTGCGGCGAGAAAAAGGGATACTCACTCAGATCGAAGGCTGATACACTTACATCTGTAGCGGTGAGAAACTCCTAGACCCGGACAAGAACGACTTACCTTCTCCAAGTATTGGATCATCGGCCTGAAGAGGTCCGTATCGTAGTTCGACGATTTTCCTTGCAGAAGCGCACAGAGCCGTTCGAGCCCCATCCCGGTGTCCACGAAGGGCGTTTCGAGTGGTCGTAAGCTCCCATCGGACAACCTGATTCGAGAGTCGCTTGAATTTCGATGCCTGAGCTCGTCGGATTTATTATAGCGAAAAGCTTGTATTCGAACCGTATACCTGTTGTATTGGACGAAAACCAGATTCCAGATCTCTCTCAATTGTCCGTCGACAACCACATGAATTTCTGTGCAGGGACCACAGGGACCTGTCTTGCCCATTTCCCAGAAATTGTCGCGAACGCCTTTCGCCAGAACGGCTCTCTCGGGGAAACTGGGAATCAATTGCCATTTACATTCGGCGGGGACGAGTTATTCACCTTGAAGACCTTCAAAATCCCTGGTAGATAAAATGTTCACCCAAGTCTCAGCCAGATATCTCTTGTTTCAAAGTCACACGGAAGTCCAAGATCCGCATCACCCCCGAAATGGGTCACAACCAGATCATCTTTCCTCAATCCATAGCAGACAGTGAGCAGCTCCAACGCGAGGCCGCACGCTTCATCCTGAAGATAAATTTATGAAGTCCCGAATGCTCGGAGATTTTATAAATACTCGCTAAGCGCTAGGAGGTACGGAGCAATAAGGGGAGATTCACCTTGAAATAATCACCGAAGGACCAATTGCCCAGCATTTGGAAGAAAGTATGATGGTGTCCATCGAGTCCGACTTCCGAGAGGTCGTTGTGTTTCCCGCCGACTCTCACGCAATCTTGCAGGGAAGCCACCCGCTTCACTACGGGAGCCTCGTAGCCGGAGAGAATTCGGTGGAACTGCAAGATACTGCCTTGGTCTCTACCTCGAATCGTTTCACCAACTGCTTCCGGGAGGGCTCCGGCTGAGAGTGAGCTCGTCATCACCCTCCACCTAGGGTCCTCACCTGATTCATTCCGGAGTTGGTGAATAGCAGACCTGTCTCTGGTGGGGCCAACAGAGGACTTGACGGAACTACGGCGTGCTGCCTCCCCTCGAAAAACTCCAAAAACCTAGAGGTGGCTTCATGACTGCTCAAGCCTCTTCGGGATGTCCAACGGACTGACAGCACGACTCTAAGCATCTTGGTTCGGCGGAAAACGAATATCTAGTCCCTCACAGGATTCGTATCACCTCATCCTCCGTTCGGTGACTTCCTCAAAATAATTGCGGTCGGGATCCCCTCACAAGTCACGTTCTCCGACTCCCTCTGTGAATGCAGGAGGCATTCTCGGTAGCCATGGGTTTTTGGAGAGTTTTCGGTTCTGGTGCCGACACCGCGTTCGATTCAGCTGACGATGAGAGAGCCATCCGCGCACCATGTGTTCGAGACTTCACGACAGGTAGGCCTTTAAGACGAGTCCTATTCTCGATGTGAAAAACTGGGCTCGGAATCGTAAACGTACATCCCCCAGAGTCCACAAGCTGTCCGTAAGGACCCGAATACCCGATATCAGTCGGAGGCAAACAACCTATCCGAATGCTGGGTCAGAGACATAGTCTATGAGACGTCGAGCTCGACGAGAATTTCGGAATGTTTCGCGGAGTTTCCACAGAGAACAATCGAGTCTGCACTGAGTCGAGGATATCTCGAAGCAATCATTCCGGAGAAGACTTGTCGCCTAAGCTTTTCATTTGCGGTCGCTCCCCGCTTCGAATGTCTCCTATTTTTTGCCGGCGGCCGCTTCAGCGTCAGACTACGCCGAAACGGCTGACGCGAACAAAGGACTACATGCTCTAATCCAGCGGGGAGCTCCGTGGAATATCTCACTAGTCCCTCGGAGAACTTTTCGATACCCGTACTTGGAAGAAATGCTCAAGTTTGAGTCCTTTTGGCGCAAATCCGCCGGACGAAATATGTGGAGCAGACGAAATTCGCCTGAAAGACAACATTTCACGAGACGGACAACGACGACGATAGGAGGGCGATCTTCGTCTGTGTTCTTTCCACACACGTCAAGACTCTCAGCTGTCCCAATCCATCTAGGAATTCCACCGGATCCGCTCATATTCGCACTGTCTTCTTGAAGTTCACCCACATAATTAGAGAGGTGAGCAATGTATTTCCAACTTCGGCCCGGCTTCCTCGGAGATCATTTCCCGTCAACTCTTTGAGCTCAAACTGAGTGAGATACGGGTTTCCTTTTTAGTCAAGATGCCGCTACCAGCGATAATAGTGAAGTGGGCCGGCAGGGAGTTCCCGATTGAAGACTTGGAGGACTCCACGACCTTGGCCGATTTAAAAAAAATTCTCGAGGAGAAAACAGACGTCCGTCGTGAGCGCCAAAAAATTTTCGGTCTCAAATGCAAAGGTGAGGCGGAAGCTCTGCATTCTCTCCATATCGTGGTAAATCTCATGGCATCCTTGAAGATTCCATAACATCGCTCTCATGGGGCGCCCACTCGGATTCGCTTGCATTAGTTCTTGTACAACTCAGGTCGGTGAAGGGAAGGTTTCCCGACCATGACGGTGCCGTCCACGGACGACACCGGTTCGGGATAGCTTCGTAGGGACGCGATAGACTTCTCTTCATTCTCGGGTTCCGTATTCCTGGAGAGATCACATCACAACAACGCAAAACACTCGGGAATACATCTCGGCATTTTATTCAGTTCCCTCGCTCGTGAGAGGCGCGCTCTGTCTTTCTTCGGCTTGCTGACTTGTGCTCGGACTTATGATGAAGCTCTCTTTCGATCCCTGTCGCCTCCTCTGGGCGAAGACCTGCCGAGAAACGAAGCTCTGTCAGTGCTCTGTGTCGAGACGGATCGTTGGAGTGCAATGATCTGATGTCCAATCGAAGAAGATGTTGAATCCTTGGACTCCGAGCAAGAGAGAATTTGGCTGCGCGAAGCTCGTGCGCCCCTTTAGGGTTGACGCGGCTATATGTAGGTGAATGATCCAAGAACTCCGGACAGAAATATTCATCACATTATCCGGAATAGCTCGCATGCATACCACAGAATTCTGATCCAATCGTTCCCCGATGCAGCATGTCTGCTGTGTACAGGCGTCGCATTTGGTCGCGCATTTGACCGGTCCCGTCGGTTCGACCTCACAAAATTCTGGCTGGATTGTCACCGAATCAATACCTGTGGAGTGGGCCGTAATCAAGATATTCGAGAGCCCTCCGTGATAGATCACTCGAGAAACATTCCGATTCACGCTCCCGAGAGAATCGCATTAGACGGGGGAAGGGGGAACGCCTACCGTTGTTGTACAGGAAGTCTTCGATTCTGTAGCTCAGTTTTTCGAAGTGCTCCTGGTGGCACAATTTGAGGGTGACGTGAATCGTTGCGATACAGTGATTCTCGTTCAGTGCCCAGATGTGCAGATCATGCAAGTTTATCAACTCAGGGAATTTGATGAGCATCCGTTGCTGGTTGGGTCGAGGAAAAAGAGTTTCAGGGATCGAGTGTTTTTCGGCAGTCTATATGATTACGAGCAGGGCCAAAGCCGCTCCCAAGAGCCTCACCTGTAGTTGGTCGAGCTTTACGTCCTCCGGTACGCTCTGTAGTAGAATTAGAGCGGAATTCCGTAAATCTGGATAGAATGTGACGACGATCACGGCCACGGTTATGAGGGCCAGGTCCGCATCGGCGCATTTCACGTAGTTTTCATCCTGGAGAGAATCAGTCGAGATTCAGTTGTGCGTAATTTGTTTCTGATACACATATCTGCGTGAATCCTCGGAAATAAGTTTTCCCGAAAGATGCAACCTCGGCGAAGATGATCACGAGGGAGCACACGATCACCGTGAAGCAGGAACTCGTCGTCCGGATACACTTCAGTATGTCCTTGATAATTGGAATTTGCTTGCGATCCGGTATTTGGGGTGCCTCTTCCCCGTTTTCGCTGAGGTACCGCATTCGTTTGTGAACGTCGATCCCTTGAGTGCTACCTCTTTCTACAAAGTTCACCTGGAAACATCGCGGCTCACGTGAATATCCGGTCGCAGATCCTCCGCTCGCATGCGAGTCGAGATAATTTACCTGGAGCTTGTTGCCTCTCACAACGATGTGACTCCCTGGATGTTTTCCTCTGTCGTGGCCGCCGATCAATACAAGGCAGAACAGATTCAATGAGAGACACAACGCGCCGAAGATCAGGATTACCAACGGGTATTTCGGAGCGACGTCTTCGTGCTCTAGAAGAGTAACAGAATCTTTCAAACGACCGAGTACCGTCCGTCGACCATTGAAACGCTTCGGAATTCCAACAACTCGCTTGCAATAGAGTGGCTGGCAAAACCCGCTCACCTTTGTGAAACAGAGTCTGAACCGAGTGCGTGGTGATCGAGAAGCACAAGGCGTAAAGAAACAGAACGGCACACAGAGTTCCCACCACCTCGGTTCTCGCAGAACCGAACGTGTTTCTCAATGTTTTGCTCGAAGCAGTTTTTTGCGAGTACACTATAAGCGCGAGTGACATGAAGTTGAACAGCGTGTGGTAAGTGTTCATTTGCAACGTCAGTGACTGGGAGATATAACACGCGATCATCTGAGCAACGAAAAAAACGAAAACGATCGACGCCAGAACAGTTGCCCGTGTGCATTTGATGCACTCCATCTCCCCAAACTGAACGCAAATCGGTCCCGATGGCACCCCAGCCTAAATCCTTCCAGCGCTGGATCGGACCGTGATGTACACTAACAATAGATTTCCCGTCATCCACCTCGGAGCACTCCTGCCATGTGGAACCGGAATAAGCGCACTCTAGAGTCTGCGAAACTCGTCAAACGAAATACCTCGAGCTAGAAATGCGGTTCGTTCGACAGCAACGTTGGAGGGAAGCCGTTCACTCGGGGACAATGAGAGACCGACGATTGAAGTGGCTCTTGTTACTTTGAACTCAGTGAGTGTGTCATGTGTGCCGCACATTAGCGGAGTCGAGCTCTCGCGAGACTTCAAATTCAAACACAGATTATCACCAGCGGATTTCCGGCGTCGAGCACCGTGCGCGCTTCACATATCCGTTTTTCGTCACGCAAACGATCACATTTTTAGGCGAGTGAGCTACCGAAACAACTCGGTTATCGAGAGGATCCCTAATCTGTGACACTCAACCACTGATTGGTCGTTCAAGAGAGGGTCGAACAAATGAGATCTACGGCGTTCCATGAACCAGATTCGTTTCACGGTAGTCTATCGTCTCAGTTTATGCGCAAACGAAACGTCTGATTTTGGGATTTATGGTGTAGATACCGTCCCGAGTCTATCTAAGGGATATCGCTCTCAAATATATTCTTGAGCATACCGGAAACACTCGATCACCGAGATGGCAATCGAACTCGAAAGTGCGAGGATTAGCTCGACCAATGTTCGATTCACGGAATCGAATTTCGGGATGTATCGTCTCGGCTTTGTCTCAGAGCCTTCACAAGTGATAAATACGTGAAAATTGAAGAGAGGCCGCCCGGTAAGGGCGAAGCCGAGCGAGTTTTCCTACCCTGAAACAGCTGGAAAGAAAAGGCGGGCCGCAGGTTTTGCTCCCTCGGTTGACGAATTGATTTGAAGGATCCGAGCCGAATCATTCAAAATTATCCTCGAAATATCACTCCGACTTCTTGAGTGGCCGACGATCGATCCAGATTCGGCCTGATTCCGATTTACGCCCCCACAGGCAAGCCCGCCGTGGACTCCGATCACATGCGCGACATGGGTCTGAAAGAGAAACAAAAAATCATGATGGTCGGGAGTTCGGAGGAAACAATCATGAAAGCGATGGAACTTCCCGACGTCAAACCAGAGGTTCGTGCGAGTATTTTTTCCTGTTCGCTGTTCTGATCGGAGCCCGCTCCGGACTGCCCTCCCCCCCGAATTCGCATATCTAATTCGACTATCTGACAGGTCGTGAATGATTTCGACATCGAGGAAGTGATCATCGCTGTGCCACAGAGACAAGAGTTCCTCGATAAGATTCAGAGACGCGTTTCTACGATAAAGATAAATCAGTTCACGGAACCTCGTGAAAACAAGAAGCTACTCGTCCTCGACATTGATTACACGCTGTTCGGTATGTTGCTCGAAACTGTCGTCGTTCAACACTGACAATGAGTGACCTTAGTACACGCATTGTTCATGACTTGCCAGATTGCCCTCCGAACAGAGTCACAATTCCAATGTTCAATTCCAGATCACAGATCTTCTGCCGAAAGCGCTGCAGAGTTGAAAAGACCTTTTCTACACGAGTTCCTGACCGCTGCTTATGAAGACTACGATATAGTTATCTGGAGCGCCACCTCGATGAAGTGGATTGATGTGAAGATGAAAGAACTCGGAGTAACGGGTAACTCGCACAAGACAAGGCCGATGACGACCCCGAACCTAGATCGCGCTTAAGGCTCCCTGCTTACCGGCTTTCTTTCTATTTCTAGGCCATCCCGCCTACAAAATCCTCTTCCATCTAGATTCGGCTTCCATGATCTCTGTATGGGTTCCCGAACGCGGAGTTCTTGACGTTAGTCCAGTCGATGTTTTCTCCCGCGGATACGAATCCAGAATTTTCCATGCCACATATTCTCAACACTCTTGTCGCTTTCCAGTGCAAGCCGCTCGGTGTCATATGGGGGAAATATCCGCAATATTCAGCCAAAAATACGATAATGTTCGATGACGTTTCGCGGAATTTCATCATGAATCCCCAGAATGGACTGAAGATACGGCCGTTCAGAGAAGCTCATTTCAACCGCGACACCGATAGAGAACTCATCAAACTCGGCAGGTAGAACGAATAGAGCCATTTTTGAGGAGGAGGGCTCAGAGAAGGGGAATCTTCTCCAAAGACATCTCAACCCATGGAACCCCTCGTTCTTCGTTGCAGATATCTTAAATTAATCGCATCTCTAGACGATCTCAGTGAGCTCAACCACAAGAAATGGGAGCGTTATCTGGAGAAGAACGGGAGCAAGTGATCTGCATCGGTATCCACGCTCTCATGATGTATCTTCGATGCTGGAAATCGGCCCCCGGTTAATAATCGGAGCCCCCGTATATTTGTATCGTGTACATAGACTCAGCGATTCCGTTCGACTGATTGATGTCGCTCGGATTAGTAATCCAGGCTTTTCTCGTGGACCGAGGACGCGGCGTGAGTGACGGAAAATAAACTGCATCCTGATGGTTGTCGTAACCTTGACTGGCTTTCTCTCCCTGATGGTCGTCTGGGATTGATGGATCCACCTCTCTGAACTGCTCGCCGCGATGCTTCAAAACATCCGTCTTGATGCGACGAACAACTCAGGATGCCGCAGTAAACTGGGGAAAGAAAGCGGCGCAGCATTCCGGAGCGAAGCCCGTGCTATCAACTTCTGGCGAGGAAGCATCTTGGATCTCTTAGGAGGGGAAGGCAGAGGAGGGGCACTACGCAGTCGCCGCGCTGCCGTCCGGTGGAGCAGACGAATTCACGAAGTAGTCGAATTAGAGCTTTCAGGCTCCGGGAGGTGATCGACATGGTCAGATGGACACTTTAGAGCGAGATCCCCTAATCTAAGGCGCTCCGATGCGATCGCCGATAGATGAGTGAGTTGTAGAGGAATTCCGCGAGTCATGATCTCGTATGGGGCTAAGGGCACCAATTCTAGGTGGAGCATTATCATTCGGCTGTCGCTCAAATCGCTCCCGACTCTCTCCCTAACGAAGCGATACGCATCGTCATCGGATTCGATCGTCGCGGACATTCTGAAACGGAACGTCCAGAGCGCGACCATGTGGCTCGAAATTGGCTTGTTTCTGGGTGTTGCGTGTTTGGTTCACTGGATCCAATGGAGAGGCTTCCTTTCCAATCAGAAACATCCCCCAAGTTTCTATGGCTTGCCGCTGTTCGGGACCGTGCCCTATCTTTTTTTCCGCAAGAATCTAGTTCAACTCGCGAGAGACACGGCCGCGGAATATGGGCCGGTTTTCAGGTTGGTGCTCGATCTATTCAGCGATCCGGTCGGTCGAAACGGCTCGTTCCTCAACCAGTCAGCCTGGCGCGCCACCTGACGTCTGTCGGAACAGAGATGCAGATGTCGAGGGCGATGGAAAATTCTTCATGCGCTCTGTCTCGTCATCCCAGGAGGAAGGAGACGCCGACCGGAAGGAGAAGGATCGAGAAAATAATTTTCGTAATCATTTTCCGACCGGGAGAGGTCCGGACTCCGTAGTAGATATCAAGAGAATCCCGCGAGAACAGAATCAAGACCCATTGCGGTATGAATCCGTAGCGGTTCGACTCCCGTAGGACGCTGGTTCCGCCCCGGGAACGGCACGACGGACGATCGCGATCGTATGTATTATACCATTGAATATCCCCTCCTCAGATTTCGGCTTGGGAGGACGGATGCCATTATGGTGAATGGTTCGGAACTGGTGAAAGAAGTCCTGAAGAGCGATGACTTCCTAGGTCGACCGCCCTTCGGAGCTATCGAGTACTCATCGAAGCTGACGAAAGCTCACCGTAAGTGACGATCCACTCTTCCTGGATAGATTATATCATAGAGGCCGAAGTCTCCCGTCACGTTCTCGGCCATACATACCATATCGATCTATGAATGCGCTGGATAATCGCGTCGAATACCCACAGCCTTCGTTTCGATGGAGAATGAAAGATGGAAATCAGGTAGAAACGCCTCGGTCCAAGCCCTCCGAGAGCTTGGCTTCGGGAAAACTCCTCTGATGGAGGGGAAAATCCAGGTTTGTCCCTCCTCTGGCTCTCATCCGCGCGGCAATCGTCGGGGACTGATTCATCCCTGTTGCTGTCTCGCGGAATACCTGAGCGGCTTTCTTTCGACATCTCCAGGATGAAGTCTCCGTGTTCCTGGACGAACTTTCGGCGGCGAACGGATCGCCCTACGATCCGAACTCCACGGCTCTGGCCTCGATTTCAAACAACATTGCGACATTGGTCTTCGGGGATCGTCTGCCTTATGATCATCCGAAGCGACGCTGCCTCAACGACTTCCTACAAACATTCCTAAAAGCTGCTTCAGTGCTCAATGTGACCACTTCAGTACCGTTTCTCACCGATATCTGCGCCTTCCTGAAGATCAGGGTAGTCGACGACTTCGTCACTTCTGCGAGAGCGACCAGTGAAATCCTGGAGTGAGTGATTCCCAACCTTCTACCGATCGCTGGAAGCTAAGAGAGATCAAACTAATTTCTCACCATTCTTCCGAAGTGAGGAGATACGAACTCACGAGATGAACTTCACGGAGAGTGACAAACGGGATTTCATGGACCACTTGATCGCACATATGCGGGCGAACTCGGGGTTATTCTCAGGTGAGGAGGAGGTCTGAGGAGCCGGCGCCCCAGCGCTTTCTCGATTTCGGATTCGAAGAATTTCTGATAGTTCTTGACATTCGTTCGATTCCACAGAAGCGACCTCGAGAGGCTCGTGCATCGCGTTTTTCGCGGCTGGAAGCACCACGACGGCCACTACCGTGGAATACTTGTTGCAATGCTTGGCTGCTTATCCGCAGCTCCAGGCGCGGCTTCATCAGGTGAGCGCCCGTCAAGAAGATCATATAATCGGCTCCCCTCGATCTGAATGCTGTGGAAAGGCTCCTCGATATCAAACCCTTTCTGCAGGAAGTTACCAGAGAGCTTGGTGTCTCACGTCTCCCTGTTTGGGCAGACCACGGCAAGCTGCACCTCGTGAACGCATTCATCTCGGAAACGATGAGAATCTTCCCCGTCGTTCCCTTCGGGCTCCTCAGGAGGTGAGGGTTGTTTCGAGCTGAAATGTTGTCGTGATTTATGCGCTCAGATGACCCGATATCAGCGCGTTTGCCACGGCAAGGATGGAGAATCATCAAAATGATATTGATTCTTTTCAGAGCTCTCCGCGATACCAAGATTCGAGGCTTTGACGTAGCGAAGGGTACGACTATCATTTATAACTTGGCGAGCGCTAATTTCGATCCCACCGTCTTCGAAAACCCAAAAGAATTCAACCCCGGACGATTCTTGAACAAGAACGGCGAGTTCGTTCAAAGCCCAGACGTCCTCTCCTTCGCTGTTGGTGAGTACCAGAACGATATCCGGGGCCCCAGTTCGGAAGCGATATGAGAGTGTCATCCAGGTCGAACTCGAGCTTCACGATTCAGAATCCGATTTTCATGAGCAAGCTCGGTTCTAGGCAAACGCGCATGTCCCGGGGAGACCTTCGCGAATTTCCAGGTGTTCCTGTACGCTGCTGCGATCATACAGCGCTTCCGGATCGAACCTGCGGAAGGGCAAAATATCCAGCTGGCGGAAGCCGACGGCTTCTTCCCCGAAGCCATCCCTCAGAAGCTCCGATTCATTCACAGAGCTTGACAGCTCTATGATTCGTAACGATAGATCCTCCGCCATTGAAACAACAGAGAGCGAGGGAAAGACGACCGTCCTATTAGACATCCGTTAGTGAGGAAAACCTCGGACATCGGACGAGGGAATAGGGTTCGCAATACTAATCGGGAATGTCGATATGAGCGAATTCAGAATAAAAACAGTCTTATAAATGATTGAGAATTTGTCCCCTCTTTTATTAGGTACATCATATATACAACACAAAGGATGATTTTGTACACTCAGGAAGAGAGCTGGTCTCTGGATCAGCTGCTGAAGAAACCACTAGTTTTTTTTGGCATCACTGACAACTTTCCAGATCTCGGTTGTCGAGCATCTCTCGGTATTGCTGTTTGAGGTCTGTAAGCCTCAGTATCGTACTCAGTGTCGGACGGCAGCGGCATCTTGAACGAAGCTTCGCTACCGGTCTCATGGGCCCGCAAGGGTATCAGAGGAGACTTGATGTTGTCCACGTCTGGGAAAGGCACAAATTCGTTGCACATCGCTGTCGCCATCATATGCGGTGGCGGCATATAGAACGGCGAATACGGATTGATTGGATATCCGGTGTAAGGGTTGAGAACCGGGAACATGGGTGGAATATAGGCGATCGGAGCTTGTGTTGAGGGCGTAGCGTATACGGCTTTCAACGGCGATTGCGAGACCGAACGAGGGGATATGGACGGGAATTTCGGGCGGAAAGGACTGAGATTGTTGTTCCGCGATTCACCCGACATCCCGTGAGTGAAAGGTGGATTTATGAGATTCTTCTTGTTCGTGAAACATTTATTGACCATGGGTAAGGCGGCCGCGATCTGAGGTATGAGCGGGGTGGTGACACCGTATGGACCCCCGAGGTCACCGGTCGAGGTCGTTTTCTCGACCACTCGATGACGATCTCTTTCCTTACGCGTTTTCCTCTTACGAGCCATGGTCTGTGCCCAGGTTGCGGCTTGTCGACTCACGTCGCTCGTGGACGAATACCTCCGGGCGATCATGGCCGGCGACGGAACCACTCTCAGTGGTTGAAGAACGCCTGGCCAGCCCGGCTGGAAACTCTGGGATACGGAGTCCGGGGCTCCATCCTCCTCTTCCGCCTCTTGCTCCCTACGCAGAATCTCGAAAGCGTCGGCGATAAGGTTCTTTTTCTTCAAATGTCGCGAGGTCACGGCTGGGGGGTCCCCGATTTTCTTACGAAGCGTGGTCCATGCGTCAGTCGCGACCAAGTGCAGAGTTGCGAGGAGGTTTGCCACGCAGGCGAACAAAAAAACGCTCAGATGTATCTTCAGCATCGCGATGCTTGGTTTGCTCTTGGGTTCGCAGGTGACGATTTCGTTGTTGAAGAGCTCGCCGCTGTTGTGACGCAAGTTCGCTCGGCACGAAAGGTGTTCTCGAAGAGATCGTCTCCATGCTGAAGCGTGACGGAACTCATAGATGTGGCAGTAGAGGTTCACCAGTAGCAGCAAAGAGAGGAATACCAACACTATGCAGAGCCAGCGAATGGCTTTCTCGACATTCTCGAGCGTCTTATCGTCCAGGGCACTGCGCTGTGTGTTTTCGTCGTAGGATTTGCTTTTCAATTTCATTAGCTTGTACTCGAGACGGGCCAACAGAGCGAACGCGAATAGTATGCCAATGGAACTCGGGAGCAAAACGAAGCCTAGACGAGCGTAGATGGAGTTCTGACTCACGAAGCAGATTCCCAAAACGGAATCGGCCTCAACTTCCGATACCGCCATCGCGGTCAGGGTGAGCATGAATGGAATGGACCACGCGATAATATGGGTGGTGTGGCCTTCGCTGATACCTCCCCGAGACGAGGAACGCAAGAGGGATTCGCTCCAGGCGTAGCACATTACCACGATCCAGGCTAAAGCAGCGAAGAGGAAATAGTAGCACGCTATGAAAACTGTCAAGCACGCGAAGTTTTCCTCAGCGTTGGGCTCCCCCTGACGGATGGTTCCATCTTTCTTGCACAGGATGCCGTCAGCTCCGACGAAGAACTGCGCCGAGTACCCAACGCAGACTATCAACAGGCAGACACTGACGTAGAACCCGGTCACGGCTGGGTATTTTTTCGAAGACTCCCAATCGGTGAGATAGGTCGCAACACTGAGGAGGCAGCAGGTTGCGGACAGCGCAGTAATCCAGACGACGAATTCGTGCATGGAAGACTGCTCGCCGGTCGAGAGCAACGGGTGCTGTCGACAAGATATCCCGCACTCGTCGATTTCGGGATACCAGGATTCTTGATTTGCCGTGTACACTAGAGGGGACATGCATTCCCTAGTGACGTTGGACGGGATGCGGAAAGTTTTTACGTCGTGCTTGCATTCTTTCCTGAAGATATCCCTTTCGCAGCTGAGGAAATGTGGCCATTGAATCCCCCGGGTGGCAGCGATTCTGCACGCGGTGCGAGCTCGGTCACACAGTATGTAAGAGGGCAACGGGACCGATCCGTTCGTGCAAGGGGGTCTATACAATGAACAAAGCAAGGGCTGCACCAGTCTCCAGCATCGGGGTATCCTACTGAGGGCTGTCTTCCATTGTTCCAGTTTTTCGTCAACACTCAGCAAGTTCTCCACATCGTCAACCAGTTCCAAGCTCGTGCTACTGTAGCTCAGTGTATTGTGGAAACAGGTTAGGTTCTCGCCGACTTCACATTTCGCCGGATGATCACAGTCGGCTTTCTTCTGACCGGAGATGGCGTCGTGGGTAGCTGCCTCAGTCCAGAGAACACAGACGGAAGCCGTCAGAACAGAAGCGAAAAACCGCATCTCTCTCCAGATCTAGAGTTCCATGAGACCGAGACTTCCGGGCTTGTAGCGGGACACAGGAACCGGATGCTTCGACCGCACAGACGCGGTCCCAGTCACTGGGGAGCACCCAAGGGGTCGTGATCCGGGAGCCGGACAATACAGTGTCGAGGTGAAAGTCACACAGCGATACGAATCGAGGGTTCCTTCCGGTATCTCTAGAATTATGACGGTCTCGAATTACTGAGTCGTACGTAACGGCGACTCTTCTAGCTGTCTCCCGATTTCCGTCTCCGGGAGAAAGTCTTGACCCGGCACTCGCGAAATCAAAAACTCCGCCGCCAGAAACTACGAACTACAATCGAGTCGGGAACGACAACAAACGCACGCGCGGCATCAGAGGGTCAGAAGATCCGCAACAACGGCGGCGTCGTCCGACGACGACTCTGATGATAGACGCACAGGCTGCGATGCGACTGCCGCGCCGTAGTCGGTCCGACTCGCTCGGTGAGTCGCGCCAATGTCTCGAAGAGCAGGCGGGCTGCTCGGCGGCTGTCGCTGGCGGAGTACCGACCCTCCGGAGCTTCTTCATAGCGCTACTCATGTAGATGCGGGGATCTCTCATGTCGAAATTCACATTCAACAGTTCTTTGATCTTCTCTCGAGGCTTTCCTCCGGGGAGAGATGGAAGTTTAGGATGGAAGTCATGCCCTATCGCTCCTTCCACAGAAGTCAAGTCCAACTCGCGATGAACACTGCCGCTAAGTGCGAACCATTTCTCAGCTTCGTATCTGATGCTCGAGGATGTCGAGCCGCTCTCCCGCCGAGGGTATCTCGGCTTCGCTGGCTCTATTCGACGCTCTCTGTCAAGACACTCTCAGTGGTAGGGCGAGAGCGAATGAGAAACTCCCCACCCGTCTCCTTCTCCACCCAATTTGGAGAAGGAAGCGCCGAAGATTAAAAACAGAGCGGAAGTATCTGCACGATACCAGAAGGCTGAGAGTGGTTTCGTGGATGCTGGGGAGAGCAGCGGTCATTCCGTCACCCGTGGGCCCCCCTGCCAGCACCATGCAAGAGCACCGGTGGCTCCCGCAGAATGGCCATTCCTAGGCGAAAACTGTCCGGGGAGAAGCGAATCCTCACGATCCGGACTCCACGCTTCAAGCCTCTGCCTCGAAAAACATCTCCACTTTGATCTTCGGGAATCGCTTGCCTCACGACAACCCCAGGAGACTATCTTTCAGCGAGTTTCTTAAGAAAGTCGCAAGCGGGATTCTGCACCTACTCTAATCCGCTTTTGTTCCTACTTTTCTGAGGGGCTAATATTTAGGGTCAAGGAAGCCGAAGGTTGCATCTTCGCCGCGAAGGTAACCGGCGAAATTTCGAATCGAGTAGCAAGGCTCTTGCGATCTGCGGCTCATAAATAGCGGGAAGACGCGCTCTTGATTGATGTCCTTCCGGAGTGAGGAGTCCGGGGCTCACGAGTCAACTTTCACCGAGACCGACAAATGTGACTTCATGGACTACCTCATTCGATCGCCCACTCGCGAGCAAACTCGTAGCGCCTCTCGGGTGAGGAAAGATAAATAATAGTCGGGCGATCCTATGCGCTCGATGGATCCTGGAGCCTATCGCCCGCAGCTCCAGGAGCGATGGTATCCAGTAGGGAGTCCAAGTAGAAACCATTCGATCATTCAAGCATAGGAACCTTGAAATCAAGCCCTCGAGTGCATCGCTGACTCATGGTTCCTGTTTACGATTATCAATTCTTGATCCCGGCGCGGACGATAACCGAAATCTTTCAGGATAAAAACAAATCTGGGGCTGTTCCTAAAAAGGGTAAGAGGCAAGTTCTCGCAAGTCATGACCTTGGCTTAAGAGCCTGCAAACACCAGCGATGAGTTCTGACAAGAGAAGAGTCGGTCCATCGTACTGCCTTCGACCGATTCACAACCGACCCTTTCCCACTGTTATGCGTGATGCAGGGCGGACTCTTTTTGGAGGCGTTTCGTCGCTGACTCTGACAGGCAAATCGTCTAAGAAAACAGCATGTTTCTCGAGATCGCTTTGTTTGCCAGTGTTGCGTGTTTGGTGCACTGGATTCAATGGAGAGGTTTTTTCTCCGGCCAGAAACATCCTCCGAGTTTCTATGGTTTCCCCTTGGTGGGGATACTGCCCTTCTTTTTATTTCACAAGAATCAAGTGAAACTCGCGAGGACGACAGCCATGAAATACGGACCGGTCTTCAGGTTTGTTTGAGCTTCATGAGGATATCGAGCCCTTTAAGTGCCTCCCGTTCATCAGCGAGTTGCGCTCTCTGCCCGAAGGCAACTGGTGGGGATACTGATGTGAACTAGTTGGACCCCCCAAAAAAAAACATATCACGGTTTCGGACAAGCTGAGCGCAAGCATCTGAGCGCAGAACTCTCCCGGACTGATAGAGTTTCGGTGTACGTCGCCGACATTGCATCGCAGGAAGCAGCGGCCTTTTCGGCATACATGGCAAGGCCTCCCTTAAAATCGCGCAGGGTGATTTTTTCCCGACGCGATCAGCATATAGCTCGATTTCGATGCCGAAATTGTACTCTAAGCATACGGACTACGTCTTCGAGCCTTCCGAACCAATGGAAAGAACCGCGGCGCTGACCGCTCGTGATTGGATACAGCTTCGAATCTCACGGAAGGAGAAAACTGGGTCCGATCTTAATCGGGTAACTCGAATCTCTTCGATGTTTAGATGTGTTGCCGAATTTCTTCGAGTCATAGAGAACTATGACGAGCGCAGTAGACGGAATAGATCTTCGCGGACACGGGGCTTTTTGTACCATGGGGATGACAGGAGCTGCAGGAGCCTGCAATAAGAAGCTCCGTCAGGGGGCTACCTGGGTCCGACGCGGAAGATATTCCGCACATCACAGAAAAGTTATCTCCTCTCATCAGATTCCGGCTAGGAAACACCGAAACTATCATGGTGAACGGCTCAGAAACCGTGAAGGAGGCTTTGAGGAACGATGATCTCTTGGGGCGACCGCCCATCGGACCTTTCAAGCTTCTGGCAAACCTCTTCAAGGCGCAACGTTAGTGGAGCTCCGTTGGCCTTCGATGATTCAGTGCATCATCATCATCGATGATCCTGCTAAATTCGCTCGCACTTGATGAAGCTTTCAGCATGCTGGAGTGTGAGAGATGGAGATCTCTTAGGAATTGGTCGGTACAAGCTCTCCGAGAGCTAGGTTTCGGAAAAACTCCTCAGATGGAGGGGAAAATTCAGGTTTGTCTCATGCACCACTCCTCCATGGGTACACGTATGGCCGTCGCCTCTTCGTTCTGACCTTCATTGGGAGTGGCTGATTGCCTCTGTTCGAAACTTTCAGGACGAAGTCTCCGTATTCCTGGACGAGCTCTCTTCGACTAAAGGTGCCCCTTATGATCCGAACTCCACCCTCCTAGCCTCGGTTTCGAACAACATCTCCACGCTGATTTTCGGAGATCGTTTGCCTTATGATCATCCCAGAAGACGATCCCTCAACGACTTCCTGAAGAAGGTCGCGAGCAGTGCTTCGTACCTCACTCTATTCTCTTTCGCGCCTTCCCTCCTCAAGATCTTCACGATCTTTAAGATAAAGTCAGTCGAAAACTTTGTAAACGCTGCGAAAGCGACCAGCGAGATCTTCGAGTGAGTATGATTTTTTTCCCTGATTCCGAATCCTAAGGAAGCTTAGAGATGTCCGATTGAAAAGTCAATATTTTTTGTAGCGAGGAGTTCAGGGCCCACGAAAAAACCTACATCGAAACCGACAAACGTGATTTGATGGACCATTCGATCGCCCATTTGAGAGCGAACTCGGAGCTTCTCTCGGGTAAGGACTTTAGGATCAATCATAAGGAAATCTGATGTGCTTATTGTAGGACATGCATTGTCCAAACATTCGGGGCGCGTCGATTCCGATCAAGATCGCTTATCATCTGTTCCCTAATCGTAGAGCAGACTACGAGAGGCTCCTGTCTCGCTTTCTTCGGAGCCGGGAGCAACACAGCCCGCATAACGGTCGAATACTTGCTGCAACTATTAGCCTACTATCCGCAGCTCCAGGAGCAAATGCATCAGGTGAGACGTCGCTCAGAGATTCATGAAGATCGAATGCCTCGGTGCGCTGAACCTCTCATGTGAGGCGGATCGCTACCAAGTGGAAACTTATTCGCAGGAAGTGATCCGAGAAATTGGCTATTCACGTCTTCCCTCCTGGTCGGACCATGGCAAGCTCCACCTGCTCAACGCTTTCATCGCTGAAAGGATGAGAATTTTCCCGATTGTTCCTTTCGGATTATTTAGGAGGTACAAGCTCCTTCTCCTTCTTGGAAGCACCCACAATAACAGTCATCGTCCGTTCATTGTACGACCGTAACGCTTCGAATCAATACTCACGTGGGAGAGACGCTTTTTCCCAGGGCCCTTCGCGACACCAAAATTCGAGGTTACGACGTGGCTAAGGGTTCGATGGTCATCTACAACGTGGCGAGCGCTCATTTCGATCCTACCGTCTTCGAGAACCCCGAAGAATTCAATCCAGGAAGATTCTTGGACGCGGACGGGAATTTCGTGCAGAGTCCTGATGTCCTCTCTTTCGCCATCGGTAGGATATACGGACAATGATTGTTGCCGCATCACAGCATGATATATGTGTACGTCATATCTTTGAAAGAGGATTCTGCGCGGCATTCGATCCTCAAGTCTGAATACTCCGCTACAGGAAAACGCGCGTGTCCAGGGGAAACCTTCGCTGTGTTCGAAATCTTCCTGTATGCCGCTGCTATCATCCAGCGGTTCCGAATCGAGCCCGCACAAGGCCAAGACGTTCGCCTGACTGAAGCCACCGAGTTCTTCTCCGAGGCTATACCTCAGCAGCTCCGCTTCATCAGCAGAGTCTGATGGGTTACCGAAGATCATAGTCGAGAAGGAAAGAATGATCGAGGAAGACAAGTCTTTAGGGAGTCAAGTACTTGAACTGTATGGTTTCCCTTTCGTTTGACTCGCATTATAATTATTATACAAATCCTATGGACACCCGATCACAAGCTCCAGATGGACTGATAAGCCGTATCAGCTGTCTGGAATTACATTAATGAGCACTGCGCGTCGTGGCAGGCGAAAATTGCTCTTATAAAGTACCATACTGTCGTTTTCTAAAATCGTAGGGGGCTTCACAGTACCCACTCGGTGGTCATCTCCACAATAGGCAGAAAATATTAGAACCTTTTCCGGGAACATTCTCGGAGCTCAACTCATCTGCAAAACCATCCTGCCGTTCTGTGGTTTCAGGCAGAGGTTCAGGGAGGACATCAAATCGACAAGCAAGGCTTGAGTGTCATCTTTCAGATCTCTGGTAAGCTCGAGGAATTCCTTCGGATACTCGATCGGACCTGTCCGCAGTCGGTTCTTGATCCCGTCAACGACGTTTTGCCTGCTGCGGTATTTGCTATTCAGGACCGGAACTCGAGACTGTATTGAGCTCGTTGATAGGATCTTCTGTTGAAGCTCATGCATGACGGCGTCTTCTTTCTCCTTGCGCTCGGGCCTGCCCGCAGGATCATCCAAAACGTTCTGAACGATCTGCGAAACCTTAGGAGTTCCTCCTCCGCTCTTCGGTGCCTGCGCGTCCGAGCTTCGCTTCCGATAGATGTCTTTCAGAACCTTGAGAACCCGATCCGAGGGTTTCCTGTTCGACTGTAAAGCGAGCTTCGTGTAGACGTCGGCGATCGTCCTTCGTGGTAGTAACGGTGAATTGATCCTGTAGACTCGTAGACCTTCCTCGTCCTCGTCTAACTTCACAACATCATTGAATTCTTTAGTCAGGAACTCGACCGTGGTCATGCCTAGAGAATAATTCGGGCCGAGCACAGCGAGGAATTCGTCGGTCAGCGCTTTGAGCGACATGCCTTCAGCGGGGAAATCGTTGAGGATGGTTGCCATCACTTCTTTGCTGTGGAGAGTGTCGTGGGCGACTTTCTTCACCGGCGCGTTCCTCGGGCCCCTCTCAAATCCGGGAGCCCGGTGGAAACTTCTCGGTAAAATCATCGAAACGCTCATGTCCACAGAACCGGTCGGAGAACCACGTGAACTGATGGACCCTGGAGACTCGAAAGATGATAGATCTTTCGGCACGATAACACTGGCCGACATGTCGCAGTCCGTGCGGAGTTTTGAATCAGACCTTTTACTTGCGCACATCATGAAGTTCCGCGTTTTCGGAACTCTCAGCGAAGCTGTAAGGGTGCTTTTGTTGAGCGCCGGGATTTTCGTGGTCAGCGTTTTCTTTGAAAGTACTTGGGCCTGCCGAGTGCGGACCCTGAGATTTTTGCCGGATGAGGCGAGCTCAACGTCGGGCGTACGGTGCAGCAATTCCTTGATACTTTTATACGGCAGATGCGAGGGGCGAGTGCCGTGAGCTTCCAAGTATCGTTTCTCGAGATCGCGGACGTGGATCCCGAGTGAATCGCAATCTGAGAGAGGGCGAAATCGTGAATTCCCGATATGTCAGCATCAATCCTTCCCACCACGCGTCGAGTCGACTCGATGAATGGGCTCTTCTACGATAGGATAACGGGCTGCATTGATGAATATGAAACGTACCTTTGATGATATTCAGCAAACGTTCCTTCGAGAGCTGCGGACTATCTTCATTTCTCATATCCGGCGAATATGACGAGCCGCGGAGTCCCAGCAAGAGGTCCGTCATTTCTCGATTGTCCACTTGCATGTACACCTATAATCGAGAACAATTATCGCGGGGGAGCCGATTGAGGTTGTCACGGACCGTCGAAGAAATTCAGCCGTTCGCGGATCTCGCACCGAGATTTCGCTTCTCAATAATTAGCTTCGACGATCCACTCGACGGCACTATCACGGGGCGAATGAGCGCGAAGAAGCGCCCTTTCACGCTAGACTATCTCGAGTCGGAATACAGAGGGATCTAGACTCGTGCATTCAAATACAGACAGGCAGCTCAACCGTATTACGTGAGTGGGTCAAACTCCTTAAGAGAGGTCCTCGAATTCCATTCCAGACTAGGGAAATAGACCGGTCAATGCTCTCTGTCGAACAAACCGTCTTTCCGTCTCGATCGCTCCCTCCCTCCCTCGCTCGGTCAACTCTGTCCACCTACCTTGACAGCAACGACATCGTTCTCGAGAGATTTCAAAGCCGCTGCGATCAGCTCCGGTGGCTTCGTAGAAATTTTGTCTTTGAAGTACCGGTCGTATTCGAGCTTGAGTGCGGTCAACCTTCACGAGGAGGAAACACAGTGAGCTATCCTGTCAACACGGCGATATTGGATCGAACGTCGAATCCTGTGCACAACTCGAAGCGTGGAAATCTCTGTGACTTTCGTTGCCGCTCGAATGCGGTCCCATAAGGATGAGTTGCTCACCTGATAGGTTTTTCTCTGCAAAGTTTCCGAATTGCATGCAGTATATTCGCGATGAGATCACACGATGATCTCCGCGAGTCTTTGGCGAAGAGACGGCTTTTGAGGGACATTTTGCAGAACTTTCGGCTTGGATTTCTTCGCAACCCCGTCTGTTGCTGGGAACGACGCACGAAGTCACGGAACAGATCGAACGATGCAGGCTACGCGGCAATCATGAAGTTTAACTTAACGTTGTCTACGAGAATCCCTCGTGGCTCTCCGAGCGGGAAAAGTCTGTCACAGAACAAACTTGCACGTCACATTGGCACGTGCATCCGGGACGCACACGTGAGCTCTGGGGTACATTCATCGAACGCCTGGGTTACTCTTTATTTCTCTAAATTTTTAATAATTGGACATCGAGGATATGACGCTCGGTCATCGGCCGCCGTAGAATCACCCACTTCCTCTATTGAGCGAGTTCCCGGGGTGTCATCCGATGTTTGGGATCAAGCCGGAGAATAAATCGCCACCACCCAAGATGTGTGAAGTCACACCGGTGAGAATATCTGTGAATTGTCAACAGTAACGAATTGGGGGAGCCGCGCGAATCACCTGATTCGTGCAACGACTAGTTCAAGAAATGATTCGTCCGCGAAAGTTGTTCTAGATCATCAAGATTAGATTCGAGGGCATTCCTCGGGTCTTGTATCGCATTTACCGGCGCCGACGGAAAGCAGGTTCAAACTTCCTCCCAAAGTTCCACCGAAGCCGCCACCATCGCTGTCCAAGCCGAAATTGTTGCTGACATCACGTCCAACATTCCTCACGCTACCTACAAATCAAATTGGAGAGCCGCATCGAATAAGATGATCGAAATTCGGAGACTCTTTCGAGATGGGGCTCGCAACAGCTCTTGCCCGTGGCCACTCACTGAAAGTACCACGCAATGATAGGAAAAGGTTCTCGAGGACATCACCGAACATTGCCATTCGATTTCCGCCAGGTCCGCGCGCTTCCTGTCGTTCGAGTGGGTGGGATTCGAAGGGATCGAGTCCCTCTCGATATCGCTGTCTGGGTCCCTTGACTGGAATTCAAGACATATCAATTTCTAGACAATTTCTTTTTTTCTGTAAGGCGGACAGAAAGCCACGCGAGCTCCACAGCCGATCCGGTCATCTTAATTCGCAAAATGTGCACAATTCGGTGCACAGAATCGGAGCCACTACCGGGCACGGCCAGGGTCGTTCCCTCCGATGAGATCAATCCCGCGATGCAATAGAGTATGATTAACATTTCGGTTGGACGTTCTTGTGAGGGAATTCTGTTCTACGAGAGGACCACCCCGTTGTTATGAGCAATTCCTGTTGACCCAGCCAGCCAGACGCAGATAGATATGGCCTTGAACGTGACGATTATCCGTCGAGCCGCAGAGTTTCCGCGGAATTCCCCCTCCAGACGAATAAATCAGACCGGAGTGAGACGGACTCTTTTCGCATCGGAAGCGTAGCTCGGGAACAGCTCTTCTTGAAAGAATCCCCCTGCCAAAAGAAGACGCGACGAGCTGACAGCCTGCTGATTATTGTGTAGTGGCTGTGAGCTTCGAGACATCGGTGAATTGGCAGAACATTAGTGGTTACTCGATTTCTCAATACGGCAGCATGCGGGAAGCTGCGAAGACTCCAGACTTGCGTATGACGATGCAGCGAGAGCGAATGATGTTATCCGTTTCAAGAAATCCTCTCACTTCTCTGCCGTTCCTCATTTGATGGGTCGTGTTCTCGCGGCACGGATTCTATCTGGAAACGTAGGAGAACCATGGGGACCTCATTCGAGGAGGAAGCTTGTTCCGCATCCAATTTTGAGAATGTCGAGTCATGGATTATCAACCCTCATCAGCATAAAAAGCAGATGAAGGAGCGAGGCGATGGTCGGACCCACGAGCTACGGACATATCCCAGACAAAATTCTCTTCTCGCAGCCCTGAATTCGAAAATTAACTCTACGTCGGTGATGCCGACTGAAACAATTAGCATAGTGGCTTGGCCGTACATTCAGGGAGCGCAGCTCGATCGCAGTCTCGATGCATCATCCGCCCACCACGGAGCAGCGATTCTAAATTCATGAACTATTCTCCCATAGTTTCTTAACCACTTCATACTTGGCGGAGTGAAGCGCTACGCTTTCATCATTGTCAAGTTAAGCGATGCGATGTATGTAAGTACGTCCAGTAATTGGAGACCTCGCCTGCTTTTCAAGAAGAGTATTTGCGGCGATCGAGTTCCCAAGAACAGCGCTCGGAAACGCAGCTTCAGAACATCAATCGAACGTTCTCGGCTCTCATACATATACTAACCAGTATTTTTGGTAAATTTGATTGGATCGATGCCCCATCCATGAGTTCGGATGTCAACGAGAGTGTGGTCTGAGATCGTTACTGAGGCTTCGCTGTTCGACTCTCAAACAATTTCAAGAGAACTTCCGGTGCTTCATTGTGTACATCGTTTCGCGCACGCTTCCGATCAATAGAGCTCTGTCACGAAAGCTGAAAGTCTTATGTGTCCAGCGCATCGCGTTCTCAGAGATTGACAGCATTTCCACAAACACCAGAGAGAACAGCGGGCGATCCTGAGTCTCTGATCTCGATGTTTGAGCGAAAATAATGAATGATCAAGATCTGGGTTTCGTTTCTCAGGGGAATGCTCTGTTCACGGACGAGCGCATCTGAGATCGCTGCGACAAGCGTTTCAACATTTCGGACTTTCCGAGTAATGATCTCACTTTCCTCGCATGGCCAGTGTCTGTGGTCATCTGGGGACTTTTCAGTGACAAGAGCGTTGCACAAGCCTTCCAAGACGAAAAGATATTCTGAGAAAAATCAACTTCGTCAAAGAGCGTCGCTCTGAGACCAAGCAGTTTGTTTTCTGTTTTTTTTCCGCTCCGCCCCGAGTCGGAGTCGGATATAGGGAGGAACTATTTGACTCTCTTCGTTGATATTCCGATATCTGTACCCGAAGTCTGCGAGCTTCTGGCACACAGAGCTCCTTCGACCTGTCAACTTGAATGATCCGTGAAGACCCTACGTTCTGAAACGCTCCATGCTTGGTTTCTGGGAATCGTCCCTTGGACCGATTGATCGCCTGCTCGCTTGAAAATACCCTCTTCGAGCTTCACGACAGAATTCCGGAGTTTCGAGAAAGGGTGGCTTCGGTCACGATTTAGTGATTGGATAGGAGAGAAGCGACACCGCGGACGTTGCTCATCGGGTTTTTACAGGCGACTGCCACAAGATACCGAACGGAGGACCCATCTCCGTCTCGATTGACTCGCATGTCTTATTGCATGATTCAGACGCGGATTCCCTCTGGAAGTTTTTCCGCACCACGCGATGGCGCTCGGTGTGAAAGCTTCGCGAAAATTCGCGGAAGCAAACAACATTTGGTTCTTTTTTCACTCAACCTTCGCTCGATGTGTGGGGTTAAATGTTCCCTCAGATCTGACGACAAGAGTCACAGAAAATGCCTGTTCCGAAAAAAGCTATGTTCAAATGTTCAAATCGGCACCGATTAGAGGATCACCTTCCGGATAACGGCCACGAGCTTATCCGGATGTGGATTGCGTTCTCCTCGTTGTTTTCCTTCCTCCTCTGGAACGAATCAACGGTGAACATGACAGATTGGTGGAGCTTTGAAATCGAGCAGAGCGCACGGGAACTCCTGCGGGAAGATTTGCTGTTTTCTCGGTCGTGATTCCTGAAAAACATCCAATACCCGACGACTTCCCAGATACGGACTTTCCTCCTTCGGTTTTCGTGCATGATGCGAGACATCCGAATCCAAAATCGCATTTCCAATCAGCTCGCTGAGAGCGGTATGTAGGAATTCGGCTCGACTGGAATAATTGAATGTAGACTCTCGGAATTGTGTCAGACAATGAGTTCGTAGTGGGACATGAGTCGAGAGATTCGTCTAAGGGACCTCATGCCAAGAAAGTTCAAATCATAGTATCCGAGAAATTCTCGGCCCGACTCCCGTTCGACTTCGGAAAGTTTCTGTGGTGATATAACCGCGTCAGTCCGGTGATGACGCCGCGGCCCCATGCGCCGTCAATGCGAGGCCTTGACGTTTCTCTCCCGAAAAGCCTTCACATATGCCACCCTCTCTAAAGAAGATACTCCCTCGACGCGGACGGTAAAGATCTCGGTGAATCGTTCAGACATAGTCATTCAACCGGGAAGATTGCGTTGTCCAACAGGTATTCGGTCCCGAAATCGACAGCCCCGCTTTCGCGCTCAGCATTACAATGTTGTCGCGTTCGCTCTTATTCTCCGTTGCGTTTGCCGGTGTAGTGTACTCGCAAACTGTGATTGTGACTAATTCAGATGTCGATAGCGAACTATCGGCGACGGGTAAAATTATCCGCCCGAACGTAACGATCACGACGTCCCAGCGGCGCGTTTACGTGCCGAAGGGTAAGTCACTCAAGTTCGGAGACTCGCCGATCCTCAAGCTGAGCTTCCAGCCCTCGGCGAAACTCTCTAAGGCGCTGTCGTTCTCAGAGCCGAAAAGCTCTCAGTTCTTCCACTTGGTTCCTTCCACTCCCACTCCCGTCAAGCCGGAATCCACTTCGCTAGCGCCGCCGGCGCCGACGAAGATGCGTTCGGTCCACCGGATATCGAACACGACCTATCAGATGCCCGCAGATTTCCTCTGCGAGGGATTGGACTGCCCGAAAGGTGATTTTAATTTTTCTTTCGAGACGACGCGCGTTCGACGCCGCCAAGGATTGCAGAAATTATTTTCTGTGAATACTCAGTCGGTGACGCAATTTGACTCCTTCCACGACGCTGTATAATCGAATAGTTTGCTGAGTTGCGCAGTAGCGTCCGCATGTCCGTCGACCCGTGAAGACGAGTAATTCGCTTCCTCGATTCTACTTTGAGCGAATGGAATTCTAACACGGCTCATCCGACGTTTCCCGCAGGTCATCAGTGCAGTCTCGCTCAACCGACTTGCACTCCAGAAGATTGTTCGCTGAAGCCGTCTTGTGCCAAAAAACTCTCGGATCACTGCGAGAAATGCCAACCTCCCTGCGTACACGCTATTCTGAACTTGGACGCCCCCGGAGGATGTCATCCGTGTCTCTGCGAGGTCACGGTCTTCAGGCCTCCACCTCGCTTGGCTAAGCGATTGGCCGCAATCGCTGCTCAGTAACGATGGCGCACTCCGGCTTCACTTCTCTCCCATTAGTTGTGGACCCTCTTCCGTCACTCGGAACCACACAGATGCAGATCGAGTCCACTAAATCTCAAAAACCGCTCCGAGCTCCGAAGATCGGCAATTTCTCGCAGAAGCCTTCGGAGTCCATTTGATTTCCTCGTTTCTAGCTTCGACCCCGAGTCCTCAAACCACCGAAATAACATTGATCGGATTCAGCTTCGTATTATCACAGACCTATTTATTATCGCCTAGGTAGGTGAGCATCTAAATAATCAAGAATACTATACCAGTTCGGCTGTCGATTACCAGCCGCCTCGTGTACAGATCGCCCATGTACAGATCAGGAGAGCAGAAATCGAATCATGTCCAGACCCGTAGGTACGTAGGTATAGATCCTTGAGCAATGTATGAATTGTATGAGAGCATGAGAACCATTCCGAATTTCCGAGTCTTTAGTACCAGCGTGTAGAAAATATGTTCGAAGTTCCCATCACTAGCCTGGAGACAATAAATCTAATCAACGCTTGGTGAGCCGCCTCATGCTTAGCCGATGGAGGACTTATTAAGACGAAGAAAAGGAGAAATGAAAATACATCGAAACCCTGGAATGCACTATGAGCAGAACGAGCTCACTCATAGCTGGTCGAATCAACTTGCTCAATCGATGCCGCGCCGCCGTCATGCCACGCTACAATGAGCGAATCGCTGGAGCGCTCAGGACAGCGCATCACTCCGCTAAATGGCTAGCCCGTTGATGCGCTCGGTTGTACACCCCCAGCTCCTGCGTAAATCCGTAGTCAGTATCATCGGATCAGATATTGTAGCCACGTCATGCGATGAGCGGTTCCGCTGCGTACAATCTACATCCGACCCCGAACTCGCCGGATGCCGAGCTCCATTACGCGTAGGTGTTCATTGATGTTGTTCGCTCGCGTGTCGTTCGGCTGCGATTTACCGATAGGCAGCTGAGGGAGATCCCGTTGAAACAGACCGCAAGCCCTCCGGAGTCAAATGCGTGAGTCGCTTCTCGTATCGAGCGGAACCTCACTCGGAATCGAAGTCGTGAGCTGGGGGACCAAGGCGCAAGAGCGCATTGATCGTCGAGAGAGGGACATATGGTGGAGGAGGGCCACCTCGGAACTCACCTCCTCGTAGCTTCCTCCTACAGTGACAAGTAGGCAGCATGTACGTCGATCTTCGTGTACCGCCGATCGAGAAGAGACACAGTGAACCCTTCACTGACAGTTTGTCGATTCCGCAAATATCGACATGTCTCTCGGCGCCAGATCTGAGTCTCCCGCAGCAGAGACTGTTCCAGGAATTCTGTTTTCCGGGAGGTCCGGCACACCAGACACCACCGGTGCCGCCACGGAGTTCGGCGTCACGCTCGAGTCCGTCCCCTCGGTCCGGAGCCTCGTCGACTTCGGTCAGTCCGAAGCGCAGCCCATCCGGCGACTGCGAGCGCAAATACCCCACCGTCGTTGTGGACGTGAGGCGCTCATCTTCAGCCAAACGCAAAGGAGACGAGCCCGATGGCTGGCTGGAGTTCTACCATAGAAGGGTGCCTTCGGCGTCTCGGAGAGGCTCCGTGGCTCAATTATTATCTGCGGGAGGGCCCCGCTGTCGCTCGTTCTCAATCACGCCAAAAGGGAGCGTTGTGAATTTAGGAGATATCCAAATCGTGGACTCTTCTCGTCGACGGAGCACAGGGTCCTGTAACGATAGCTCCGATATTCAGCTCCTCACGCAGAGAGTTCGTTTGGTGGGATCAGCCGGCGTGGGAAAGTCGTGTCTCATCGAGCAGTTCAAGGACGGCTTTGCGAACAGCGTCAATGAGTTTGGATATCTAGAAATAGGTCAGTATCACACAATGCCTCTCGCTGTTCATCCCCGGAGCTCGGAGATTCCGCTACCCTTCCGTTGGTATTCTGAATCTCATTCCTCAGACCCTCCCCCCGAGTCCTGTCTCTATCGTGACGTTCCGCGGGGGGTCGTCAGATGATTCTCGCCGCGGGCGACGACTTTCTACAATGTTAGAACATTCAGGGAAATCTTTCCATCCAGTGACGAGCCCGCCGCCTTCCGTACAGTGCAGCGTCGAGACTCAGAGCACGCGACTCGTTCTAGACGGGGAAGAATTCGAAGTGGACTTCGATGAGCTCCTGCCGACTGAGGTATCGAAGCTTCGGCTCATGCTCACAGATATCGGCTGGTGAGATATTCCCCTGTCGAGGCAGCCTGTCGATCTCCACTGGAATCTTTGACCTCTCTGAAGAACACCTTTCCGCAGGTCAACATCGGCAGCATCAGTCAGAGTGACGCAATCGTGATCGTTTATTCGATAACCGACTCCGACAGCCTACAAGCAGCTGAAGACACATTGAAATACCTGAGAATGATGTTCGGTTATGGGAAGGTGAAGCGGAAATCAGCGGCGGCGATCAAACACGCCTTGCATCCAAGACCCATGATCCTGGCGGGGAATAAAGCTGATCTTGCTCGGAAGCGCACCGTGTCAACGGAAGGTTCGTTCGATTTCCCTTTCATGTCGATGGAGAGTCTGAAATGTCACTCATCGGTGACATTTCAAGAGATGTCATTGAATTTTTCGACGGGTTCTTGGGAGACTCCATTCTTGCGATTGGTCTCCTTGCGCTTCGGGAAGCTTGAATACGATTCGCAACGTGGTTCCCGGGAATAAGCTGCAGCGGCTATTAGACGGGAATGATTCTCCCGGATCCTGTCCGCGGGAGCTTCGACGAGACTCTCGATTTCTTTCCATAAAACGGTACTATGGGCGGGCGGCAAATAATAAGTCTGTCGTCTGGACCGAAGGATCATGTATGTCCTAAGACGAGGTGATCGAGTCGAAGCACTACGTGCAAGGCGGGTTGTCGGATATTTGGATTCCTATCGTGCAAGAACATCGCTCGGATTGCCGAGGCTCACATTCGAACTCGCCTGGATATTCTGTTCGAACCTGCGGAGGCGTGCTCATGAATCGAGGCTCGTGATGTCCCTTCGGATAAGAGAATTTCACCGTGAATGCGAGCGATCAAGGGAGTCCCGTCGAGGGGAGATTCGAGATCTTGAAATTTGTTCGCTACGACAAGAAAAAATTCTGGAATGTCTTCATCTTCAAGTAATCCTGAAAGTTTCTTTGCAGCCGGACGATCGCTGGCGAAGCGATTCGATTGTCGCTTCTTGGAAACATCAGCCTGCATCGGTCATAATGTGGACGAGCTTTTAGTGGAGATTCTCAAAGAGATCAGAGTGAAGCATCGATCTAGCTCGCTGCCTGGCTGGTCTCTCAATTTGCCTTCTGTGTTCGTGGCGTGCGCCGACACAACGCCGCTTAATGTCGCTGCGAGCACGCCGAAGCCCGCGAATGCTGCCGCCGCCGCCGCCGATATGGGAACGACTCTCGAGGCAAGCGCATCGAGAATAGCGGCGCCCATGCAATCGCAATCTAGCGGCCGCACGTTCTGCTTCAAAGCTCGAGGACTGCTCCAGAGATTCTGGACCAGATGTGATTCTGGCAGGACGCGATCATGCGAAGACCTCGATGTCCTGTGAGACGACGCGCAGGTCTAGGACCTCTGGAAAATCTTTCAGATCAATAGCCCATGGATCGACCGCTATGAGCTTGACTCTTCTCGAAGGGAATAAATTCGTGTCGGGGATAATGAATCATCTTCCGCGCGTCCCAAGTTATCGGCAATATTCCAACTCCTTGATGCCAATTTGGTCCGGCGATTCGTTCCCCAGGAATCGTGCTAAAAGTCAATAGCGAACCCCTGAAATCGTCCACCTTTCGACCGAACAATCTAAGTCTGGGTATTCCGGACGCTGCTCCCGGATCTTGGAAGAATATTTGGAGATCATTCGAAATCAGTCTTTCCCTTTCCGTCTGCATCGATCCTTAGGGAAGAAACAAAACCAGGAAATCTTGTCCAGTGTTGGTTTCGTGCGCGGTCCGGCAGTTCCATAGTCAGGAATTTCTCCCTGTGTATGCGTGCGACTCTGAGCGACGAGGAAATTCTGCAGATAATCCAGCTGATCATCTGGATGGACGTTTCCCTTTCGGGACACAAAACTTAGAAACATTGTTCCCAGAGGTAACATTGTGCGAGCACCTGCTCCTACAGACGCATCGCAGTCTCAGATGATCCACGGCCAATGTTCTCGTGTATGGTCCCACAGCATGGGAGAGATCCTGCCGTGGGAGGAAAAAGCCCTTGAGGAGCTCAATGACGTCCCCGAGCTCCGGGAAGAACGTCTGAAGCAGTTTGCAGAGAAGCTCGCGGAACTTCAGTCCGACGATTTCCGACCACTGCTGCAGAGAGATTTTCTGATGATGTTCTTGCGGACTCGAAAATTCGACGTGGCACGCGCTTTGAAATCGTACGTGGCGGCTTTTTCCATGCATAAGGCTGATCCCACTGTGTTCTGGCCAAAAGGGAAAGGCCCCGCGGACTACAGGCTCGTATTGGAGCTTCCGATTTGCAAAGTGATGCCGAAGAAGAACTCAGACGGTACAACGGTCATCGTGTGCACCTACCTGCGTTACACTTCGGATCTCTTCAGCATTCTGGACGTGATCACGGTGTCGACCATGATCTGCGCCCACCTTCTCCGCGATCCATATATCCAGACGTATGGCGTCACCTGCGTCTTCGACTACCGAAACCTCCAAGTTAAACATCTCCGATCCATCCCGATAAAATATTACAAGGTGAGTGCTTCGAGTTCAGGGTCCGCAATCGAGACAGGCAAGGAGTGAGGGAGATCGGAGCGGTGATATACGGGCCACCACGAACATAGAATACCGTAAATATTCCCATAGACAGGCATTCTCAAGATCGACTTCGACGCCCCCCATCATCGCGTTCTCGTGAGCTCGCGGGGTCCCTCGGAGCTCGTTTCAAACCCCCAGGGCAGAGCCCCCAGATGGGACTTGAAGAGCTTATGAGGACGCATTCATAGAGGGCTTTGACGTCGACATTGAGGGTGGCAGTCTTTTGGAATATTGACGGTACTGATGTAGAAACGTACATGGAAGGAAAACGAACAGTTTCCTGTGATCTCTGAGTCCTGCGTTCCGCGACGGTTCTAAACTGAGGAAGGCGCTCGATTATCCATTTAGCTGATTCGAAATCTCTGCCTCCATTCGCAGGCAGTCGCTATCGCTGTCCGTGACGGTTGTCCCGCTCGACTCCGCGGTTTCCATCATGTGTTCGCCCCCACTTTCATGTCGCTGATGTTCTACGCGTTGCGGCCACTTCTCAACAGGAAGCTAAGTTCGCGGACCCATTTCCACTCGAAAGTCGCCGATCTTCATCAACTTGTCTGTACGGAAGCGCTGCCCGATGAACTGGGCGGTACCGCTGGGAAGATGGCTCCCGGAGCGTTCGAGGAAGACCTCTTAGCGAGCCACGATGAATACGTTCGATCGAGCTATTACGGGTTCTCATGACTTATGAGGAGGCTCCCCGCCGTAATAAATAGGACCTACTTTCGGATCGTCACTGCCTCCTCGGTATTGTTCTCCCCTCGATCAGTCGATACAGCTTCGAGTAGATATGAATTACATGGAGCGCTTTTTGCACAACGATCGATGTCGGATATTTGTCTTTTTTCACGCATCAAAAGCAGAGTCGAAACTCCGAATGTGAATTCTCGGGTTCAGCAATGGGATCAATCCTCAGCAACCACGACACGGATCGGCGTTGTCCCCATCGAAAAACTCGTGAGCTTTCACGTTAAATCCGCGTTCGATGGATATCGAGAGAGCTTCGCTCACGAAGACAGGTGATCAACAACGAGATATGGAGAGCTCTGAGAAAAGGTTCACTACATCGAGGAATACAACACGAGAATGTTATCACCCAGATTAGATTCCTGGAATGGCTCATACGTGCGTCCCCTATCGAGACAGTCCGCTCCGAGCTGGATTGTGGTCCTCGATGCGGGTAAAACTCCTTGTGAGAAATTCGAGGGAGATCAATGATATTGGATCGATGATTCGGAGTGAGAATGAATAATCCATACGGGGCAGAAGTTTTGAGGGACAAAGCGCGATTTTATTTACTCATTGTTCACTGTAATGTAAATGTATCTTTGGACGTCGCTAAAGTAAGATTGGTCTCTTCCGTGCTTGAGCATCATACCCGATTAAGCCAAGATCGAGTCCGGGAGTTCAATCATTTGGGGCGAGTTGACTCGAGCCTGTCGTTATCAGCTCCGCTCATCGGCTCTTCGGCCGCTCGCTTGATTTCTCCACAAAACTCCATTGTCCCTCTCCCTCTTTGCCCACCCGCTAGCTTCTTACCTCACGCGTTCCCTCCCTCAGTGACAACCGCATATTTTCTGTGGTTCTCTAGACTCTGTTGGCATTGAAAATAATTTACGACTTACCCTCCGAATCGAGACACGTCCGACTCGCATATCGAAATCAGCTGTCTAAACAAAGTATGCATTTTTCGAGCACTCCGTGAGGTGATTCAAATGACTCTTCTCAATGATCTATTCAGTCGGATAAAGCTGAATGGACAAGTCAATCGACCGACCGAACGGCCACTCCCCCAGGAGAAATTTTTAACTTAATAAAAAGCTTTGCGAGCTGTCTCATAGCTGCTCAAATTTCCTCCACGCTCAATATGGAGGGAATGCCTCTAAGAGCAGCTTTCAAACAGAGAACCGACACAAGAAATCTTAGATTAATGCCCATTCGCGACGGAGACAAGGACGGTTGCGATCGATGGTAGGCGAGCGTTTTCGAATCGGAGTTTTGAATCAAGCAACGAATCTTCAACTAATGGATACCGAATGTTCGAAGCCCGTGCTCAGGAGTTAGCGCGTCAAAAAATGGTTTCTCAATCGAGCCTCAGGATGCTTGTTCTAGCGAGCGGTGCCCGTTTCGCCGGTAGTTAGTCCAAAGATGATCATAAATTCTCCTCAGGAAAATACAATCGTCCAAAACGTCCATCAATGTCTATAGGAGAAGATTACACCCTACTTGTTCCTCTTGCTTGGATCGGAGGCAGTCGGTGGCGGCGGAGCACCCTTGGTGTGGAGTCCGTCGATATAGTTCATCAAGATGTCGAGGCGTTCTTCTTGCAGTTCGGATAGTACCAAGTATCGCTTATCGTTTTCGAGAAAACTCAGAATATCACGCAGGTGGCTGCCGGAATCCTCGATCATTTGTTTGCTCCTGTTGAAATGGAAACAACAGATGAGCGGTGCACCTATAGCGTTCTGCTCCTTTGGAGCCGAAGACGATCGATACACGAATTCACGAGGGATGTAAGCGACGATGCTTCGCGAACTGAGTATACAAAGGAATGATAGTTGAACGGCGCGTTCAAACGGCGTGCTTACTTGTACGTGATGAGTTGCGTCTCGGACAAAAGGGCGCGGAAGTTGTTCATGGCCGCTTGAACTTGTTCTTTCATCCAGTCCTTATAAACTTTCTCGCATTTGTGTTCGGACGACGAATACTTCGAATAGCGAGGATCATCTTTTATATACTTACGTGCCTAGAAAAAAATCAAGCTCTACCTCAAACCCCGACAGAACAGATATCACTATATAAATTACATAATAATGAATCGCTATATAAGTTGAGCGAGTTCATGATCTGGATGGAAAGCGCTTGCACTCACGTCCTTGAAGGGCATGTTCAGGGTGATTTCGGCGCATTCGCCGAGCATCTGTTTGAACTTATCCTTCTTCTTCTTCTTTAGAACGCTAACGTGATCATCGAACATTTTCTCACGCACCGCCTTATCAAGCATGTCGACGCTCTCGTAGCGGTGGTCTTTTTTCAGCATTTTTTTCGCGTCGTGCCACGAAATGTCGGAGCTTCGGACGAGGTCCGAGAGCAATGCCTGCAAGAAGATTCGGATATTTCCTGTTCATCTGATATTTCAATCCGGAAATCGTTTCCATGGGTCTAACACTCGTCCCATGGTTGCTTACAAATAAACGGCGCGTTCAGTAAAGCGCATATGTAGTAGAGGCTCACCTGGAAATTCTGGCGCGCTTCTTCGTGTCGGTGATGCTCGCGTTCCCGGTCGCGTTGCTTGAGACTTACTGATAAACTTTCGGCAACTTCTTTTTCGCGTTGTCGAATGGAAGCTTCCGCTCTCTCCTTCCTCTGACGTTCTTCGGAATCGTCGCGTTCGGCGGTGTCAGATCGATGCGCCTGGGAAAAAAATTGGAGCCTTATTAGGAGTTCCCCACGAGAAGGTCTCTGAGTCGGAAAGAGTGCGTGAGCGATCCCGTCGTTCGCAGGAGCTCACGATAGAGATCACAGTACATCCATGTTCAGGGTGAGTCCCTTTGGAATGGACTCCATTCTGGCGAATTCCCGCAAATCGAAAATCCCGTCAGATCGTGCGTTCCACCTGGAATGCCCCTGGAGCTCGGGCTCTCGTGGTCGGGCATTCTATAGATGCCCCAAACTCTTTCTCCCAAATACCGATCAATATGAGACGCAACGAGCACGAGGAGGGTCGGCGACGATCACGAAGAGATACACGTGAGGCCAATCTAGGCATTCTCCGTGACGTGAACGGCGGGGAGGGAACTATATAGATCCTTCGATTAGCGCTACAACGCGCATAGGTCTCCCGACGATATCCTCAGTCATGAGGGCGCTCATCGTGCTCAGTGTTGTTATCCTCGAAACGGCCGTCACGGGTAAGATAGGCGCGAGCTCTTCGTAAGCACTTCTCGACCCCAATCAGGAGCCGCTTCTGCCTGATCCAGCTCACCAATGATCCCTTTCCCGTAAGTTTGCTTATCCGCTATCGAATACTATTTCGATAATCCTTTCTAGGCCAGGTCCTCACACCGCCAGGCAAAATTCCCGCCAGAGTTCTCGAGCGAAGGAAGATCGGCAACGACGAACAACTTACGGTAGCCGTCGAAGATTCGTTCTTCGACGACCAAGGTACAATCCAGTCTTTGGCAATAATTGCCGACCAAATTTTCGAATGGGATGTCAGATGTCAGGCGGGCACTTGAGGAGGTGGTGGCTGAGCGAGTATTCCTACGCCAATCCACCTGAGCTCCCGAAGTCCTCATTAGAAATCAGGTTCTAATCGTTAGTCGACCGCGGATGCCCGTCCAACAGACAGATCCTGTTGGAGGCCTCGATCTCGCAGACCTTGAACGGTCCAAAGACCTCGGCGTACATCAGAAAAGCGTCAATCTGCTCCAATCGTCGGTTGTTTACGCGATCTTAGAAGCTTCCTTCCGGACACACCGCTTTGCGGCTGCGCCGCTTGCTTTCTCTGCGATTTTTTCTTCCTTCGCAGGACGTCGCACTGCGTATGTCGACCCGATACCCTGCGTACAGCTGAAGATTATGGGAAACCGAGTCACCCAGTGGAGAACCGGATGCTTGCCGCGGATAAAATTTGCCATCGCAGAGATTCTAACTCGGAAACCCCAACAGGTGCGGCTTCTTGTAATTCCCCTCACTCCCGTCTACCTCGAAGCCCTGGCTCCGACTAGGCAGGTCCATTGATAGTCTCAAATAACAGGTGATCCTCAACAGGGAATCCTCCCAACGATTCCTACCGATGCAACGGGGCTTCCACCAGAGGAACTTCTCGCCGTCGGGGAAACCGAGACCCCCACCGAGGAAGCGGAGCCGCTCCTCTCTTTCACGGACAAGCCATTCGAGGAGTGATCGAATGCTCTGACTTCCTTCGTTACGAATTCCCCACCCAATAGGCACGTCAATACTCCGGGGGAGCTTTCGACGGAGGGATGCGTTGATCTCAGCGTGAAGGTGACCTTTTCTGATCGCATCTCCTCCAGAAGCAGAGCTATACTATGATTTCTCCTCTTTTGATGTGTATATACAGGCAGGAGTCACGGGGAAAAATGCAGGGTTCACGAAGTCAGCAGGGACTCTAAATAAAAGTCCCGAAGTCAATGCTGAGAGGATCCTCCGTTGTCATCTATGCTGATCGAGTACTCACTTTTGATAGTTTCGCGCAGTGCTCCCGGAAGTATTCTTCTTTGGTCGTGGAACTCTCGATCGCTTGGTAGCGCGGATCGTGGCGGATATCTTCCTTAGTTTTTGTCCAAGAAGAATATCTGTCCAGTTTCTGTTCCTTCAGAAGGTCGATGAAGTCTTTTCGGAGCTAGAATAGCACAAATAATGGGCTTTAATCACCAGAAGATCGGTAGGATGCTAGCTGATCGTGAATACCTAACGCCTGAAAAAGTCTGCCGATTCGTTCATTTCCCGATGGTTATCGAGATCCATCGTTTAATTAATTTAGATCCCTGGAAGTAACCGCGAGTTAAACTCTGGAATCAATGATTGCGTTAGTGATCCCGCCGCAAAGCACGACAGGGAGCCTGGCCCGTACGGGGTTCAAACACTGTGTCAAGCAGCTGCATTGTCCCGAGCGAGCGCGAGGGGAGCTGCAACCTTGGTCTGGTTCAGACTTTCTGGCACGTGGCGCCGAGCAAACACCTGCCGTGTTAATCCTGTCTCTGACGCGACCTGTGCGAGCCTTAAACGTGGGTTGGAAACAAGGACGACCAGTGAGAAGATTCACACTGAGACTACGAGGATTCAATGGACCACCACTAAATAGATTTAATCAAAGAATGTATCTGAATGCGATTCGAATACCTGAGTTTCAAACGAATCGTGCCGACGATTCGTGCCTACGCTCAAGAGAAGCATTTTGCTTTCTGTTTAGAATGGAATTCCTCAACAACCCAAACTGAACTCGCCGCCCGTCGTGGTTGTCGCGGTGGTTGTTGAGGAACGTCCGATCTATAATTTATGGAAGACCATATAGAACAGCACATGAATGAACGAATTAGTGGGCAACATAACCTTTGTGGGTCTAGGAGCTCGCGGGACGATGCATCGATCCGTTCGCGATAATCGTCGCCGATTCTCTGTCAACTCGGTCACGCTGCCGCTCGAGGCAATCCTCATTTGCGTGAAGTCAATAATCGCGTTAATTGATCAGAGTCAAATCCAGTCACTAACGCTATACAAGGTGTGAACGAGCGGCTGTCGAATTCGATAAGAACTACGTCAAACAACATCCTGTTCCGATCGGGCAGCCCCGATCGATAGAGCGCATGCGAAGACGATCCGTTCGGAGTACGACATTGGGAGCCGTGGGCGTCGAGTGCTCCCCCGCTGGAACACTCGACAGTTGAGTACCGACAACGCTCCGAGGGGGAGCCGATTCTCGGTCATCGAACAAGAACACGAGCGTTATCGCGATGCTTCGGAGAGTTCGACGCGCCCGTCTTGCTATCGAACCACATCTCTCCGCTCACCGCATCGCGATTCGGGAGCACATAGTTTTTTTTCCACCGAAACTACATGTACTCGATCATCATTTACATATATTGTACGAACATGTTTCTCGTCGCTTCGCCATGATTATTAGACGATTGAAGAAATAATAATCACCACTCTCACTACGAGAAATATAAAAGCTCCAGCGTTCAAGCATATGATAGAGAGAATCGAGTCTCACCTTGTCTTTGAGGGCGCTTTTCTCGTCGCGTTCGCGTCGTTTCAAGTTCGCTATGAAATCATTGAAAAGGTTTTCCCTGTCCCTCATCTTATCCACACCTTTAAATCTCTCATCTTTACCGTGTTTTGATGCGAAATCTGAAAAACTGCTCTTTGTCGTCAAGTTCGATGCCTCCAAGAGCTCCTTGAACCTGGAAACGTAAGAGATGGACCATCAGACAAGTGAATCGATCGGATGGGGCTTGGAAGCCTCCAATCTCGTCAAGCTGGTCTCGGACGTCGGTCGATACTCGCGTCTCGGATACTCACGACTCTTTGAGTTGTTTAGCTTTGTTCTTTTTCTCTTTTCGCTCCTCCTCCACTTTCTCTTTACAGTACTTTTCAAAAACTTGTTTTCTTTCTCTCGAGGCGAGCAGCAGGTATCGAGCATCGAAAACGATTTTATGGAGCTCCTTCTCCCAGGGACTGAAGGCAGAAACCTGGAATGATGAATGTGTGAGATGAACTTGTGAAGGGGAGGGGGTCGCCTGAAGAGTCATCGACGACAATCAATGAGGACGCCTCGTCACAGGAAAGGAACTTACAGCTTTCTCCACCAGTAACTGTCTGAACTGCGCCATTCTCTCTTCGAGAGGTATCAGAGCCCGCTCCTTGGCCGCTTTCTTCTCGGCAGCCATGGGATCTTCCTTCACAAGTTCTTCCACTGGCTTCTTCATCTTCTCGTCCTCGACCGGGGACTCTTCTGTTCGCATTTTCTTGTAGAAAGGTTCTTCGACCTTAGCAGGCGCCGTGTTCGTTGTGGTAACTGGCTTTTTTGTTTCCATGAAGGCAGGCAGTTCGGGCTCGGCTTTCTTCTCGGACGGTGGAGCAGCCAGGAGCTTGTCAACGTCGGAGCGACCTTTGTTTGACGAACGAAAGGACTCAGAACGATTGCGCTGTTTCCGAAACCGGCAAATTCTATGCAGGGGTGCTCTGACGCAACAGCTTACCTTGGAGATCTTGAGGTCTTTCCCAGACGGAGCTCCTCGTCGCGGGATTGAAAAAGAACACTTTACCGTCGCCGGTCCAAACCACGCACCAAGGCGTACCGGCAACCGGAGTCGAGCTTACGGGTTTCGTTAGGTCTTTGGGTTTTTCTTCCTTCGGCTCAGCAGCTGTGAGACCCATTTGGCCGGCACCCATACCGCCTAGTCCGCCAAGATTCATGAGACCACCGAGGCCGAGTTGTGGTGTGCCCATGTGAGCCAGAGCAGGATTGGCCAAGGCCGCCGCGGCAACCTCGCGAGCTTTTTTCGTTTCTTCGCGGTTCTTGATTCGTTCACGGACTTCCTTGATCCTACAAGAAATCGAAAATGTTGGACAGTGTATTCGCCGAAGTAGTTCTGAGAGCTCGAGCGACGTTCCTGAACCCAACGGTCATCCAAGAGCGAGCGGATATCTGAGGATTGGCCTCGATACTTTAAACGGAAATGAAGCAAAACCCAAGGACGAGAGCCTCACCTTTGTTCTTCCTTATCCAGATCCAGCAAAGCCTGAGGCCGCTCCCACACCGATTGGTTGGTAACAGTGCTGTGAAAATACGCTTTGCCCTCGGGAGTTTTGTATTCTTTCCATTCCTCGGCCTTTCGCTTGATCTCGGCGTCAATCTCGAGCGAGCCGAGCTCTTCGTCGAGTTCCGCTTTGCTGCTGCCAGCTGACCCATCTAGGGACTGACCGCCATGGCCTGGGTACATGCCGGGGGCCCCATGGTATCCACCAGAGCTCCCAGGAGGCATCATCATGAACGGGGGCCCTCCCGGAGTGAAACCGGGGCTGAAGCCAGGCGGGGGACCGAAGGGAGGAGGGCCGAAGTGGGGCATTCCGAAAGGTGGCCGCACTGGAAAGTCAGAGTTCCTTTTTGTCATCAGTGCTCCTCGGAGGACAAAAACTACCTAGACATCCGAGTTCGAAGCTGAGGATTCAGACTCACTGCCATAGGGTCCCATGTGCTGCGATGGAGGACCCCCCATGGTCCCTGGGGGCCCCATGCCGTTTGCGTGACCGCTCGACCCTGAAACGTCCATGCTGTCCCCTTCACCGGGAGGTCTCTCGTCGCCGGGAGGTCCGTCCTCGCCGAGCGCCATCCCGTTCTGTGGGCTGAAAATCGGACGAGAATGAGATCTTCTGTCCCGAAGGAGTGGGAGACGGGACCACGAATAATCTGAGACCAAACTCACTCGATGGCTTGTTGTCCGTTTGTCGCGCTCATGCTTTCGTCTTTCTTCTTCCCTCGGGCCAACTGCTCGAGCTGCTCTTGTGTCAATACTTGTACGCCATCGCCTGTAGGTCGAGTCCAGGCGCTGGCTCTTGTTTTTGCGTTGTAGAAATAGACCTTCCCTTCTTTCGTTTGAGTTTCGACCCAAATTTCTGCATTGGGATCGATAGCCGGTCTCTGATCTCCGTTACCCATACCCATCGGGGACATTCCCATGGGTGTCTGGAAGAGAGGAGCGCGATGGTAATCGCTACAGACGGGTCCGGGTCCCAAACGCGCGCCCGGGTCAGTTCGTCCGCGCAGATCAGATGGAATGGCCCTTAAGAAAACTTACCATCATCGATTTCATTCTCGGACGAGCCATGAAGCCGCCACGCATCGGAGGTCGCATCATGCCATATGGTGGCCGGAAAGGAGGTCGCGACATGGCGGAACCTCGTAGGAAGCTCGGCTGAGTAGCGGCCTGATACATGGAGTCTCCCGGCGGCCCGGCATCCGCAGAGCCGCTCTCAAACATTATCTGAAACGTCAGAAAGATCACAATGGGTCTCAGTAGCTCCAAATACTTCCCGCAGAGAAGACTGCGCGTTGACAGGAAAGTCGCGTGTCTCAGTTCTCGACATTCCTAATTCGAAATTACTCCTCTGTGGTAGAGATATCGAATTTTGAACTGGCGGAATAGCCCGCGAAGATAATGAGCGCAAGTGATACGGTCGAATGTCGAGAGGCGACAAGATTCTCTGATTCTGGAATGGCTTCCAATCAATCAGAGGTCGTTGATCTCGATGCTTATCGCGCCATCGAAATCACCAATCGGATCTCTCGGTGCGAATCATTTTGGCCACAGTATTCTGCCTCCTCATTCCCGCACGAGGATAGGCTTGTGCACAATGTTTGCAAGGACAAGATCGAATGGGAGTCAATGCCCCTCAATTTACAGTCGGCGGGCGATCCAATCTGAAGCTCACCTCCGTTTCACTCGTGATGAGGCCGTGAGGAACGCTCGCAAGCGTCGAACAGCGATTGGACACGAATCACGGAATGAGTGCGCCGGTCTTGGATTCTTCTCCGGGTCGAATCGTTTCAAGTCGCTCAGCGAGATCCGAGGGATCGAATCGCTCCGAGAGTGTCGCTAATTGAATGGGCCACCTATGCTTGGGGCAGGAGCCTGTATTTTGTTTCGGAGAGCACAAGAAGCCGCAGGATGAAATAAGCCAGAATAACACAACACCCGACAGCTTTCTCCTTCTTCTTCTTCGTCGTTAAACAGAGTGCCTCGTCGGGAGCGCGCCAAAATTCAAAATTCGCGCTGTTCATCGGCGTTGCTTCCATCCCCCGAAGCTTTGCTCTCTGCCCCTCGAGCAGTATTCCGGACGTAGGGGGATCAGGAGGGGGGGTCGCCCCCGAGGGAGGGCGTAGGACGCCCGCGGAAAATATGAAACGTAGACGACGAGAGAGACTTGCGGAGCTTACTCCTTCTTCCCAGCTAAGGCCCTTTGATCAGGATGCACCCCGGTCCCATTGCACAGCTCCATCAGCTAGGAAAACGCCACCGAGACTCTGCGACGGGATCCGTGGCTCCCATGTACCACTTTCTGAGACGGTTGGCGCGTCAATTCTCGAAGACGAAGAGGCGGATTGATCGTTGAATCGAACGGAGCGAATCCACAGACCATTTCTGCCGCAGACTGTTACAATGGCAGAAAATTGCTGGCGAATCATATCCATATCCAAGAATGAAAGTTGAAATCGGCTAGTCTTCGGCAGAAGCGAGAAGGGAAGTCGGTCCCGTCTCGCGCGGAACTGGAAACGGTCTCCGATCGTCTCCCCGCCGTGGTCGGCTTGGTGGTCGCCCCGAGGCCCACCTTCTTCTCCAATGTGGCCCCGGGTATCCCAGCTTCATTATGCCGCTCCAGGGAGCTCGTTATGTTTTCGATTCGGCCTTAGCTGGAGCGAATACTCCAAAAGAGCTGGCCACCCCTTCAAGCTAAAATCATGAAGACGAAGGCGGGCGGTACCTCCTCAGTACTCTCAAATTATTTCGCAACTTTCTCCCTCGCCGGTGGTCCGCCTTGCTGCTTGCCGACCCCGACCATGAGCTCCGGATCTGTGTGGGGAGACGAGCTTGCTCGGGCAATTTCGCAAGTGTCCGAACACTGCTGACTGATGAGCCTCAGACCCAACGCTCGGAGGGACTCCGCGGAGACTATTATCCTGGTCCGATGTTCACGCGTCCGTAGAGCTCTTGGGCGGCATTGACTCTGGCGCCTAGGGTCGGGGTGTGGTATACCCGAGCGTGTACCTTGGAAAATGGAAGGGCAGTGACCTTCGGTGCTTTCCTCCGTGAGGCGCCATGGGAGCGAGAAAGCTGGGGCATTCTTCGTCCTACGGATTAGGCTGCGGATAAGCCCATAATCTTCATCTGGACTAGACTCCTCATGAGTGAATGACGCTATGTCGAGGAAATCCTAGGAATGTGCATCGAAACCCATCAAAATTCCGAGCACAATTTGCGGTCGGACTCGAATCCCTTCGCTTGCATCCATGAAGAAGGTTGATGATGGGAACCCCGAAGCCACCCCATCGCCGGTTGGAGGAAGTCGACTGCTGACCACTCCGTCGACTCCGCATCCTTGTTGCGCACTCCGCGTTCCAGTCACCACGAGAGGACGTCCGACGTCCGGACTCCGGAAGTAAGTTTTAATCCCTCACGTATCGTGGGAGGGCTCGAGGACATAGTCAAGGACAGGTTCACGTTTCTGTGGGAAAATGAGCAGCCGACGAGTTACCCTTGCTCAGAGGGTACGAGGAGCGGGTCAAGCTCCCGCCTACCGAGGCTCATCAATTGTGAAGATCATCGTCCTGGGGTATGCACAATTCCAGTACAGCACAGTCTCCCCACAACGAACCTTGCGAGATCGGCAGGATCTGTTTGTCGTCCGCTGAAAGATTCGCGAAATCATCTCCACGGCAAGTCAGCCTACGGACGGGATAAAAATGTTCGTTCGGAAATTCTCTGTGATAGTTTTCGTTGTGACGAGCGGAAGTTTTCACCTCTTTTCTTTATTCGATGACTCAGTCAGCATGCTCTCTTCCGGCGATTCTGCTCACAGTTAGCAATTCTAATCTGTCTCCACAATCCACGGAGAATCGAGCGTCTTCGGAGGAGGTGACACCAAATGCCTTTACCAGATACCGGACTTGAAACCATTCGACGTCCTTCTTGATGGGGGTGAGAGAGTAAGGAAGCGAACGTGCAACGCAACATTAGTCACTCATTGTTAGTCATGCTCTGAGGGGAACTCGGACAACCACGTCAAGGCCATTTCTGCCAAGATTTGTCAGTTGGCAAGCACCGCTTATCGCCGGCGTACAGGTACCTTCCTTCCTTGATTTTCTCCAAGCATCGACATCTCATCCAGAAGAATGTCTCGGACCGTGGGACCTGTCCCACATAGAAAGGATATTTCCACTCGGGAGTCGACATAGCGGCTCTATCGAGAACTCGCCTCGGCTGCTCCGTCGGAAGAGGTGGTATCTTCGAGGAAGAAAAAATCGTTCCGATCTGTTTCTGCGGCCGGCACACGGCTCATGTGCGTTTCAGCGGACTGAAACTCGACCGGATCGACTGCGCTCCTCTCCAACTGACGTGTGGGGCCTACCGTCGAACTTCCTCGGCATCCAACAACCCGCCGTGCGGATAGACAATCGGTCCCATAGATTTTCAAGCAATGATTTTTACTGATTCCCTCCACTAATTGCCCATGCTTCCGGCGATGACATTACGCGAGGATTCTCCCGTTCCGCCGAAGATCCAGCGGTTTTCCGTGCTGTGGTAGCCGGTGCTGCTGCCGCTGCCGCTGTCGGTGGTGGTGTTCAGGGTCGCCATAGAAACGAACGTTGAGCTCTCTGACGACGACGACGGCGACGCTCGCTATGCTGAAGTGAACCGCTGCTGCTCTGCACTACGATCGTCGTTGCCGCAGCGGTGTTGGCTGTTATCGCTGTTGCTCGTCGCAGTACGTAGCTGGACGAACTCTCCGCTCCCATTGTTATCCAGCAAGTCCCCTCCATATCGTCGTCATTACAGGCCGCAATTCGAACACACTTCTCGGCCAAGTGACAGTCTCTTTAACGAAGAGCTCTCTCCAAAGCGCGCTCTTCGCTCGCAGGTGTACCACCGTGTTAACAAGTGACCACGGCTACCAAAGTGACAGGTTGGAAGCTCCGTACGAGAAGTTCCGATGCCTCGGAGAACTCACAGATGATTCGGGAAACAGTGCCGGCAGCGATCTAGTCATCAGTGTATATAGAGGGGCTGCGGGCCCGAAAGGACTCAGTGCTTTAAAATGCGATGGGTGTGCGGATTTTTCTGTCTGATTCTCTCTGCACACGGACAGTATCCGGATTTTCGGATCGGGAACAATCGTCCGTACGACAGGAACTTCGACAGACCGCGCTACTTGGACGGGAGACTCCCGTACGAGAATCGGTACCCGGGAATCGACGTCGAACGACGAATCCAAGAAGAAGGTGACTCAAGATGTAACGTCATTCAAGTGGATAACCTCCCCCTCACGAAAAGTGTGGAAACAAACTACGGCACCTACGAAGGTAAGTCAAGTCCTGAACTTCGACGAGTCTCGGAACGAGTGTTCGACTGCTGAGCATGGAGTGATTCATCGGAATTCATCGCAGGCTGGGTCAGCACCGAGTGTTGGAATTATGCAGCAGATGAATTGAAAAGCGGGACGGTTTGGAATTTTCGCGTGAACGCCCCGAGCCCGGATCCCGACCTGAAAGCGGATGGGACTTGTTGCTGTAACGAGGGAGGGAGTGCTGAAGCTGCGACCAGGGAACGCTCATATCGCGGGAAACAGTCTCGCCAAACAACCTGTACCCAATGGTGTAAAACTTCTATTTGGGGCTGACCCAAACTCAGTCATGTCAGCGTTCTATGATCGGCGCAGCTCTCCAGCGGCGCACCATAGTCCCGTTGTTTTTGATAAGACGACTCGTCGGCAACGTCGGCGAAGACAATGACGATCCGTTTGCAGGTTTTCTGTTCTAGAAGAAAAGACTCGGGGCCAGCCGTGCGCGCCAGACAGCGCCGGTCGACTCCTTCTTCAATTTCGGATGTGAAAAACCTCGCGAAAACGATGTCGCTCGCTAGTAATGCAGAACTGCTGATTGAGTGTTTACATAGCTGAACCGTTTAGGCGTGGCATTCCTTTCCGTGTCACTCTCAGGTGTGTCGCCACGAGGAGACTCTCTTGAACCTTCCGTCCGAATCAATCCAGAGAGAATCCGCGTGCGAGATGGCTCATGTTCTAGAATCGATTCGATTCTCGCGGCAGTGGCGTCCCACCGAAAATTCTCCCCATGCCGATGAACACATATATTTTGGAATTGAGATAAAGCATGGGATGTGATTGTCTCGTTGGCGGAAGCACGGCCAAAGGGAAAGCCTTCGCTCTTTGGACGGGCAGGTGAAGAATTATTTTAAGCGAAACGTTCCCACACGTATGAGGCGACTTGAGGCAGAAAAGTAGTTACTTCGTCTTCTAGGCCAGTCAGATCGCTCCTCTCAGCGTAGATTATGAAGTTAAGAAGAGCGACCTGCATTCTATGTTCCGGGAGAGATTCTTCTGTATCGCTGACCCTCTTCCTTGACTTGGTCAACAATTTGCTCGACCGTGTTTGAACAGTCGGGAAAGAAATCCCTCGAGTTCTCCGTGAATTCAACTCAGTCTGATTCAAATGACTCGGCGTGGAACTTTCAGCGCCAATGTCTTCATTGAGAAGCAAAATTCAGTAGCCTCCAGGATTCAAGAAGAATCAATTCATTATTGATTTTATTATGGGTGCGCGATTCAAGCGCACCTGACACACAAGCGGAAGCAAAGCCCATGATCGGATCGCTGAACGGGCTCGATCTCGATTGACAAGATTGCTACTTGAGTCGAGAGAATGTTCAATGTGATTATGACGTATTGTCAACTCAGCTGGCGTTCCAGCGATCAGATGTGAATTGCCGTGACGCGAGCCAAAAGCGACATTGGGAACGAGCGTGAATCATCGGATGTAGTAGTTTATGAACCATGACTAATCCCACCAAGAACAAGGGATGCCTCACGACTTAGGGATCCCTTGTTTTATTTAGATTTCGACCGGAGATTTCCGCTCGACGAGCGGAAAAACTGTCGATCTCTCGTGGGATGAAGGAACGGTCTAAGCTCGAACTGCTGCTCCCATATTTCTGTCTCCTGTTGAGAAGGAGCGAGGTGGGAAATTCTCTCTGATGTTCACTCTTTAAGCGCAAAAGATCAGAGGGTGGAGGGCAGTCTCCTCGGAAACGTTTGGCCCGGACACTCTGCATCGAAGAAAAACCCTCGATTACGAAGACGGATATCGACCGTATTTTTTTCTCCTTCCTCCGGGAAAATACTTGAAATCATGATCACGCTACCTCCCTTGTCGAGTTAAACTTTTGCGTCGCTTTTATCGGAGTTCTTCTGCGTGGAGCACCCTAGTCGAGCGACATGGCATCTCCATTCGCCGTCGCGGCGGAAGTGCGTTGCGTGATTTCCCTTCGGCCCTGATCTTCTATGGGAAGCCATGCGTCACGGGATTCCGTAACGTTTCGCAAGACTTGAACTTCAGTTTTCTGTTCTTCTGCTTCGGACTGAGGATTTCCCTTGAGCTCAGAGCGGCGCGGCGTCGCCAATGCTTGGAGACGAGCTGTTAAGGTAGGAGCGCCGTTTTCGAGGCGTGGTCGAATCGCACTCCACGGTCTCTGGTCCGGTGTCTCGTGTCGACCTCGATCGATACTCGTACGTTGAAGTTTACAGACTGAATGCGTCGAGTCATTCGGACCATACCGGAGTTGGGGATCGAGAATGACCTAGCGAGATCTTCCTTATTCGAGCGATCGGATGCTGACAGCTTGGACCCCCTGAATCTACTCGATTGAGAGCCTGGTCGATAGGTCGATATGAGAACTTCAAGCGAATTACCCTCTCCCCCTTCGCAGGAAAAGTGGTCTACCTATGTGACACCCCGTCAACAAAACGTGAGGATCGGCCAGTCGAGCAGGGAGGCCTGAAACTCCCAAAGCGGGACTATCCCGCATCGGCAGTGGCATACCTCGGAGTCCCTTACGCAGAGCCGCCTCTCGGCTTATTCCGGTTTCGGGTGAGTCTCCCCTCTCTCGCAATACAGTTCGGATACTGCCAAGCTTGCAGATCTCACCTCGCTAAGACAATTTCAATTGGGAGGTAGTATGAGCAGATCTTGCTCATAAGGGAAGCGTGGAAAGAGTCGACTCGAGCTCATGCCGGGATTATTCTTCAAGGAACCGCAACCGTTGACTTTCAAAGGGAATGTTGAAGCGAAGAAGTTCCGACCGGCTTGTTTGCAACACACGAACTACACCGGATCGAGTAAGGGTATCGAGCATGTGAGCGAAGACTGCCTCTACCTCAACGTCTATACGCCGAACGTGAGTGTGCCGAGCTAGGAAATCGAGTTTCGCGAGCCGAGCCAAGTGTTTTCCATCGAAGATCAATCACCTTATCTTCGAATTTCCAATTCGACCAGGACGAGGTGAATCGTGGTCAACGATACGCGGTCATGATGTACATCCACGACGGCGAGTACAGCCACGGTTCCGGAAATGTCTTCCCGGGTCATATGCTGGCAGCCACCCAAGAAGTTATCGTTGTCACCTTCAACTATCGACTTGGAGCGCTCGGTTTCCTTTCTACGGGCGACAACTCGTCGGGTGAGTTTCTTCCGGGACTTCGGACTCGCGAAGTTCGTCTTCAGACCTCTGTCGATCTTCTTAGAGCATTGGATGCAACTCAATCCGGCTGAATATTCTCCACAGCCGGTAACTTCGGTCTTCTCGACCAACGAGCCGCCATCAATTGGGTTTACCACAACGTCGAACGATTCAGCGGCGATCCCGAAAGAATAACAATCTTCGGTCCGGGCGCAGGAGCGTCAGCTGCCGGAATTCACATGATGCAGCAGATCTATGGAGAGAACCGTAAGCCCTTGATCTATTCTAGCATAGAGGAACTCTCTATGGGTGCGCTGATTTGATTTATGACCCGAGTGGGTTCCGATCGATCCGATCGACAATCGACCATTCGATTGACAACGATAGGCGAAATCATGTCACCGCACCGGAACGCGACTTTGCTTCTGTTTCTCCACGTTCCTTTCCGAAATTCCGCCATCGAATGCATGAGAGAAACTCGAATGGCCCAAATGATTTCAGTTCACATCAAGCGGGTCATTGCCATGTCCGGAAGCGCCGTCGCAGAATGGGCTTCCATCGATGATGCCATCTTCGTGAGGAATATCTCAAGACTCTACGGGGAGCAGATAGGCTGTTGGGCTACAGACAGCTGGCAGCTAGTCGAGTGTCTCAAAAGGTGAGTCAGGAGAATCGTCAAAGAATTCGGGAAAAGAAGCCAAGATAATAAATCTATCCGAGACTTTCGGGAGTCACGAGAGGAGAAAAACTAAAGCCCCGTCGAATGGATTCATACACAGGAAAAGCAACAACAGCGTCGAGTTTACCTTGACAACGGTCACACCCCTCCGTGGATGGTTGCCTTGGGGTCCCGTGTTAGATCGAAACACGCGATATAAGTCTCCGGGAATGCCGTACAGCGCTCTCGAGTATCTTGAGAACAAAATCCCGAGACCCGAACGAGTTCAACAGTTTTCCTACATGACGGGAGTCAGCGTGAACGACGCTAGTTTCATTGTCGAGAACGATGAGGAGCTGAAGAACATAGGCTGGCAGTTGAACAAGGACGCCTTCGATCAAAAAATTCGGGCGTACGCCAAGACGTACAATTATACGATAAATGAGGATGCGATAATTCAGGCGATCCGATTCATGTATACACCGTGGACGGATTCAGAGAATTCCTCGCTCCTGCTCGAGGAATACGTGAACGTAAGTGGAAATCCAGGCAAATGAGATTCGCGTAAGATGCCTCGAGATAGACGAGAACTCCTAGACATGCTCCTGCGCTTCTATTCGTTGAACAGAGCTCATTGGTTTCCCAGATGTTCACCGACGCCTTGTACGTGGCACCCATGGATCGAATGGTGAAGCTGCTCCTCGAGATCGAAGTTCCCGTATATATGTACGTGATGAACTACTCGTTGACCTCGAGTTATTTCTTGCCTCAACGGAGAACGTGGAACCGGGTTCCACACGACACCGAGAGCATTCTCGTGTCCGGGGCCCCCTTCATGGATCCCAAGTTCTACCCGTCCGAGTACGACTTCAATAAAGTCTACTGGAGCGAGGGAGACAGGAACATGAGTCAACTGCTCATGGAGGCGTGGGCGAATTTCGCCAAAGAGGGCAATCCTACCCCGAATGCCCTGTTCGGAGTGGTGGATTGGAGACCAATGAGGAAAGGTTTGTGCATTAGATCTCCTGTCCGGAGCTCGAGTTAAGCGCTTCCGGACCCTCAAATGCCATCGTAGGGGGCGAGGATTCCATATCGATGATGGTACGAGATAATTTAATCGCTTCCAGGTCTTCTCCGCTATCTGTCGTTGAATGCCACCTATTACGAAGCTCAGAATTCTTCGTCGTTCATGTTTCAAGACTACCGTCAAAAACAGGCGCAGTTTTGGAATTCCTACGTACCGGGAATCTTCGGAAGAGCCGAGCACTACTGGCCCTACTGGAACGAGCTTCCTTGGGAGTACGACATTCGCGTGTTCAGAACGTCGTTATATTTCGTTTCATCTCTAGCGGCTCTGTTCCTCTTCTTCGCCTTTCTAGGGTTCTGCTGTTACTGCAGAGCTTCCAGGTATGGAGACGATCATTATTATTGAGGGGAGGACTCCCAGCACCGGATTCAGAGCGTATTCAGAGCCATGCAAGTCGAGAGTCAGAAGTCGATACCTACGAAAGCCGTTCGGGTCTCGATATTGCCAAGATGGAATCGTTTCGAAAGATTCCGTTCCCGACCATGTAACTGATCCCACTGCCGAAACTCACTGAACCTCCGGACGGAACTCAGCCCGACCGACGATGAAATTTCTCTGCCACGAAATGCTCAAGCCCATCGTAGCCGCCCCCTCCCCCGAACACTCATTTCCCCGCCCCGTTCGGAGGAAGTCGAATTCTTGTTGGCTCGTGGGGTTCCCCGAGAACATGAGGTAGAATCAAAACTCATTGAATGCAACAGCATGTTGTTTGCTTGTATGACTGGATAGTGGAAAGCTATTGATATCCCCTTGGCTCCGCCCGACGAAGGAACCAATAATTCTGATTTGCTAATCATTCATCAATCAGATGGATAGCTGCCAGGCAGGCTTTCGATTGTGCCTCACATCGATATTACTCATACGTCGGCGCCGCCGTTGCATACTGTTGGTGATATCTTGAGCGAGCTAATATCGCTTCAAGGGAATTCCAGAAAGCTCATGAGTCGCGGGTCTGACTTGCCTTGTGTTATTCCAGATACTTGCATGATTCGCTGGAGGAGACTGATAAGCCTTCAACACTAATCATTCAACCGAAGGCGAAACCGAGGAACACTTTGAGTTCGGCGGGAGTCTCTTCTGCCAGGCACGTTCGGTTCGCCGCCGATCACTGATCCTTATTCCCATGTTGATAATACATAATAACATAGCATTCGAACATAGAGTGGAACCTGTGTTCGCTAATATCTCATTCAGCCGTAATTAAGAATATGAAGATGAGCCTCGCACTGCCAGGCGTTCGAATTTATCGCGCTCCCGCTATTAGACGCTGCAAGAAATTTCATTTTCTCGCTCCTTTTTCGCCCGAAACTTTAGAAACACCGAGCTTTTCACTTTGACTGGTTTGAGAAATGCGCGAGAAGGAACCAGATTCGCACTAGCAGCCTCCGCATGCTACATTCTCTAACCCACGCTTCCACTTGAGCTTTGAGCCGCAATTTCGCATGTGATTCCGCACCTGCAATTAGTTCACTGACATTCTATCTTGCAGCACGTACTCGCTGAATGGCACACGGTACGAGTCACTCTTGGCTGTGCTGCCCAGGGACACGGCAGTCTAACAACGTAACCTATGCAACATCGATACAACGAAGCGAAGGCATTTCTAGAACATCGACGCGTCACAACTCCGAACTCAGGAGACTCTTTTGTTGCTATCTACGTGTGCTTAGTTCTCTCCGATAGTTTTCCTCGTGTTAGCGGCTGCGCTTGATATACCTGCCTACGAGCACAAGAATCCTCTAGTTGTACTGTACTCAGATTCATTTACGATACCACTGACAACGAGGAACGATAGGAATGCATCAGAATAATACGGGCAACCATACTGTTTGACTCTGAATGGAATCGTGACGGCAGCTATCTCTGTGTCAAAATGGATCTCGTGCCCCTTCCCGCGGATGACGTACCGGAATCGGTGACGGCGGAAACCCCCACGGGAACGAATGCAGGACTCTCACCCAGGAGAGAAAGTCAAACGTCAGCTTAGGTAATTCTCGCAATCAGTTGAGAGGAATGCTTGAACCCGGGATTCATATGAGGTGGAATTTCTGTACTATTGGTAATGAATGTTGGAGCAGATCGCGGCACAGGGCCGTCCCGACTCACTTGATCTGAATGAGAGTTATAGAAAGTTCGTTGACGATCTTTCTATATATGTTGAAGGTAAGCTCGAGAGCAAGCCTCTGGTGAGCTTAAATGCAGATTTTCGAATGATTCAGCGACTTCTCTAACTCACCCACGACAAGATTCAGATATGATCCACGACAAGCGATGAGCGTCAGCATTGGAGCATTTCAGCATAGATTCTTGACGATTGGAGAAGAACTCAGGAAGCGAATGTCATCGAAGTTATTGACTTTTTGAATTCCCTGAAGAAGGCAGACTTCTTCCGACTTGGGTGACGCAATTATATTTTTGCTATATATAGATCGATACATGTCATCTGTAAATATCGCTAGCATCAAATAGATGCTCATCAGTACCCAATGTATGAAAGTGAACGATCCTGTTCCTGGAGAATGATGAAAACTGCCGATGAGACTGAAATATATATACTCCTTCGAATGAGACGAACGGGAATCGTTTTTCGTGTACGAGTTAGATTTATTGAGCTTTCGTTCAGTTGCTACATAGTTGAACATTTCGATGAGCTCGTTCTCTGTATCACAGCTTACTCGTCAAATGTAATGTGATCTTCTCGGTTCAATCAGGGCGTAAAGGATTGGCAAAGGTCAACGACGTCATCTTGTCCGCTCCTAAATGTTAAGATTCTATTGATCCTAAGTTTTTTTCTTAGTCACGTAATTAATATACATTCTGTCACTATAAGATACTAGGTAGAGCTCGCTCGCTCGCTATTCGGCTAGCCGCCTCAGTCTTGTTTCAATCCTCCGATCTGAGGAGTGCAAACAGTAGCGTAACCATCGTTTGAGGGCTTGATCCCGTAGGCCTCTTTCCTCCGCTTCTCGTTGTACGCATCGACGTAGAACTGTACGAAGAGATACAGGAAGAGAACACCTTGTGGCATCGCGAGGTACACGTAAAGCCTCGGATAGCCACAGTCGTAGAAGAGCGGGATGGCGCCGTGGATCATTGCGATTATGAATTGCGTGATCTGGAGCTGGGTCAAGTACTTCTTCCACCAGAGGTAGCGCTGGAATCTCGGTCCGAACGCCGACAAGAAGTAATACGTGTACATGATGACGTGAACGAAGGTATTCAGACAGATTATGAACGACGTGTGGCCATCCGTTCCGATTCTATGCCAAAACCAGCAATCGAAAACCACCAGACAATGATGGACAACATGAAGCGTCGACACTTGGTTGAATTTCTTGCGTAAGACGAAGAACACCGTGTCCAAATAGTCAGCGATCCGGAGGAGTCGTAGCCACCAATAAACTTCCAGGAGTATGAGAGATTTCTTGTCGGTCGAAAATGTCATGCCTGTGAATCAAAGGGATTTTCTGTCAAAAGAAGAATGGGTCATCGACTGACGCGGGACTCTCGTCGTTCGCCTCCCGCCGATGAACTGCCTGCACGGAATTACGTACCTTGACAGAAAAGACTGTATCCACCGCCGATATAGGTCAACGAGAGAACCACGGCGAGGAATCCCGCACTGAGCAAAACGTTGAGACCATTGTATATTTTGATGGCTAGCTTGAGGTCGTAGGGCTGTCTGCTCTTCATGTACGCCGGTCCCCAGACTTTCACGAAATACAGGTATAGACCCGTGAGGAAGACGATGATCGACGGATACTTCACCATAACCCAATCCTTGGTTCGAGGATCTTGAGGGAGGTGGAACCAGCGGGTCAGCAGGTCGGTTTCGCCGTCCATGATTGTAGCGGACTCTCTGGAAGGGAAACAGAGCAGTCAAACAGAGTTATATAGGGGATGAGTTGAGGGCGTCGAACCTCGACTCGAAGGGGGAGCCAGACTTTCCCAGTCGTGTAACAGACTGAGGATCGGATGGAAGCTCTCTGAGGTCTCGGAAAATACGCGAAAACGCGAGGGGTCCGCCTCGATGTACACAACTCCTTTGCTGGCGGAGGAGTAGCCAGATCATTGGGTGAGCCATTCGATTCCCGGAGGTGGATCATCGATAAGACCGGGGACATTCCCGGACACCACCCGGACATTCCGACATCTGGAGGAAGCCACTCCAAGCTGCTCTTCCTGCGGAGCTCATCTCGAGGTTCCCCGCACCACTCTTGCTTGGAGTCTTCTGTCTTGCCCCCGGAATCTGAAGACGTGAGTCGGCAACACGACTCAAGCGCACTCGTTCGGTTTCCCATATACGAGCGAGCAAATGCTTCAATATGAGTTTCAACACTTCAGAGACTGATGAGGAAATCACTTATGATGTGGCCCTGAGCGAGACCTTTTCCCGGGAAAGAATGAGTCGTTCTCGGAGTGGCAGCGGATCCAGGGATTACCCGAGAAGACGGAAGATTCCAAAAATTTGTCTCGGGGCCGAATCTGTCAAACCTCGGGGGTCCACCGACCCCGAAAGTCCTGGCGCTGCAGAGCGATGCCTCAAAGCGGCGTCCCTCCCCCTCATTTCAAATTCCAACCGGAAAAGGAGACTCGAGGAGGCTATTCGGACCGATTCGGGAGACCTCTCGCGTCCCGTTCGTGATCCAGCTGCTTGTCATTAGTAGCTACGAGCTTTCGAAGCGTCAACCCGTCTCCCCGTTTGCAGCATCCAGGAACGTCCCATCTACATCCCGATATTCAGTTCCGCCCCGGGGGCATCTATACGGAACGCTTGATACGGTGAAACTTGATACGACGACCTCTATAATATAACCAACTTAGGTATCAGACCACTCTCTCCGGACTTCCATGTTCGAGGACCTGCCCAATGGAACTATCCGAGCTACCAGGCTCTTTTCTGGAGTCTCCCTAGGTAGTCTCATCAGACGTTAAGTGTATTTCGACCTCTGTTGTGAAAACTTTATCCGAGGTTCTGTAAACGGATAGCAACGACTTTCGTCATCACGCGATCCGAACGAGAAATATTCCGAGAAAGCCCTTGATGTGGTTCCGGAGGGGGGAAGAATCTAGTTCCTAGCGCGGCACGCTCCAATTGATCCCTTAGATGGATAGCGTTGTGTCGATTGGGGTTTCCCCGCACTGTCTCAACGTTTTCGGATGGAGTTTCCGCTGGAGAAAGAAACAAGTTCACCGTTTCATCACGTGTTTTTCTTAGCTGGGTCAGACCATCAATCTGGGTCAGTCCCGGTCATCGACCACGGCACCGCCTCATGCGTTTTCTCCAGAATATCTGAAGCGCTGCCGTCGGCAGGAAGACGGGATCTCTATTATCCTCGGGCTACTTGTTTTTCACGCAGTCGAGTGTCGGAAACTCCGGTAGCTCCGAATTTAAGTGTGCTCGCGCGAATAACTCGTCCGAGTTCGCCGATGCGCGGATCAAGTTTTATGAGTTCGGTCGACGGCTCGGACGCTAACTCACATCTCTCAAATCCGGGAATGTCATGAGTAACTCAAGGTCCCACTCATCTCACAGCCAACAGCTCGTGCTTCCCAGTCGTTTCTGTCTCGTGTTTCCCGCCGTCATCATGAAGACGGACAAGGGTGCGTATCCGAAGAGCGGATCTCAAAGGTGTCATCCGTCGTCGGAAACACATTTGGGAATAAATAATCGCGAAATACAATATCTCATTTCCATCTATAAGCTAAAAAGTGTCATCTGAAGGTCTACGGAGATTCAGTTTCTGGCAATCGGAAGGCACTTAACGACAACCTTAACCCTCCAACGGGAATGTATCTGACAAGTCCACGAAATGAGAAAAACTTTTCCTTTGTCGCTATTTTTCCACGCAAGCCCCTCTTCTGGAAACGCTCGGACTTTGCTCAAGCGGAATCTGTTAAGGCTAGAAACTTGGACTAGCATCGGTTTTTGGGAACATTTGAAATTCTGGTTCGTAAAATCTAAAAATCCGAACCTCATTGGATTCCGACGATTTCACGTTCATCGTTCCCTCAGCGCTTGAACTTTTTGCGGCCCCCACGTGTTAGGGTTCTTACTCCAAACTATCAGAGACTTTGTAGTCTTGCTTTGGTTCGCTAAAAAAGACGTATCGAGCATTCTTCCATTCACGGAGCGGTTTTTTTCATTGGTAGTCTATGGCGCAGTTCCTTGACACTGACTCAAGTCTGAGAAATTCACCGCAGCAGAAAGCTACCGAAGGGGTTCCAATCGGCGAGTGGCTTCCACCTTGAACTTCAACGGCCTCGATGGGTCGAACCAGAAGCTATGATGGTTTCCGATGATATTGCGGAAATGCGTTTTCTAATTCAGGATCGTGAACACGATGAGTTCGAGTGAGACTGTGATACATGCATCATCTATGAGACCATTGTTAGGAATGCTTACGCTTGCAGTCGCTCCGATCGATCACAGTTGTCACGCCGGATGTGATCTTCAGATCCTTCGCTCAAAATGACTTCCTTTATCGATCGCACAAATCCCGTGTTGAACTTGGCCGAGTGATCCGAATCGTGAGAATTCGTCGAACACTTCAGTAGGTCAAATTTTTACAGCGCATTCCACAGAGAGCTAGAATCGATCCGCACTTTCACTGTAGTCACACTGTAGCCTCTCAAGGGAAGCTGAGTCTCTAGGCGAGTTTCACCTATCTTCCTAAATATATACACCGGAATCCACGTCAACTCCCAAACGAGTTCGTCTCAAACAACGAGAGATCCCCAAACTGAAATCTCTCTGTCGATGGGCAGAGATCGGCCACTAGATTCACGGATACCGCAAGTCACGGACAACGAACCTCAACTCTCAGACTGCTCGCCTCCTCCGGGATCGAGGGTCTCGGTGTTCGTAGCGAGCTACGTGGGAATCCGATTCCGGAAACTGATTCAGATAATCATTCCGACCGTCTCCAGACTCCTCGGTCTCATCAGCTTACAGAATAAGGAGAAGACGCCCGTGGATGAGATGAGCCTCGCACATCGGCAAAGTCACCGTCGAGGGATTTTGAGTAAATATTAGTCTAAGCGGGAAAAATGGAATGAATTTCGTTAACGTACCGAACGCCGTCAAGTGAACGTCTGGTTTTAGCCGCTTGCTCTGAAGCGGATTCTTCACGTTCTCCCCAGAAAACTCTCACCGAAGCCCAAGCACCCTCTCCGGGTCAACGTCTTTTCGAACGGGAGCTGGTGTATTCTTGCGATGCGCGTTGATTCGAATATTGTGAGTCGCGGCAAACGCACAGATATTCACGTGGACGTACTGACACGAATACACGATTGATTGACTGCTCAAAAAAGCTAGCGCTTCGAGAGAAGTTTCTCGAAGCGTTGACTTCGCGATCTGGTGAAGTAAGGCGCACAGTGGCAGGCGACGAGTGAGAAGGTCAACCCCGAAGTCTGCATAAGGATTCGACACCGAAGGATTCTCGCTCGAGGAAATCCGGAAGGGATCGCCTGCTTGCGGTACCGGGCAGCGTATCGACGTTGTCCGAGTGTATTGCATTTCCTGTCGACGCTAACTATTATTGACGACCGTCTACGTCCCCGATGACCGGTGGGCAGAAGCGGTTCCGAGCCTCGGCGATCGTGCTCTGTATTCATATTATCCTCGATGAGAATAAAATGGCGGAGAAATCGAGTTCGCTGCATGCTCCAGCCGCTTGACATCAGATCTAGATTTGATTTGATCCTGGAATGATCATGGAGTGATCAGGCCAGAAGAAGTGCAAGCCGCTCTGACCAGTCCGTCGTGATTCGTCGAGATTCATATTCGTCGGACTCCATGGTGAGGGTTTTGAGGTATCCATGTCAGCCTCTCCCTACTCCATCACTGCATGCACAACCCTAATGGTGAACTTTCAGAGGACACGCCCTCGCATCCGGAAAGAGAGCTGAATCATTCTCGCATGATCTACAATACATAAGTCAATCCTGATAAGAATGCCCCGTTGGGCCCATCGCTGGGTCTCGGTGAAAGCGAATATCTGAATGCCAGAGAATTGAAACCTCGAGGATGATCGTGAGCCGGGATGATCTCTTATCTTATTACATACTAGCGTAAATCCTTCGATAACAGCCCCCTTCCAATGGAAGCCCCTCTCTAATAGAGGCCCCCCTGCCGGAACTTTTGAGAAAATGAGAGCCCCCCTCCAATAAAAGCCTCTGTCCAATACAGGCCCCCCTCCAATAGAAGTTCTCTCCAGTAGAAGCCCCTCGCCGGAGGTGTTTGAAGAAATAGAAGCCGAGGTCACTATTGGAGGATCTACGGTATCAGGGGTCCCGCTGTCAACGACACAGTCTACGCTCACTGGGGTCTCCGTCGTATTCAGGAACTTTTCTTTGTAATAGATGACTTTTATTTCCTGGCATCGTGAGGAGTTCGACATCTCGGTGAGCTCACTGAATATTGTCGACAATCTTCCGCAAACCATCCACTTTGTTGAGTGCGTCCACAATCTTGTGACCTATCTGGTTTTCCAGGGCGTCCCCGACCGTTTTCTTGAGCAGGTTCGAGATGTGCGTGAGGAAGAAGGATGATATCCAAGTTACGTAACTTGCCCCTGTGACCCGCGCTTTAACTGCTCCGACTTCAGTGATATCGAACCTGGGGCGAACAATATTGGACAATTACCAAAAGTTCTTCGGAGACTCGAGATTTTTGCATAGAGCATGATGTAGGGCTATCGATTGCCGAAACAGCTCACTTCTTGAAGTTGAGGGGTTCGTCCTCGTCGGACTTCCGCGTGAAGTGCACATCGGCCCTCAAGAATTCAGTATCTCCGTACACCAATCCACTGAACTTCAGAAGTCCAAGGGATTTCCAGGGATACACGATTTTGACGTTGGGAATTTCCACCTGCAGGACAGAGCTCAGAGAATCGTTTGAACAGTTGATCAAGGCGCTCTTGACTTGATGCTCCCACTAGAATCCGCTGTATCGCATGGTCCCAGCTCACCTTCACTTTGACTGAGGCTAGACGATCATCGAGGCATTTGATCGCGGGAGCGGACACCCTCTTCATATTCTTGAGACCGAATATTTCGCCCGTACTAATTTTGAATATCTTGTCATGATGGACAGGCTCCCATTGAACGGATTCTGGAGCCTTGGCATTAACGACTTGCAGAGCTTCATCGATTACGTCGGCCATAGCGGTGGCATTGATGCAGTCGGATCGAACGCTGCATACTGTGGGAGTATTCATAAGTCATGTGAACCAGGCTTCATCGAAAGCTTCTCGATAACACTTTATGAGGGAACCGGAACGCCAACATGCGGAAACTCACCAAAGACACACGCTACAAGAAAAAGGGCAGACCTCATTATTCCTTCTTGTCACTCGTCGCCTTAGAGCTGTCGGAAACTTCACAAGAAGTTGAAATTTCGATGCAACGAGGCTAAAGGGATAATCTTTGAAATCATGTTCTGAGGCGAGGGCGTACATAAGCTAATCCGTCCGAGTCTAAAGGTCGCCACATGGGCTTTGACGGCTTTGTTAGTCACGCAACGCAGTCGGACGCGAAGCGGTGCGGCGCCTCCAGATGGCAAATTTCGACGCGACCGGGATGGAGTTCCCGGAGGGTCCCTGCTCAAAAGAATTGGGAGGCCCGTCTCTGCCGTCCCGTCCTATCCAGGTGACTCCGAAAGTGCTGAATTTGCTGCTTCACGCACGTCAGGGAACTTGGACATCCGATCAGGAAGGCGGACTCAGGACGGAGCTGCGACCTCAATCATCTCGGCGAAGCTCTCTGGACCCTCCGGGGAACGTCCCGCTGTCTGGTCAGCGTCGCATTCCCATGGAAGCTCCAGATGAATGACAGCCTTTCATTCCTAAGAATCTCGAAGATTTCATTAATCGCAAGAGGAGCTAAAATGTTCCGAAATCGCCTATTCGAATACTAAGACTATGGTCTCAGGAAAACCCGGCTCCGTAGAATACGCTCTATTCAGCGGGATCCCCTCTTCATAGAAATTCCATCAAGAGCCCCTGGCTTGGACTGCGGTTTCTCTGGGTTCCAGCGGTTTCTTCAAGAACCCACCAAACTATGACGACGAGCAGATTTCTTTGTGTCAAACAGATTGCAAAATTGACAGACGAGGAGCTCCGCCTTTCGCTTGAGGATATTCGACGGTCTCATCATCGGTAATCAAAGGCTATTTTCAATAATGATCTAAGGTGTAAACAGGATTACCGATAGATTTGGAAGCGACGGTCTCGCCGATTCCAAGGACTCCAAAGGAGAGCCAAAGATTTCTCGCCACGCCTCCTCGCTCTTATCGCCAGGGCATTGTTGAGACTGCTATTTCTGCTCAGCGCGGATCGATAAACTTATCAAGGAATGATAGCATGCATCGACCTGAGGTCCAGCTTTTATTCTCACACTACGTAGAACTCCCTCCTAGTCAATCGTGGGGCATACTGTCGGAAGATCCCAATCCACTTTCTCCGTATCGGCTGGCTGTCTCGGCCGCTCCCCAGAGAATCCTAGAATCTCAAGAAACACCGATCCAGGGTCGCCAGAAAGCATCGCTTGTTTTTGGGTAAGCAGAGCGGTCCGGAGGAAGATTGTTTATCTTGTGTTGGGCTCTCCCCAGCTCATGTAGACGATCGACCAGCTTCTTCGCCTCCTGGGTAGATCAGAAAAAGCCCTTCAGGGAACATCAGGAGAAACCCGCGGGAAACATATGTGAAAGCCTCTTCAGAGAGCGGGCCTCCGAAGTTCTCCGTCAACGTGGGAAGGTGAGACGGGGAGGATGCCAACTCGGGCAATAGGTATACAAAATCAATGGCTCACTGCGGGGTATTTCGCTATGACGTTGTTGAGCTCGCACGGATCGTTTTCCAAGTCGAAGAGGCATGGCGAACGATGGACGTCGCAAAGCGTCTTGTCGTGGCTTCCACATTTAATTTCAGCTTTGTCTCGCCATGTAGAATGATCGGCTGATAGGGTGTCCCCGTGCCGCTGTAGATTAGAGCTCCGAAGAGTTTCCGAGTCTGACATGTTTCCCTCCGAGCTATACTAAGTTCAGAGCTGTCTCGATGAAGATGACGTCGCTCAAGCCCGATGATTTCTCGGGGACTGAGGATTGATTCCCCGCACTGATGACTATGCTTACCATTTTCCACCAGAGCCCAGCCTCCTTGAGAGTTCGCGCCGTCAGACTCTCATCCATCATCCCGTCAAGCTGTGCGCGACTGTGCTTACCCTTATGAAGTTGGTCCCAGTCATTCAGAAGGGAAACCCCGTTTCTTGGACCTGGAATTATTTACCTTGATTCCCTTCCCTCTCCTTCGGATTAGGTCGAGAGTTTCTCTTACAAGAAACGATCTCATACCAACGATTAGTTTGAAGCGGTCGTTCCGCAAGGCCGCCGATTGGTCAACATAGTTGAGATTATAGAGAACTTCGGCTCTCGCTGACGGTGCCCCCTCGGAGAGCATGCTCCATTGATCACGACCATCGAGTTCTCTGGGATAGCTCAATCCTGGAATGCGCAACGAGTCTGTTTCAGATCAGGTTCGCTGATGAGGCTTGAGGTACCAGGCCTTGGTTGGAGGTCATTCGTCTTGCCTGCTCTTTTGAGAATTGTAGGTAGCCAATCTGTTACGTGCATCAAGCCGGATTCTATCCTCGGCTTTTTGACGATATCTGTACTCCACACAAAGGCAGAAACCCTCGTCCCTCCTTCGAACAATGTCCGCTTCTGCCCTCGGAAAGGGTAATTGGAACCTAGAAAGCCAATCCTGCCCGTCGGTATGAGTGAGAGCGGCACGGAACTCTAAATCGGATCCGATGGCTTCTTCAGAGCTCGATGGTTGACCTGTATTATTCATAACCCCCGTCGTCTGGCCGCCGTTATCAGAGAGGAATACGATCATCGTTGAATCTAAGAGCCGTTTCCTGTACAGGGCTTCCACAACTTGCCCGACCGACTGATCTAACTCGTCCACCATCGCAGCGTAGACTTTTCGATTCTGGTCCTTTATGTGAGCGAATTTCTCAATTGATTCGCGGGGTGCCTAGAAATCAAAGGAAGGATTCCTGAGAGGATCCAATGCCCCGGAGATTACCGGATATCTATGGTGATCCCAACTCCTCTGTGCTACAATATCGATAGGAATTCTTGCCTGGAAAGGGTCTCGCTTACATCCTGCGTGGGGAGCCAAATGCGACAGGAGTATGAACAAGGGCTCCGTCGATTTGTGATTTTCTATAAGGTTCACGGCTCTCTTCGTGAACAAGTGGGTTGCGTAGCCTTCTTCGTTTTCGTTCTCTTCATTGATATGCCAATCGAGACCGATGAGGCTGTCATTACCTGGCTGGAGATGGGATTCTCTCGTGAGATCTCAACGGGAGCGACTCGCTCAGATCGAGCCGAGCCCACAATATAGATGAGAGACCTTGAATGATGAATTCCCTCATCATTGAAGATGATTCATGGTAATACCCATCGGGGACCGTGACCACCGAGTTTCTGCCTGGCTGAATACTCTTATCGATCGGTGGCCTCTTTCTCTCGAACCATGGCCGAGAAGGAACTTACGCTGATGTGCTCGTGAGTGAAGTAGTCGATAAAGCCATTATAATAACCGACGTGCGTGTTGAAATGTCTCGCAGTTGGTAGAAAAGCGGGGTTATGCATGCCAAGATGCCACTTGCCGACCAGATGGCTATGGTAGTATGCCTCATCCAAATAATGCGGCAGAATTTTGTAATCGAGAGGCAGACCCCACGGCTCGCCCGTTCGGATCACAAAGTTCTGCATACCTGAAACCTCCCGGCTATTAACTTGGCATATTGAGACGTCTTGAACTCGGGTGAATCGTTTTTTTTTGTTTCTGGTACTAGAATTCTGCTCCAGCGACTATATGGGGGCAGGGAACGCTCCTCGACTATAACCTGTGTGGAATGGGTACAGTCCAGTAAGCAGAGCAGCTCTCGTCGGAGTGCACATCGGCTGCGCGTAGTGGCTCTGAAGGATGACACCGGAGGAAGCCAGAGCGTCCAGGTTCGGCGTGGGGATTTCGGCAGAACCGTGGAAGGACGCATCGTTCCAGCCCTTGGGAGGCAGAGCAAGTCTTAATCTATCGAACTGGAGGGAAGGGGCGAATATCGCAGGTCAAGACAAGCACTGATGCATGAATCGTACCATATCGTCGGCGAGAATCATGACTACATTCGTGGGCTTCTTCGGATCTGACTGCCGCTCGGAGGGACCCGGCTGACCTCTGGATGACTTAAGGCCCTCTGTCTGCGGAACGTATTCCTTCCATGGAATATTTTTCGACGCGTCATCCGGCCTGTGATCGGGTCGTACGAGCGCGCTCTCGGTTCGCAGAGCAATGGAGACTGAGAGAGCGAGTAGTAAAGGCCCCATCATCAATTCCTGAGGAAAAAATACCAGCGTCAAATCGGACTCAGCAGGCGTCTACCGCGAGATTTGAGGGAGCCGCAGTGCTATCTGGATTTCTGCTGTCCGATGGCTCATCGCACCTGCCGATGTGGGTTACCCTCTCATATTGCAGTAGCGTATTCAAACACATCAGGTCTATCCTTTTGAATCAAAAATAAGCGACGAACTCCTGTTCCATCCGGCTGCCTTCCCGCTCCATATGTGCTTCCCGAGAAGATCGAATCGACGCCCCGAGACTGAGGTCCCTGTGCATCCGTCTCATGCTCTCTCTCCGGGAAACCACAAACATTTCTTGGGGGACATCGACTTCATTCCAGAGCGGCTTCCTCATGGGTATCGGCTTCGTGGTGGTGAAAACCGCGAGGGTATCGGAAGCTCGGACTCGAATTTGCGACTCCTTCCTCACCCTTTCCAGCCCGAGGAAGCTCAATGGAGCAGAACGATGCGTGCCATCGATGTGAGAGGCTCTCGCGAGGAAACGGTTTGAGCAAATATTGAGAATACAAGACCGGATTGAAAGGAAAACTGAGCATCTGCGATCGGCTACGACCAGAAAACCTTCTCGGAATCTCACCACATCCTTGATCGGCCTCCAGCGGAATCCGTGCTTCGCTGACTCCGTCGTCTTATGCAATGTGTGTGGTTCGCCTGATCGTTATTTGAAGAAACACACAGAGCGACCGGCAGACTTCTCGGAAAGGGAGAATTTAACATTTGATCCTAAGCACGTCTCTTCTTCACGGAACTCAGTCACGGATTCCACAATATGCTGTGAGTTTCTCTCTCGGAGTGCGCGCATCGAGCTCGAATCAAAGGACTCTATTGCGGATGCAGCTCTTTCATAAGCGTATCGAAGAGACTCAACTCGAACGAAAAACTCACCACCATTCATGTACGATCAGACCTTGGTCGATGCTGAGAAACCCAGTAATTACGATAAGTTCTCGATTTCTTCTCCATTATACATCCTTTCCATCTCGTCTCAGCCATCTCAGTCAGAAACATCGGAGGTCTCCCTCCTACTGATGAGCCCAGTCGTTCCTCGCGTCCCTTGGAACCGAGTCTGGATCGAACGGCCGCATGTGCTTCGAGTCGAAGATTCAGACTTCCTATCGCTTCGAGGAAGAACTTATGATGATACCTGTTTGTGGCCAAATTCCGATGATGCATTTCCATCTAAGCTATCCAGGAGGAGCTTCTCAGATCGCATCGTCATGCTCTAGGTAGGTATAAGATGCACGCTTCAGCAAGACTCATGCATAATAATCTGAAAGCACTGTCACCTCGCTGATCATAGATCGTTCTCGCAAACGACGGCAGGCTTGGTAGGTGGAGACTCAGGATGTTGCGTGATGACGACGTTCTTTTTCTGGCAGTGATCGCTCACAGTGTCGGAGAGGCATAGAACCCACCTTGAGTCACACGCTGACCTTTGCTTGCTCGAGCATTGGAGCACGGTTCTCCAGCGCTGTTGGACCGGGGCATTCTGTTGAGCGCGATGTCTCATGCACCTTAGCGAAAGCTCTCGACCCTCGATCACATCCGAGTTGATATTTGCGACTGAGTCCTCGCGACTAACTTGGGAACCGAGCGATCTCTACACCCGGGGGGAAGACTATCGCTTGCCAACGGAGAGGTGCTGTGGCAGCCGGACAACAGATCCCTTTGGATCGAGACCGCTCGTCCTGAGGGGATTCCGGGCCAGGCGATAGCGGAATACCTCGAGCTTGCAAGTCATCCCAGACTTTGAGAGAACGCGATCGTCAGACTGGAGCCACCGAGGCTGGATCGTTTATTACGCTTTCGTGAAATATTCCATACCTATCGGTGACAATGTCCAAAATTGGAAAAATGAATACGGAGCTTTTCCTCATGAGGAGATAATTTTCTCGCTCTCGGATGATCCTCGTCGGCATCTGTTCCGGAAACACTTGTAGCACCTCTAAGGAGCCCTACCCCTGGATCTGAGAGGGGACTACTCTCAGTCAGAGAGAAGCTTCTAGCTGAATGTGCAGCATCCTCTAACTGAGAAGTGTCATTGACAACTCGCGAGTGGTCAAAGATACCTCGTCCGGCTCAGCGAGAGGAGACAAATCAAGCGAAACGACGGGCTTAGGTAAGCGCAAAGAATCAAAGAATTGATTCCCGCTCCTACAGCTTCGTCGAATTTCATCCTCGGGGACTTGGACAAGATCCAACAGCGCGAACACGCCGCTGGAAAATCTCCGAACAGGTTAAGTACCGGCCTCGGACAGGCGCGCGACTGCTCTCACACGCCCACTGCCTCGGATTTCACCTCACCCCCGAGACGAAGTTCCTGGGAGTCAGCGCCGGTCGAGATTCCACTCCCCAATCTGAGCCTGCAGGCCCTCGAGATCATCGATCATCGATTTCTTCGTCTCGATTTAAATGAATTCGAACGAGTGGCTCGGCCTTTCACCACTGCCCTCCCTCAGAACCACGCGGCGGCTGATTCGGGTGACCTACATTCAGCTGGGACTCGAGTTCGCGTCACGACTCACGACCGACGGTAGTCTGCGGTTCGTCCGTCAACAAAACTTCATATCGTGACGGGATTCCCTCAGGAGACCTGATAGTGAACCTCGTCTTGTTCCGGTAACCAGAAGAAAGCTGAGTCGATGCAAGTGATCCTAAAAGTGAGTTATCGAGCTGACAGCGCCTGAATTGTGGTAATCAGATCCCATTGCGCCAGGCTGATTGCGGGAGCCGAGCCCTAGGCGGTACCCAAGATCCGTCACGTCTCTTTGAGACTTGGGCTTGAAAAGCGAACAGAGTGCGAAGTATCCCCTACTCAGAATTCGTGAAACCGCAGCTTCTTGCCGATTGCATCGCTGCCGTCGATCAGGGCGTTGCGAAATGCCATAAAGCACGGAAAGGGAGGGACCATCTCTCCCGAGCGGAACTTTATCCGAGAATCATGTCAGGCCTTTGACGACAAGGAATCTGAGAACCGGGACTCATAGAAATCGACCGCTACGCAAGAGATTCTGTGCGTGCGGTCAGATTTCCCGGGTCGCTCTCGAGCGAATGTATCATCATACAGATTCTCATTGGGGGGAAGGGAAGGCAGCGTATCGAGACGGTCGTGGATCCGGCTCCCCACCCCCATGGAGCACATGGACCGTGGAAGAAATCGCGACAATCGTATTCTCTGGCTCAGTTTTTTGTTGTTCGGGATTGACGCCGTATCAAAGATATATCATTTCGAGGAACACATCCTAATACCGAGCTTCAGCCAACGACTTATACCCCAGTCGCTTATACTTCGATTTTCGACCAGGCAAGAAGGGCCCAGTCCTGAGGCCGATCCCAGCGAAACTTCCAGGCACTGCGGACCCAGAGAGTCTTCCAACCTGCCGATGTCGACCAAGCGGCTTCCAGCGCCCCTGTCCTGACGTCGACATGCTCGCCGCTGATCACGGATAGCGAGGAGAGCAAAAGCGACTTCATTGAAGCTGGCAAGGCGAGTCCCTGAGCATCGGCCGAAGTCAGGGTGACCTGGAGTGGTCTCGGAGCTGTCCTTTCCCTCACCACGTCTAATGAACTTCGCACTTCGCACGGCAGTCGTAGCTCCCTCCTCCAGTGTCCGTCCTCATTTCCGAGCCGCGGCAGCGAAGAGCTCCGCCTGAATGGTTTTCCCCACGTCTTCTCCATTGTCGAGGGATCAGTCGGACGAATCGTGTGAGCGAGGTAGGTTCGGAGTTTCCATGTCTGCGCAAAATGCACATTATCAGTGTCGCGAATAATGATGATAATCTGCTGTAGACCCCTATGCTCACCTATGTATAATTTTACTGCGAGAATGACTGGGGAATCCCTTCCTATCCTCGATAGAATCGTCATAGCCTTCAGCCCGAGGTTGTCATGGCGGGCTTCCAGGCGATGCGTGACTTATTGCGCCGGAAGCCTCTACTCTCCAATGTCGCATCGTACGGGTCCCTCTACGTTGGAGCGGAGTTCTCCCAACAGACGGTCATAAGGGCTTGGGATGAGGAATGCAAGGACGAACCATATGATTGGAAGCTGATGGGACGGTGAGCCCTGAGATTAGCAGGCTCACAAAAGACCTTTCAAGATCCGAGCGTCTCAATAGGAATTCTGATCATGTGGTTAGCCATATAAATCTTTTTTCCGCGAAGATACGCCGTTTATTCCATGGCGTTGGCAGGACCGGGTCTGTTCTATTGGTTCCGATGGCTGGACAGGAAGCTCCCGGGGAAAACATTCGGGACAGCGTTGAAGAAAGTCTGCGCCGACCAATTGGTGTCAAGCACCGGCTGCACGACTGTGTTCTACGTGTGTAAGTACTTCCTAATCTGAATTCGTTCGCGCGTAAAGCTCGCGTATTCAACGGCGCGCAGGTCGACCGACGGACCGTCCAAGAACTATCTCGAATTACAGCCATGTCGGTTCTGGAACAGAAAGAGGACAAATTCGCCGAGCTCAGAGAGAAATTCTGGCCCACCTACAAAGTGAGTACCACATTCGAAATCGAGATCTGTTCGGAGCGCACTTCCCGCGAATCAGGTGGAGGCTGAGCAATAGTTCGCGCACAACTATGCTTGCTGACTAAATTGTCTCCTAGGTTTCCTGTTGTTTCTGGCCGCCAATTCAGTGGCTCAATTTCCTCTTCGTGCCACCGCAGATGAGAGTTATCACGGTAGGGGTAGCTTCCTTTGTATGGTGTAATATCCTTTGTATCTTCAAACGAACTGTACAGGTTTAGAGCCGAAGAAGGAGCTCCGTGACCAGGGTTGGGGAGAGTTGAGCTGAGGCTCCCCTCAGCATTCGCTCCTCAACGATGAGGTGCTTCTGCGCTGGTCTATGAAATTGAGCGAAAGCTTTCCAATAAATCGTACCTACCTTGTGAGTTTTCATCCCTCCCATCAGCCACCTCTTGAGCGTATTCCATTGTTTTTCAATTCTTGATGCGTCTTCATGTTCCCCGGAAAGCGCGACTCATACGTACAATATTCAACACACAGGCGAAATTTTCGCATAAGCTCTTTATTTTCCGAATTATCTTGGACGAAGATAGCCCGGTTGCCTTGGCTGGAGCTCCATGCTCCCTTCCAGGTGCGGGCTCCTAGGCCTCCGGAGCTGCTGTCTCGGAGCCATTGGGAACGAGTCTCGAAGCAATCAGATCATTATCTTCCCTCCTAGGATCGTTGATCCCTGTATCGACCGGAAGCTCCCCGACCTTCGAACGCGTCAGTGTGCACGAAAGGGTTTGATCTTCAAGCAAATCCAGTCCAATCCAGTGGATGGTGACGTGGTCAGTCCACGATGCGTCCTCAGGGGCTAAGATCTTCTTCCTATACCAGCTTCTCTCGATCTCATCCGCCAACAAAATTTTCCCTCTGGATTCCAGCGTCGAGTTGCAAACGCCCGTCCGCAGTCCGAACTCCACCGGGAAGGAGTCGTCCAGATCTGCTATCACTCGATTGAAATCACGGCCGAAGCGCTCCATGATTGCGTTCTCGATAAGGGGCTCTAATGTTGTGCTCCTCGATGTTATGAGCAACTTCGAGATATCACCACATTCGACAATAATTACCTTCCAAGATGGATTGGCCGGAGAACTGCTGAGTTTAATCGTCAAATTCACTACGACATCCGTGTAATAATGATCCGATTTCAAAATTGCGTCGGTTGAGAAAGTCTTACTGAAAAAGGTCACGTTCTGGGCGAGTTCGGACATCCATGTGGGCGTCGCAGTCAATCGACAGCTGGGGCGAAACGAAGCCGGAGACCACGCAAACAAAGACACGAAGATGCTGAGTAACGCTGCCAAGACGAACACCAGGCACGCCTTCATAAAACATGCCCTAGTCAAGATCGAGGGAGCGATCCTCACCCTCCGGATGAGCGCCTGATCGTCTTCAGCATCCATGACGAACACCCCATTCGAGATCGAGTCTTTCGAAAGCGAGGTTTCGTGGCTCCCCTGGCCAGAGCCTCGATCCATGACAGCTATTGCCGGAAACGGGGATTTTCAGTCCCGTAGCGTTTGTCTTGATGCGATGATCCGCTCCCCAACCAACGGAATTTCACTGTTCTTCTGAGTTCCGTGGAGCAGTTACTTGTTCCCAGCTCACACAAGACGCTGAGAGATATAATTTCTCTTGAACGCACTCACTGAAGAAATCGGCTGGATCGTTCAGCCCCATACAAGCTCGCGATAGAGCTGTGTCAATGGGTTTCGGATTTCGAATGTTTCGAGACATGATTTAACCACCAACTTTGGAGAATTTCATCGGAGCGTCTCTGTTTCACTCATAAGTACATCAGGAACTCTTAGATCCCGTAGAACCACGGACGGATCCAGCCCCATGCACGGAGATTGGTCGGGAACAAATGCCGTATAGGATCAATTCGGATCCTGAAGTGGCGGATCGACTTCGTCTGATCTCTGGGACCATCACGATTCCTAAATTTCCAGCGTGATACGTCATCACTTGTCTCGGCGCTTCTTGAAACGAATGGGACGTTTCAGACGGTATTCCGGCCCCGAAATTCAGACCTATGGTAATATGTAGACCCCTGGGCAGCGCTCAAAATTCCGCGAGCTCAACTTAGCAAGACTCGGTAGAGCCTCCCGGCCTCCGTCCTCGAATTCCCATTGCGGTAAGCTCTGGGAGCCCCGCTCACCTTCTTGAGGCCGAATGACAACAGAATATATTTGAACAGAACGGTGTGACCCAAAACTAGGCAGCAAGAGATTCGTCGGCGAAGTGGATCTCATGCGGTGCAATTCGATACCTTCGCTGTAGGACGCGGTCGGTTTCCGGAGAGCCGTTTTGAGAATGGATGACACAAGCATGAATGAGCCATTCCAAGAAAAACCCGAGAGAACAGAAGATTAGATTCAGCTTCTTCCCTAGGTATTCATTCGCAGCAGGTTTCCTTCTCTAATCACTCTTCAACACTGTCTCCTCGACGGACGTGCCTCCGGTGACGACGATAGGGTTCAGGGCGAACCTCCTCGTTGTCCTCGTATTGATTTGGGTGGCGACGATGGTGATGGGATTCGACTTGCTCGTCCTGTTGTCGTTCATTCCGCTCTTGGTCGTGGTAGTGGCGACGGTGGTTGTGGTAGTTGCGTCTCCGGTGGTTCTCTGGGTAAACCTCGTCCCGGTCCTCACTGTAGTCGCTGTACTCTTCGCGATGAGGACGACGGTGATGATGATGGTAGCGTCGATGGTGGTGCCTGGGTTCCTCAAAGTCGTCAACATCGTCGCCTCGTCGGTATTTCATAGGAGAACGGTCTTCGGCCTCGACCTCGTGATGATGACCGTTGTAGTGTCGGCGAGGCAATTCCTCGACTTCCTCGTCCGTGACACGGTGGCGTCTGTGGTGTCGATACACTTCGGGCTCCTCGCTCTCGGTCCTTCGATGATGATGATGATGTCTAGGTTGTCGACGCACGCTGGGGACGAAACGATAGTATGGAGCTATGAGTCCACCATTGCGTCACGGATAGATACGATGTTGGAGACCCCCCATCCCGCGGTAAGCCGCTCACCCTTGGTCTCCGCCGTGGACGAAGTCCCTCTCGACAGCCGCGAAGAATCGGTTGAGCTGCATCTGTTCGGCTTCGCTTGCGTGCCGCAAACAAGCCTCCTTGATCTGCTGCCAATTCCTGATGTGGATCTCAACGTTCTTCATCTTTTCTTTCTGGCTCATTCCCGGTCTCCAGTGGACTCCGACCGGTTTGTGGCTCTCGAGCTCGTGCACGAAATTCTCGATCTGGGTGTCGTTCAAGCCAGACCTGATGGCGATGCGTGTGAGACGACCCACGATAAACTTGTGGATATTCTCTTTCAGGAGCTTCTTCTGAGCCTCTAGCTTATCGAAAAACACGGTCAGATGAACTTGATCCTTGATTTGCTCGTAGGCCTGGATCCTGACACGCTGTCTCCTCTCGTTACGCTCGGCCTTCGATTTCTGCCATTGCTCCTCAGTCCATTGACTTCGGTCCTCGGCCTTGAAGGCTGGCCTGTTCTCTTCCATGATGTTCAGGAGAGTATTAATATCATCGTTACAGAGACCAGACTGCTCGGCAAGAGAACGAACGCTACGCATGAAGAAGCGATGGAATTCTGGAAAAGAATGGAGATTCGTAAATCCATAGAATCTATCGATTACTATTCGTGGGACCCTGACCGGCTGTTCTCCCGATTAGGATTCGAGGCGCAGAATCGAGTTCACAGTTACCGATAGTTTCCTCGGCTTGCGAGAGGTTGACCCGGGGTCGGTGATGAGATCCGTGCATGTGCGGTTTCCTGAAGTAATCAGGATTAGCATGGTGATGACGGCGCTCCGCCGATTCAGGCTCCTCGGCCGAAGCGCCATTAGAATCGATCTGGTTCTCAGAGTCCCCGTCTGAAAAATGACAATGATTCAGTTATACCGGGACACGCGACCTCAGGTCCGGTCGTAAGAAAGAACGTAGGGCGGGAGAAGGTGCACCGACCGTTCACATAACGCCTGCGATCAGCATTGGCCTGAGCACAGACCGCTCCGACCAGGAGTAGGAAAACTAAATTCGAGCTCCGCATCGCCGCTCTCTTGTGTTCGGGACAGCACGCCACGGAGCATTTTAAACGTTTCTGGGTGTTTGCCGACTCTCGAGTAGGTTGTGTGAGCAGATTTTTCACCACGCTAGGCGTCGACTCGGAAATGACACGAAGGGCTTTCGAGAGACCAGCAATAAGCCCGACCAGCTCACACCAACTAAACCGCTGCACATACGTTTAGTGTCTATTCAGTGAACTTCAATCTCGAAAGGAATAAGGATATCCATTCAAAACCGGACACTTTATTGCGATGAGTTTCGAGCGGGTGCTCAATCTCTGACAGGTTATAAATCGCCATTCGCGGAACTCGCAAGCTCCGTTTTGAAATGAATTCGATCGAGCTCCGAGCTTCCCGGATACCCAAAGGAAAACCTCTAGGTCGGTGAAAAACTCCATCGCCGAGGAATGGACTGCCCCGAGACCGCCAGGTAGACACCGCTCCCGAAGAGGCTCCGATAGAGTTCGGGGCAAATGCGAGATAGTTGCAAAATATTCGATGATAGCTTCAAGCAATCCGCTATTTTGTGGTATCAATTCAATGGGAGCGGATAAGTCTTATCGGTTCGACTTTATTATTTTCGAGCGAGTTTTCTCTCACACCATCGATGATCGAATCAAACGAACGCACACTATGGAGTGGGGCCTCTTAACTCAAAATCAAATAGAAGACAGAGGTTCGCGGGACTCGAGTTCCGGATCGATGCATTACATCAGACTCCTTTCATCATCTTGATCACCATGATCACAATGAGCAGGGTCAGGATGATGACAAGGCAACAAACGAGAGTGTAGCAACGGCCCTGTAAGGGAAAGTATTGTTCCCTGGAATCGTATCGAAAACTGAGCGGAAGGGTCAGTCCCGTTCTGCGTGCGTGATTGACGAAAGGTCGATGGCAGCTCACGGAAGGGCGATCGCATCTCCCATTGCAAAGGAGAAAGTCTCTCGACTCTCAAGAGAAACACGCTACCTCTTCCGGCTGAGGAGCCTTGCGAACGTAGACTACACGGGCGTCACCTTCTGCGACCTCTTTCATAATTATCTTCTGAACTGCTTTCGTCACTCTTTCTTCATTCTGCGGACGGAATTCAGTTTTATTTATTCGGCGGAAATTAGATTTAAATCCAGATGAGTCGTGCACGTCTCGTTGACTGGATGAAACCGTTATCCGAATGGGATAAAGCTCCGAATAAAATTGCGCGGGGATGCACTGATCTTCACCTCCTCATCGACTGTCTTCGGACCGCTCTCTACATCAGGCGACGTTGCCTGAATCGTCACCGGAACGGTCGCCGTGGTGGTCGGCATAGCTTGGGTTTTAGTTTCCCCCGAGTTGAACCTCGACTTTAGGTTTTCGAGAAAACCGGGGCTCCTCATTCCTGTTCGTGACGATGGCCAATTATTTCACAATCAGACCTTCGTTGTTTCTAAGGACAAACACCTCGAGATGGTGGGAGTCGCGTGTTTCCGCCTTCCTTCTGAATGAACCATTATCAGGGAGCATCTTTTCCTGTGGAGGAAATAGGAAATCCCAAACAGTGAGCTCGCCGGAGCCGATAGCGCCTTTGGAACTCAGCTTTCGCTCGAACGGATATTTCAGCAGGGGCGGGACCTCGATCGATAGAAAGCAAACTTCTGAATTCCGAAATACAGCCTTCTAGACATTCTAGACTGCAGCGGTCCTGTTATTTCGATGTCAGGCGAAGAATGGGCCTCCATGGAGAGCGGTGAACCGCCGATGCATCAAAGAAGCAAAACCGTGCCCGAAACCAATGTTTACCTTCCACATTGTAGCGGATTTCGCACTCGGTCACTTACTTTCACTTCAACTCACAGAGCGGTGACCGACAACCGACAATGCATCGTGCCTCGTGCCCGGTAATCGGCACCGTCACTGTGATTACCGACAATGCGAGAGGGAGCTCGATTCTGATATGGACGAGTGTATGAATGTATGTGCTCTTGTGAAGCAATCAAGAAACGGGCGGACTCAGGAGTGAACTCAGCAGTCGCTCGAAAATAGAGCGTGGGACGTTCCTGATAAAAGAAGAATTCGGAAGGGTGGAGGCTTCCTGATGAATGCCCTACAATCCTTAGCTGCTGCTCGAGCGAGCAATACATTCACTCCGTGTCGCGGATGGCCTAATGATCCGCCGGCTCGAAACTCGTATTTTCTCTCGGCTACGATACGCCGCCGAATCCGAGAATGTACGAGAAGCCGAAAACCTTCCTTAAGTCTTGTGCCAATCAGTGATTGAGTGAAAGTAATTCCCATCAAAGATACGGTCGCTTCGGGAGCTGAAAAGGCGATGAAAGCAGATGAATGTCTTCGGCGGTCGAGGGCAATGTCAACGATCGTGTGTCCCAAGAACACGTAGCTCTCGGACGAGAGAGCTTTCACGAAAACCGCGGGGGGAATCGCATTCGTAGTTGTCCAGTCCTCCGTGGACGGGGAGAGTAATCAGCCCTACTCTGGAAGTCCAATTCTAGAGTTGAATTCTCTCAGCTCCAGCCCTCTCAGGCTCCCACGCTCAAATTCAACGGCACAGAAGAGTAGTCGTCGAAAGGCTTCCCACTTCCAACGCTCATCCCTCCTCCTCAACTGGCTGCGAAACGATTTCACGCTCTCTGGATCTTGATTTTCGAATCATAGCGCGCGAGGAAACTTGATCCACAGAGCGTGCACTCTGTCGAACCTTTCCCGGATCGAGGGACAAATCAACGTCGATTTAGGGCAGTCGCTAGAAAAGTTCGCTGACCACCGGCAGCTCCGTTTTCGAGGCTTTCGCCACGGAGGGCCCGCAACACCATCATTACACGTCGACTCAGTCTACGTTGAGGTTGTCCAGCTCAGACTTTCGAATGTAAGGGAGTTTCCAAATACTTTCCGTCGCGGTCTTCGAAGACGACCTCCCCAGGATGATCACCCCATTCTCCCCGGAACCATCCGATTCTGAAGGGTGACAGATCTCACCCTGCGAGCCACCGATCCCCGCTCTTTCGAGTGCGACTATAGAGCTCGCACCATGATCCATCACCAGCATGATATCACAGAAATTCCATGCTCGAAAAATCGTGTCCAAGAAACCTCACAGGATGCCAGCGCGGGATTACGGAACGAACATGGAAAACACGTGTCAGGTTGGTCTTTCACTCGTCCTGCTTCCTGTCGCCGTTCGGTGGCTGTAATTTCAAACGTCTCGTTCCCTCTCTCTTTCTCTTGGAACCCCGGCGAAGCGCCGCGTTCGATTTCCAATTATTCCATCGATGTTCGATTCGAACTAGCGATAAGGGGGGATTTGTGCGCCGTTACAAAACTCTGGCTCGTGCTTCCCGTGCTTCCCTTCTTCCCGGATTGACTTGAATCAAATCGAAAAGTATCGGTGCAATGTGATCCCGGGGCTGTAAAGTTCTACTATAAGACGTTCTTCGTCTCGAGTCGTAAGGGTCTTCAAGAGCATTCTAGTCTATCCAAAGCGAGTGCTGGATTCGAGACATTCCGTGGATGTCTATTCCAAATTTTGTTGAAATCAGTCTCCTCTTGGCCTTCCAAAGGGCGAAAAAGTTTCCATAAGCGAGCTGGTTACGCCAGAGTTCTCCGGTACGATATAAGCAAGCCGATGCTTCCGTAGGTTGTGGCGCCAGAAGAAGAACGGCCATGGAGCTGAAAAAAATTAACCCGCCCTTCCCCTGGCGCGGTCGTGTGGTGCATTGTCGAGCGCACCGAGCCGACAGAGTCAAATTCGACATCTCGCTGAACGAGAGCATTTGGTTCGACGACGACAGCGACCAATTCGAGCTCTCGTACCGGGGCAGGAAGCGCGGCGGAGGAAGTGCGGAGGTGAAATCTATCCTGAAGCTGAGAGACATCACCGGTATCACTCATTCCGAAAACTCCCGGAGAGAAAGAGCGACTGTGTGTCGCGCTGAGAATCGGAATATGGAAGACATAGCAGCAGTCATGAAGTTCTTGAAAAGATCGAATCGTGTACCTCGCGTGGCGTTCCGTCAAGCGTTTTGCTCATCGGAAGCGAGCACCAAGGACATAACGAAAAAATTAGATGGCCTCGTTTCCAATATGCTCAAAGAGGGGTACCTAGTGGAGAGCGTTCACATGGATATGCGATTCGTGGAGATCCGGAAAACTACAGAGCCTCAGCGACTGAAGTTGATACCGTACACTGGTGAGTATACTTCCTGTACGGCTCGCACGGCAGGCGATACACTGCTGCGCGATGACATCCACGTTGCCAAAGGTACACTGGTAACCGGGCTGGCTGAGAAAGTTTACTCCGATGGCTCGGTACGGCTGAAAAGTCCTCCGCAGAAGATTCATTGCGGCAAGCGATACGAAGGTGAGGAAAACGTTGCTTCGGTTCGCACGATATATTCCGAGTCCGAATCCCGACTTTCTCATTTGAAAAAAATCGACTCTCCCGTCACTTCAGGAATCTGAGATATTCTCGGTTTACAGGTATCATAGACGGACAGCTGGTGCATATGCAGTGCGAAGAAAGACTGAAAGGCGACTGCTGGCGGGTTCTCCTATTACGAGATCTCACATACGCGATTGTGCCCGAAGAGAATATCAAGGGGCCGTTCGACTCTCGCGACACCGGCTCAGTGCGTCTGTGCTTCGTGGGCCGGAAACCCATCCCCGACAAAGAGTTCGTGGCACGGGTGAGCTTAGCTTTTCATCGAGTCCTCAGACCGAACGTATTCGTGTACACCTATGCAAAGGATTCTGGTCGATGGGATCCAACCAGGAACGAGGATTTCGCCCGTTCAGATCCCCCCCAGACTCGAAGATTCGATCGACCGGCACACCGATTAGACAGAGTCTACTGTACACTAATTGAATAGCTCATGGTAAGCTGGTCGAGTACTCGGATCAGGAAATCTTGTATTCCTTTCGGCAGGTGGAAGCGATGAAGAACGGAGTGTATTTCGCCACTATGGAAGGAGAAACCTTTTTGTCCCGTTTGAGTGTTCGCTCACCCCGGAGAAAGCATCTTTTAGCTCGCGCCATCGCAAACGCTGGTGAGATACTCCTGTCGAGAACGGACCTGGAGCCTTGGATCGCTGAATCTTTCGGAGTGACATTGTCAGAATACTTGATTGAAAAACCCGAAATCCTGGTGCAACTCAACGAGTTGCAGCGATTCATGATCTCAACGTACAAGTTTGCGGGCTTCACCGATGACGAGTACATCTCGACCTGTGATCTGGCGTGTGTGCTATGCAGTGCCGAGGACCCGGACAAAGAACTCCTCCGGGAATTGCTATTACTGTGAGAGCTTTACCTTATTCAGCAGCATTCAGGTTGTGAAATCATTCGAAAACTATTAGGCGGTCGATGTCCATACACCTTGAAGGGAACACGAATGCGAAAAATCCGCGTGGTCGGTTGTCTTAATAAACACTTTATTCAAAAGGTTGTATACATAACGGCGTCTTTTATCCGGAACTGTTTCGCCCGGGATTGACGATGACCTCATCAAAAACCATTTCCCGCGCTGAGATCCGTGGCCCGGACACGTACTTCAGTTTCAGATCTTGTACGATGTATACGAGACACCGTCGAGGTTTTCCCAAGATAACGATTCCGACCGCTTGTACGTAAAATTTCACCGGGTCCCGAAGATAATGCCAGATAATGTACAGAGAAGGCAGACATCTCGTCTGCCGAGGCTTTTTCAGCATTGAAATTCGGGGGACGGGATACCGTGGGTCAGGAAATGAGGGAGAGAGGATGGGGATGAAAAGCAGGGGGATAGGGGATGTTCTTTGTGCACTCAAAGCTTTCGATTCTTCAGTGAATGTTTCCTGATAGGTGGACTCCATTTGAGAAACGATCCGTCGACGGTCAATCTCGGTTTCTTATATTCAGCGCTCTTCAGATGCTCTTCAACAACTTTCGAAGTGACGCAAATCACATGCTGTCCTTTCCAGTATTTGACCATGTTCAGATTTTGCAGCGTAGATACGATATCGCCATGGGCGATCGAACTCAGCTGTGAAAGATCTTTGATAGAAAGTCGTGTGGTCGAGTCCTTCATAAGCTCGAGGAGTACCTGCGCAAACGGAGTTGGATACGCATTAGGATTCATTGTCCCCGATTGGCAGCGACAGATCTCTTCCATTAGAAAAAAATGAGAAGAAACTCACCCAAGACCAATACGAACGGTAGCTCAATTTGCCCAAATCTGACAGAGGTTTCTCGGGGGAACCCACCACGCTTTCGAGCTTGGATAATTCATAAGAGAACGCAATCAGGAACTTCCCGTAACCTTTCCGCTGATACGGGGGTAGAGTTAGGATGCAGGCCACGTTGTTGCCGTCAGGGCTTTCCTTCTCCTTGGAAAAATACCCAACGATGTGCGCTCCCTGGAAGGAGTAATTCATTGATAACTTGATCAATGACCTTGTTGGGGGGACTAGGAATGGCTCAATGTAGCCAACCTAATTGATCAGAACGCACCTCTTTGTCAACGTCGCACAAAACATAAAACATGAACGGCTCAACGTCGAAGTACAGCGTTTTGTGATCCAGAAAAAGTTTCGCCAACAAACACAAGCATTGGGCATAAACTTTCGAATCTTTGCCGTCGACTTCGAAGAGCGATATCGTTCCTTTGCGATAGATCTCGCGGCCCGGTGGGGTTTTCCAAAAGCATTCCAAGACGTGATTTCGGTAGGTCTTCTCGAAGCGCATGTATTTCAGGCAGTATTCACAAATCCAGAGTTTCGTTTGTTTGCCGTACTCGTCCGGGTACGGGGAGAAATACCAGGCGTCGATTTCGTATTTCCCAAATTGGATTTTGTCAATGTATTTGACCTGGAATGTATGTGACAACGCTCACTCGGAGGATAACGTCGAGAACTTTACCTCCGTGTTCCCGTGTGGAGAATACAGATGCGGGAAATACAGAATACTGACACTAGGAGGTTACGGATACGGTACCTTTGTGAGCGCTTCGTGTTCTTTTTCTAGGGCCGCTGTCGTCGGGTCCATTTCTGCGTAGGTTTTTTGGACATGATTGATCTCATCGTGACGCCTTTTTTGATTGCGGGTGATTTTCCTGTCTGATTGTTCGATCTGGTCGACCTGAGTTGGAATGCAAGCTTGTTACGACGATGCTGTTCCGCGAATGTCGAGTTTCCTGCCGCATGTAGATATATTTCTTCTCATTTACTTACCGGATTAGGCACGATGTCAGCTTCGGCGATAGCTTCCGACGAGAGTGATATCCGGTCCCTCTCGATCCATTCATCGAGGCGGCGATTGACTGCATACAAATGAACGAGCTTCAGTCAATCGAAAAGGAACCCGAGAAGCACTTGAATTTAGGGAGAGGCATGACATGATTGACTTCCATGGCTGCATCCCAAATTATTTATCCCTCGACAATGAGCGACTGCATTCACTCCGTTGCGGATCGGATACTTACAGCCTTTGTAATGTACATAATACTCGTATTCACTAGACGACGCCTTCCGAACTTGGATTATTTCCGCAGATTCTGTAAATGACGAAACCATATGAAACACCCGCTCATCTTCGATTTGGATGATCCGGTCCAGAGCTACCGGAGGCAACATGCTAGCGAGAAACTTCAATAGCCATTTGGTGCTTTGGAATTCTGTGGACTCTCTGCGGCGGCGTGAACCATCCCCCTCATTCACGAGACAGAGCAAATCAGGGTGCTCATTCTGGACGGATACCCTAAACGCGGTTCAGACACCACGCGATTCTCTGGATTGGTCCACGGAGATAGAAAGGTCACGATACTGACATAATACACTCAATATAAGCCAAGAATAGGCGATTGGACAATCAGCATCGAGGGAATAAGAATAGGAGAGAGCAACTCGGGACGATTCAGAAACGGAAACCTACAAATTACCGCGCGAGAACTCTTCGAGTTTGGCACCCGAAGATAAGCCCGTGATTCCCTTCCTCGTTCTATGAGACTAAACTCTGACCAGGAACTCAGGCTGTCTCGCAGCGATTTGAATTAAGAGAAGGGCAAACTATTCTAAAAGACCGATGCGAATTCGAATTCGAATTCTCGACCGTACTCACGCCAGGTATTATCCGCTCTTCGCACCATGTACTGCTCGCCAACTTTGAATGGTGCATCCTGATCTGTCGTTCCGGAATCGGCGACAGGCGCAATAACAGGCTCTTTCTTCTCGTTCGGCATTCTCTGGTGATTGACGGGAGCGTTCTCCGGACCCGAACGAGTTTCCTCACGCAGCGGCACTCTTCTTCATTATTTTGTGGTCGTGGGGGGACGCCATCTTTGTTTATCTCGATACTGCACACAGCGCACTCGAAAACAGCTGGTGTGTGGGTTTCCGTCTGCGCAATTCGATGTTTAAGAGGCATAGACTGGAAGAACCTGTCTGACTCTAAATCGAAGGCAGTGAGATGGCTCATAGTTTGACCGCGCAGCTAGATTGTGGCAGAGATGTAGCGGAAGAGATCTTGTGTTTTTTGAATCGAGACAACACGTCAAGGGACGGTGAGGAACTGACCTCCGCCGGGATTTCCGCAGCCGTCAACGAATTCCTGGCATTCTTGAGACAGCAGAGTCGAACTGCTTTCGAGGATGCGCCGAATACGGCAGCGTCCGTCACGCCGTCACAGGTTCGTGGAAGAGTAGGTTCATTCGAATAAAGCATGTTCGTATTCAGCGAGAGAGTGTACACCAACGAAAAAGTGTCGCTGCATAAATCCGGAATTCAGTGGGGACAGGGTGCACTGGCACACGGAGAATCATAGGAGAATATGATCGATTCTCCAAGCCCTGAACTTCTCCCCTTCACAATTCTAGGCGAAAATCGTCTCACAGACAAGTCAAGTCCCACAGTCACAACCGGAGCTCCCTCCGGAGAAGCCAAACGCGGTCAGACCGAAACGCGTCGATTTACAGAGGATCTTACCTGCAGAGCTCACTTGTAAATCGCCCGAAAGAGACTTCGTGGTGTCCAACGACGACTTCCCGTCGCTTGGCGACACTACGACGCCCATCAAAAGTGAGTCCAGGGAAGGTCTACCCGGTTGACCTCCCGGCAGAACTACCTAGCAATGATTCGATAGGAAATTCTGGATTTTCTCCGAAGGGAGCCACACAGATTCCTCGGGACTTAGACTGGGTGATTCGAGCATAAGAGCTGCTGCTGATCATGAGAATTCTCAGGCGGATTTCTTCTAATACGACTGACATCAAACTCGTCTCCATCGAAACAGGCAAACAGTCTAGCAGTGGTCCTCTACAATCGACACCGGTCCCGACGAAAGGGAATCTCGAAATCGCGAACGCGCCCCTAGTTCTCGAGGGAATTTTCAACCGCTCGCTCCCGAAGAGTGGACGGAAACGGGGGAAACGAGCATCGTTGATCTCAATAACGACACAAACGCAGCCGAACCTCCATGCTCCAGCGCAGTCGGACAGTCCGAAGAAGAGAATCGCGCCAATACCAGTCAAGAGATGGCAGCAGGCCTCAGAGGAAAACTTCATATCTGCTCAGGTATCTTGGTGTCGGCTTCACTCGAATACTCTCGGATATTCTTCGGATCTTAACGAGGATCTACGGAAGTCGTCTTCATTCGACTCTGGAACTGTGAGTTCATGATTCCGATGTTCCAGGTGAGCAACTCACCGATGGAAGCAATGAAGCACCAGAGGGAAGTGGTCCGGAGCATTAACAAGGAGACCAACGTGGGCCAGGCCGAAAGTTTCGACATCCCGAAAATGAGTACCGTTTCTTCAGTGGACGTACTCGAACGTCTCGCTCAGCTGTACGCGCGGTGCATCTGCCGGAATCTAGTCCCGAACCTTTTCCTGGAGCTCTCGTTTCTCATGCAGCTGCTAGTGATCAGGATCACGGAGCGAAATTCTCGATCAGATATCTTGCTTGGATCGGCGAGTAACTGCGGATACTTCGCTGTTCAGACTATATCCCACTGCCGGCCTCTGCTCGATATTATGGAGCCGTCGACTTTGACTCTGATGAAGAATATTCCTCATGTGGCGGCCATGTCCTCTAGTCTCCACGTGATCCTGTGTGATCTCTGCAGCCGGGAGCGGAATTTCTCTTTGCTTCGGACCAGTTTTCTCCAGGGAGTTTCTTTCGACGCAACTGTTGATAGCTCTGAGAACTTCCCAAACACCAGGCTGTTTGGAGCTTTCCGCAAACAACGAGACGCCTTCTACGATCTACTGAAGGAATGGCAAAAGGTGATTCAGACCCTCGAAAAGTTTTGAAGTCTGAGAAACCGAGCCTGCCATAATTCACGGGTACAGACCGCTTCCGACTCGGTTTCATCGAATGATGGAATTCGCCTAATGCTTTCCCGCCGTTCCAGGTCACTTTCAGTCACCATCACAAAGAACTCGACTTCAACTCTAGAGTCGCTGCGATTTTCGATCTCTCGATGGATCCTTGCAACCTGCTTCATCTCGCGAAATTATTCGCTCTTCAGATGATTGCGACTTGCTGCGGAAACCCGGACAGCGGCGATTTGAGCAGCACCTCAGAGTGTACCCTCCGAGATCTGCGGAACAAGTGTCCGGAAAAGTTCTCGGAGCTTCAGAGTCGTCTCGAAAAACCAGGAGCATCGTCAGCGGGTTCAACCCAGCATGAATTCACAGGACAACAAGCCTTTTTCTATAAGTTCGTTCTGGCGGCCAGCAGAGCTCAATTCCACGAGCATCTAAAGAACGTGCTCGTTTCCCACATCGTCGAGGAAGACCACTTCGACGTTTTTCCCGAAGACGCCGATACGAGTATCGACAGTCAGGTCAGAGAAGAACTGTACACCCTGCTGTATCGGATGCGACTCTACGGGGCGTTCTTGGGTCTGCTCGAATTTTTACCTTACGTAACGTCGAGTGAAAACAACCCACAAATCATTGAATCTCAGCGTTCGGCACGACAGTATACTCCCCCGCGGATAGATGTCGAGCGCCTCTTGAGGGGGGCCATCGAGGGGAAGCGTCTGCTCCCGACCTTATCTTGGATCTCTACGTATTTATCGATGGCCGATACTGCGGTGGGGAGTTTGCCGATTTTCAAAGGCGCCCTCGACCTGCTGAACACGACATTCTTGTCTTGTGAGAAGAGCCGGCCTTTCTTCATCCTGGTCAGATTATTGATCGGGTGGATTTTCCAAAATCTTCACATTTCCGTGAATTTCAACTCCTCCAGGATACCTCTCAGCGTCCCGCCCGAAATCGAAGCCTTTGTTGATGCCCAGCTCATTCACATGTTGTGTCCCTTCCTGGCGAGCTTGAAGCCCATCCTCGCCGAATACTATTGTATGCCCACAATCGAAGCTCGCAAGATCGTCCCGCTGACGAGACCGGACTCCGCGTTCGAGCCAAACGGTGTAATTTCGAAATTGGAGGACGCCTTCTACTTCGGGCACTCGGCATCTGTGAAGAAAACCTTGAATTTCGTCGTTGAGAGGGTACCGGCCAATGTCGTGAAATCAATGAAGCCCGTGCTAGTGAAACAGTTCCGAGAAGAGGTTAAGAAAGAGATCGAAGAGCTCACACGATTCGGCGAAGAACCCACTCCCCAACTGATGGATACGCTCTCAGTGAACTTGTGTCCGAGGTTTCAGCTGAAGGCTGAGAATGTGATCATGCCGGCTTGCGACGAAAAAGCCGCCAAACTACTCGACGAACTCCTGAAAGCCGAGTGCACCAAAGAAGGAATGCTCGTCGCGAAGAAACTCTGCGCCAGACAGTATCATGTACGGATTCTTCAATGGATACGGTGCCATATCTCCAAAGACTACATCCACAAAGAAGTGAAAGAAGTTTCCGCGAACGCTCAGGAGAACTCCCGAGACGACGGCAACGACTTCGAGAACCGAGCTCTACAAAGCCACTGTGCTAGCGCATCTGTCAACTACATCATAGACTCATTGGAGGAACTACTCCGTAAAATCTTGGTAGGCGAAATTCCGTCGTGGCGAGCTTGTTTGGAAGAAACAAAGCGCACAATGCAGATGAGGAAAGAATGGAAACCGGCGCCATGGGAGGCTGTTTGCCGTATGCTTGTTGATCTCGGCTCGCTGTCTATCGCCAGATACGTGGACTTGAGAATTGTGAACGCAGTTATCGACATTCTCTGCGAAGTCAACTACGAGTGGGGTCACCATTTTGTGGACTCCCCGAGAAATCAGTATATTATCGAGAAATTCTGTGATCGGGATCCGAGTGCAGCCAAAAAGCTCCTCTCGGATTACCAAAACAAACTCAATGCCTTGGAGGATAGCGTTCCCTAGTAGGCTGTGCTTCAGAATGTTCATAAGGTTTATGGTGCTCGAAATAATTTAACCGGACGATAACCTGTCGTTGTTCTTCTTCCTCTTCTTCATGGGGACAGTCGGGCCTTCCAGGGAAAAACATACCCGGGAGTTCCCAAAGCACTCCCGCCTGGTAAAATATATCCTCTCTCGTTATCCCCGAGACTAGAGCGCTAGGGGCGGCCTCATTGGCGGCGTGTACGCTCGGATGGAGCGAAGGAACCGGCTGTCCGTCGGGGGGCTTGAGGGTTCCATTTCCGAGGCCCGTCAGTAGTCGTTGTTGTAGAATCAGGGCTCTCAATCAAGGAAATGGGCCTAGAGATACTAAAGCTCGGGACTCAAGAAGATGCAATCGCGCTCTTTCCGATTCTTCTTGAGCAAGTGTGCGTCAAGATAGCGCCGCGGCCGACAGCTGGTTTCGAGTCTCGGTACAATTTTCGAAGCTGTCTAAGTCGGGCTTCCCGATAGCTGTTTATCGAACATGTCGCCAACAGTTAAGCGAACGCCCAGTGAGCTCATTGTCTCGGCGGACAGCGGCAATGCGATCTCGAATTCTTTATTCTGTGATAGTTCTCATTTTCTCAACCGACGCCGACGCCCAGCCAACGGTCAGAAGCAAACTCGGAAATGTTTACGGAGCCGTGGACATCTCGACTGGAGTGCCTGTGGAAACCTTTCTCGGAATTCCATTCGCGAAACCACCGATCGGCGAGCGGCGCTTTGCACGACCCCATCCCTTCGGAGCATTCGGAGAGCTCGACGCCACGAAGCACAGCCCCGTCTGTGTCCAAAGTATTCACGCCCTCGGAGCAAACTCGAGCGAGGACTGTCTCTACCTGAATGTATTCCGAAAAGAGGGTCCTCTCTATCAGACCGCTGAACTCCCGGTAATCATCGTCATTCACGGAGGAGCCTTTGCTTCCGGCGGAGCGAGCACTTTCTCGTTCAGTGGGGTCCCACTCGCAGCGCACACGGGAGCCGTCGTCGTCACGATACAGTACCGTCTGGGGATCATCGGCTTCGCTCAAAGCGATACCATCCCTGCTAATCTTGGCTTGCAAGATCAGCGGCTGGCGATTCAATGGGTTCACGACAATATCGCATCTTACGGGGGCTCTCCGGAAAGGGTCACGTTGATGGGGCCGAGCGCGGGATCGATGAGCATCAGCAGCCACATCATGTCGCCGGAGCTGAGGGATCGGAATCTCTTCCAATCCGTGATCATGGACGGGGGTGTCTTGGGTGGGATTGTCGTCCCCAAGAGTGAAACCGTGAGGAGGTTGGTGCGCATCAATGCAAAACTCGGTTGTCCTCTGAGCGGCCAGCCGGCTCTCCGATGCATTCGGGACGTGAAGGTACAGGACCTGATCGAGTATTCGATCGAATCACCGAAAGCTGCGACAACTTTCATTCCGACCGACGACGAGAGCGATTATCGACCCAAGAATAAGGGTCCAGGACAATTCGCGCCGGTCAGGATGCTCATCGGGACCGCTGAGAACGAAGGCGAGATATTCGTCAAAACGAGGATCGACGAGAAGGCCGAGATGCGAAATTTCGAGGATTTTCTCGTGTTGTGTCGAGAGTTGAGGGATCTGTTTGACGTCAAGGTCGATATCGACAATCCGGATACCCGGGAACTATTGAGGAAATCGTATTACGAGAAGCACGAAAATTTCCGTATTGCCGCCGCAGAGTTCGTCGGAGACAGCGTATTCGTCTGCCCCGTGAACGAATTCGTCGAACGATTTTCGAAATTCAACGGAGAAGTTTATGTCTATCGGTTCGACAGGCAGCTCGCTCAAACGTATAAGAAGCTTCACCTGGACCCTCAAGGCGGTGCGAAACACTGGCATCCGTACGTCCATTTCTCGGGGAGTCTCCTGACCTTAGGTCCTTTTGCTCACTCAGCAGACGTGAAATTTTCGCTCGATTCACTGAAAATGATCTCTGATTTTGTCGCGGGGAAGTCGCCCTCCTTCCGTGGTCTGCCATGGCCGGCCTTCCCAGAAACTGGGGAAATTCTAGTCTTCGATGAAACTCCCTCGAGAATTTACGGCCTGCCGAAGTTCGAGAACTGTCCAAAGCTGCTCTCTGCTGTCCCTCCCAAGAAGATTGGGGGAGTGAAAGAAGAGCTGTAGCCGAACTCGGGCCATTCACAAAGCTGTGTATTCGGACGATTGTGCAGCGCCACGGGAGCTCCCGGAGTTCTCAGCGAGAGTTTGTTGCGTGGTCATATTCGATCAAACCATGCATCGAGTATGATATATCATACCGGAGAGAAATAAAATTCAGATCTTGAGGCTCGCTGTTCTATGCAAAAGAGAAAAGACAAAAATATCGAGTTTTGGCGGCTGTCCTTGCTCGACGGATGCTCTCGGATTCGGTATGCGGGTTCTCGATCCTCGTCCCGGAAACTGGCTTCTATACAGAGGAGAACGCTCATCCGCTCCTCACCTAGATCAAAGAGAAGGTCTCTCACCTAGCATCGACGGATGGGTTCCTACCTAGGAAAATAAAGAACTAGGAATTTTTCCGGGGGAAGATCAGAGAGAATGAAAGACTCTCGAGGCCACGGATCAGTCAGTCATTGTCGATCACCTCCACGTGGAGACCTTCTGCAGCGCCTTAGTTTCCTTCTGGATAGGCAGGACCAGTCGTTCGGATCGCGCGGATTTTCCGCACCGCCCATCCGCTCGGGGACTCATGATTGAATTCGCTCTTTATCCACTCGGCTGATGCGGAGTCCTACGCGTTATGGTCCCGAAACAGCTCACGAGTATGCAGTCGTTCCGGAGCTTGTCATCGGATCAGTCATCATCCTTCTACTTCAGGAGATGAACGACTTCAAGCCGTAAATGAAAAATCCGCAGTGCGCACCAAAAAGAGAGAGCTCGATCATTCCAACTCTGCGATTTCTTCCAGCAGCGGCAAGCCATCGGGACGTAACTGCCAACTAGAAAGTCTTCTGCTTCACCAAGCGCTTCTTCGGCTCGCTCTTACGAAGCTCAAGCTACTCCTCTTCAACTGGTGACCGGAGTCAAACTCTGAAGGAGCGGTGAAAATAAACTCAATTCGCGAACTGGTTACCCAGCCATGGCCACAGATCGTTCTGATTATTACCGGAACCGAGGGGAAATTCGTTACCGACTGAGGAAGTCGAAAGATGGAGTGAGAGAATCATGCGATGACGACGCTCCACAATCGACGGATTCGGCTCACGGAGCTTGGGAGAATCTGTCGTCGCCTCCTGGATGTCTGCATTCTTGGAATATTTATGACCATGCCGGGCGATGCGATCTCTTATCATATAATTCTGTCGACTTGCGGCTCTGGGACTACCGACTCCACAATTCATAAATTTCGGCTATCAGAGATCGCTTCAGAACGAGAGCCACGACGCGTGATTCGGTCCGGGGCTCGCCGTCCACGCATGGGTGTTGCCGACAGCGAGCCTAAGGCTCGCTGACGAAAGCGCACAACCACGGAAACGCCGCTGGGCTAGGCAAAATACCTCTTTTGGAGTGGTCTGTTGTCCTAGATTCTTGACTATCAAGTGACGTTTCCATTCCACAGAGAGAGATATGTACTTGTTATAACCTAGTTTAAGAACACTCGATCCAGTTATAGCAACACAACTGGTTCGGCGCTTCATGTAGACCTTCGGGCTTGGACGACACTTCTTCTGCATGGTTGTGGCTTCTCGATTATACATAGCTGGCTGACCGGATGGATGGCTCGATCCGTCGCCTCGCTGGATTCTATCGCAGAAGACTCTGCGGAGAAAAACGCTGTCCGTTGGGCTCGTCTCCCGCCGGATCGAGGACATCCGTAGAACCCAACTCTCCGGAGCTCATCCTAGCGAGTCCCAGGAGTGGAACGATCTCGAGGCAATCCTCCGAAATCGTACAGCGAATTTTACGGGAAACGGCTCCAGACGAGAAAAAAAAGTCGGAAAATTATAGCTACGGAACGAGATACTCGTTCTTCGAGCCGACATCTCCACAGAACCACGATTCACTCGCGGAACGGTTTACGTCGCTTGTTGTTGTTGTCGTTGCAGTCGTCGTGGTGCCTGCGGTGGACGACGGTGACAGCGGCCTATCTAGGCTAACCAGTGGTGGTAACTCGACGCCTATCGTGCTCGGTTCATATCACGAATCCGTGGAAGCAACAGGCATTCGATCCCCCTCATCCCGATCGGAAAGAGCGGCCGTCGACGACCGCCGCCGCCACCACCGCTATAGCCGAGGGACCTTTATCCACGACAACACGGAGCGGGTCAGCGACTTCTCCGATTCTCGCTAGCTCGGAACTACACTTGATCCAGCATCGACTGGAGACAACCTCGTTGTCTATGTTCAATCTGTTCGGCAGTCCGTCCGTCCGTCTGTGTGTCGTCTGTCTGCCTGTCCCCTTCGTCACTGGTCCGTCCGTCCGTTCCCACTCGGACCCGGGGAGCTATCCAGGCGGCTGCGACGGTAAGCGTGGACAAACCAGCAAACGGGATTGAATAGAGCGAGTCTTTTCGGATGAAGACAGACGAGCTCACACCGAAATGACAGAGATTTTTATGAAACCAGACGTTAACTTCAGTCCTCGCTGCCGACTCTTCTCAGTCAGAACTAGTCAGCTAGATGATTCTCTCGCTTCCCGGCGGCGTCGTTGGCTGTTTCCTATGTTGCCAAGGAGCCTTCCTCCCCGTTTCGCTTGTTCCTCCCCGTGCCCTGTCATATGTAGGAGCTGTCGCCCTCGTGCTGACGCTGCTGTTGTTCGCTCGTTCAAAGTGTAACTTTTTTGTGCCTCGGATGCGTCTCCGCCTTTTTCTTTCACTCTCAAGCGTGCTACCCAGTTGCTCCATCTTTTTCTTTCCGGCGACCTTTTCCGTCTCGAAAGCTGAGCATCTGTTCGGCCTTCGATGATATTGATCGTTCTTCCACCAGAAGGCGCTGCTCGTCCGAACGCTCTCTCATACAACGCGGGCTCCTCGCTCCGAAGCTTATTGTCAGGCTACCACTACGAGAAAGAGATAAAATTGATTTTTGATACTTTCTGGAAGGCGAAACTCTGTATCCACGCGCCCGTTGCGCAAGCATCTGCCGGATTGAAACATTGTATCTTCTCACCCCGCGGAGATGATGACTTCCCTGAAATCGTATTTTCCCTGAAACGGTTCATCCCGCACAGACGAGGATGAGTTCTGAAGGTCTCCTCCAATGAGCGATCACCAGAGGAAAACGGCGAATATTGCAGCGGACAATCATGGAAGTTTATGGCGAGCGTCCTTACTTAACCTTGAAGAAGAACGAGACCAATCCCAACTGAGTAAGAAAGTGCGCAGACCCGCTTCAACAGTGTTGAGATTTGCTGATTCAACTCCGTCTTAGGGAGAATGGTTATCTTGGGGATTTCGGGAGCTAAAATTTTCGGCACCGCTGAATACTCTCGAGTATGGACCGTACTTAGAGAGGAGACATCGCGTCGCGGCCCTTCGATGTCGCTACAAATGGTATGGATTGAGCGGGCGGGTTATCTGCCGAAAAGCTCGACGCTTCACCGGTGAGGCGGGCGAACCAACTCTCCGACGCTGCTGCTGCCGTAGATGATGATGGTTGTCAACATAAATCCAGATGAACATAAATTATAAACAGCAAAAGATAGCCGCGCGCAACCACAAACGTCGAGTGGCGCACAAAGGGTCCCTACTGTTCGAGAGAAACGAGAATATGCATACGAATGCGTGTGCGCGCACGCGTAAGCTGTCGAGCGAGTTTCCATCGAGTATTACGAACGGATTCGCGGACTCGGTGCCGCTCGGTCGCGACCGCGCTAAAACATGTTCTGGTGTGGACAACAAGTCGATCGGAAGATACGATTCCGACTGTGGCAATGATCGGGCGATGAGACGCTTTCCAGGATCGGTGCTTTCGTCTCTCGTATCTCGTATCTCGTGTTCCGTACTCCCGGAGAGTCCACGCTCCAATGGAACTGAATCCCTCCGCAAAACAAAAAAAATCTATTGAAATTCAGCGATTCACCTCCAGCGTTCTTTCACTTTCTACTGAGGGCTCCCAACTGAGTGAATCGAGTCTCCTCTCGACGATTTTCATCTCCGGCTGCGAGCTCTACAGCGTCTTCTGTGCATCTTCCAAAGTGTTCTGATTGATCGTCCGAGTCATGATTGATCCATTAACGGCGACACGCATCAATGGAAATTGCTATTTTCTGGAGCGACTTCGCCGGCTTTTGCTTTTTCGTCGGAACCGTCAACTTCTAACCTCACCCCACTAACTACGCTTCTGACGGTCTACTTCATGGCCTCGGATCCTCGATGACGATTTTTTTCTCAAGAAAGCGCATCGTTCAAGTGTCGGAGTGAATTCTCTCCGCATAAATCGGAATATCTATCTGACTCCATTGAGCAGGTGTCTGACGGAAAGCTGTCTGCTTGATTGATGAGATCAATATCGCCGTGGACGAGTCTCGTACGTCGAAGAGTGAGATAAATTCGCTGTTTGCTTCTTGCTTAGCATGAATTCAAGTATGTAGCATGAGCCTGATTTTGGATGCGTTCCGCATTCGGTGCAATAGGATGAGTATCAATCTTGCGGTCGTTCGCAGCCGCCACCACTTATTCCTCTCCAATGCGTCTCCTTATGCGTGGACCGCTGTCTCGTGCATTTTAATATTAATCGTAGTCTTCAATCTTCTGACTGTTTACCAGGTGAAGACACTGCTTTGCACTCGTCTTGGCGGTGGCGGCGATTCTGCTTGCTGGGACTTTGGTTGTTGTCGTCGTTGTTGTTGTTGGTGACGGCGACGGTGCTGGAGTCATTTAGAGAAACCATTAGAAACCCTAGCACAACTTTCGGAAAATATAAGCGGCGGAGATCTTCCAACTCGGATTTCGACCGTTCTTTCCGGAGCTGGAAGCTGCTTGTGAGCATGAGAGCTTCTCCTCCGGGAGGGCATCACACAGCAGGAGCATGAAATACGATCATTATGATCGATTCCCGATTTCAACATCTATGCCGAAGCCCGCTAGGAGACTCTCCAGCTCTCCAAGTCCAGCTATCGACTTCATTCGGCTCCGAAGCACACTAGTGCCAAGTCTTCAAGCCTTCACGGGCCCCTGTCTAGT